TGAGGAGGAGGAGGAGGACTGAGGAGGAAGAGGACTGAGGAAGAGGACTGAGGAAGAGGACTGAGGAAGAGGACTGAGGAGGATGAGGAAGATGAGGAGGACTGAGGAGGAGGATGAGGAGGAGGAGGAGGCTGAGGAGGAGGAGGACTGATGAGGAAAAGAAGGAGGAGGAGAACTGAGGAGGAAGACTGGGGAGGATGAGGACGATGATTAAGGACGAGGACTAGGAGGATGGTAACGAGGGCTAAGGAAGAGGACTGACTACTGATTAGGAGGAGAAGAAAGAGGAGGAGGAGGAGGAGGAGGATAAGGATAAGAATGGGGAGGAGGAGGAGGAGGAGGACTGAGGAGGAGGAGGATAAGGAGGAGATTGAGGAGGAGGAGGAGGATGATGACTCAGGAGAAGGACTCAGGAGGTGGAGGAGGATGAGGAGGAGGACTGAGGAGGAGGACTGAGGAGGAGGAATGAAGAGGAGGAGGACTGAAGAAGAGGAGGAGGACTGATGAGGAGGAGGAGGACGACTCCAGAGGAGGAGGACTCAGGAGGAGGAAGAGGAGGAGGACTAAGGACGAGGACGACTAGTGGAAGACTGAGGATGAGGACTGATGAGGAGGAGAAGGAGGAGGACTTAGGAGTAGGAGAAGGAGGAGGAGGACTGAAGAGGACTGAGGAGGAGGATGAGGAGGAGGAGACTAAGGAGGAGGAGGAGGAAAATGATGAGGAGGAGGACTGAGAAGGACGAGGACTAAAGACGAGGAGGAGGAGGAGGACTGATTAGGAGGAGAAGAAAGAGGAGAAGGAGGAGGAGGATGAGGATGAGGAGGAGGAGAAGGAGGAGAATGAGGAGGAGGACTGGGTGAGGACTGAGGAGGAGGATAAGGAGGAGGAGGACTAATGACGAGGATGAGGACGAGGACGATTATGAGGAGGACAGAGGATGAGGACTGATGAAGAGGAGAAGGAGGAGGAGGATGAGGAGGAGGAGAAGGAGGAGGAGGACTGGGGGAGGACTGAGGAGGAAGAGGAGGATGACTGAGGAGGAGGATGAGGAGGAGGACTCAGGAGGAGGACTCAGGAGGTGGATGAGGATGAGGAGGAGGACTCAGGAGGAGGAGGACGACTATGAGGAGGACTCAGGAGGACTGATGGGGAGGAGAAGGAGAAGGAGGATGAGAAATGAGGAAGAGGAGGAGAAGGAGAAGGAGGAGGACTAGGAGTAGGACTGAGGACGAGGGGACTGAGGAAGAGGGTGAGGAGGACTGAGGAGAAGGACGAGGACGAGGAGTCAGGAAGAGGACTGAAGATCGAGGACTCAGGAGGAGAAGAACTCAGGAGGAGGAGGAAGACTTAGGAGGAGGAGGAGGAGGACTGATGAGAAGGAGGAGGAAGACTAGGGAGGAGGAGGAGGACATCTAAATGTTTTGTCTGTTTTTTCCGTTTTTGTCCGCCCTACTTTTTGTCCGTTTTGAAAATATAGGGTACCGAACGGACACAAAACATGATCCCCCAGCCAAGCATGTGTTACGATACAAATGTACTTGACTATATATTTAAGGTGCAGTGTACTAGTGATATTATGGTATGTTTAAAGACCGGACCACAAAATATAACCAGGTACCTAGTGTTGTACTAATACATAATAACAAGTAACAAGGATACAATTAATGAGCAGAAACAATCGATCTCACGTCAAGAGGCCAAAGCACTCGGGTCTGGGAGTATATGACAACTCCAACTAGTAGTGAGCATACTAGCCCCTGCAGTGGAAAAACGCATAAAACATACTATTGGAATGTCCAATTGGTTCGTTTTCATATAGCATACATAGCATATGTAGGGGTTCTGGTTAAATTATATCACTTCTGAGAGCTTTTAGAGATTGATTCAGTAAATTTCTCAATTTTCCGATTTTTCCGATTTTCCGATTCCGATTTTGGCCTCATCAACCCTCATATCGGACATCGGGTTGGACCCCCCCCCCCCCCCCCCCCCCCCCCCCCCCCCCCCCTCATCTTTAACATTGAATTAGAATGTTTTGAACTTAAATATACCTGCTGAACTACTTTCGATGAGTCTTAATGCCTGAAAAACAATAAAGGGGTATAATAGTAAAGGGGATATAATAGTAAAGGGGGTATAAAAGTAAAGGGGGTAAATAATAAAGGGGGTAAACAGTAAAGGGGGTAAATAGTAAAGGGGGTAAATAGTATTGTGAATATAAGAGGCACGGTCATGCTTGCCAGCATTGTGATTTACCTTTCATGTTAAGAAAGAATTTGTCTAGGTATTTGTATGTTAAAGATCCGCTCATGTGAGATTTTGTGTAACACAAAGAGAGGAGTCAAAGCAGGTACCTAGACTCTAGACTAATTACAATTGACAATTAAAATTAATTAGTTATAAGCATTGCAAGCGGAGGGTTGTGGTAAACAAAGGCCATTATGCCTTTAAAAAACTAAGGGCATGATCCCCCGCTATGTCGACGCCTCAAACTTGTGACAGTCACGGATTTTGGGCTTTACTTCTATGGCCTGACGGGCGCAATTCTTATTACATTTACTTACTTACCTTACTTTACGTTGTTTAGCTGCAAGGCAGCAGGGTCATCTATGAAAACCACCCTTTTTCTTTTACTTCGGACAACCATGGCCGTCACCAGCACTTACAGGAACCCGAAGGATCGATAACTAAGGCCAGCAACGGTTAAGGTATTATACCACACTTTCTTCACCAGTGGCTCCGCTGTATAGATCATGTACAGCTCCTCATTTAAACCCTTAGCAGAACGCGAACGGCAACGCCGCTCACCCCATGGCTAGTGGCACAGGCGGGGATTGAACTCGCAACCTCGTGATTGAGCAGCATATCACGAGTAAGGCAGGTCGACTAACGAACTGCGCCACTAAGCCAGTGCTACACAAAACGCAGTGAATCCTTGAAATGTGCGTTTTGATTTTATTCTAACTCGTTTCTCGCTCTGCTCATATAGCAGATCAATCAGTGACCTCTGCAGTCTGCATTGCTTGCAAAACATATCAACCAGTAACTGCTGCTCAGGGAGCAGAAAATTAGTTTAAATTTTAGATACGGCATGAACACAATTAGTCAGACTGTAAGCACTGTCTTATTGTAATTGATAAAACCCACAATCAAGGAATAATTTCAATTTTCCGGCAATTTTCGGCAGCCTTAAATGTCCTCTTCATATTAACCGGCTCCGGTCCAGCAAAATCCGGCAAAAAGGAAAATAGATTGATATCCGGTCGTTTTCGGTCCAGTAGCCAAAACCCCAAACCAGTCGGTTCCTAGTCCAACTTCAAAATCAAAATATGAATTATCAATTAAGGATTACCAGTTTCTTGGGAATGGACAATTACAAGGAGGTGGATTGTGTGGAAGGAATAGATACTCACGGTGTCTTTATTGACTAAGCGCATTACAAGAGCCAACAACTTCAAGAGATTCCCTCCGAAATTCTCAGTCTACTCAGACCAATCAAACACCGCCATTTGTTCACGTGACAAATATTTAATTTTGTGCTTAGAATACTCATAGTCATGGGCATTCAACATGGTAGTGACGTATGGTTAAATCAGGGATAGCACACCAGGGAGCGTATTTACTATGAGATTAAAAATTTAGCTGAAGTGTGTACAATCAATTCCATATCATTAATAATTTTAGTTCCACAGATTCATAAACTACCTCTAATATAGATTTTGCTTTAAAACCTGTTAAATAGGCCCGCTGAAAATGGTTTCGCTATTCATTTCTGTTTGTTGGGCACCGTTTGAGTAACAATCTGGTCATTCAAACGATTACAGGCAATACCTTGGCCTTATCTACACTATATTTTAAACTTGACGAAATCCCCCCGACAACGGGGACAAATCCGAATACTTACAAAGTTGTCGTCATTGTCAAATAAAATCCATACTTTCTACAGTAAAGAGCTTAGAGCTAGATGATTAGAGATTAGAGAAATTTAACATAAATGAGAAATTTAACATAAATGATTTTTTAAATTTCCTCGAACAAAGCTTTCGACTAGCGGGTTTCTAGTACAATATGTTTCGGACAATCATCATTGCCATTCGAAAATTAACATCTCATAGATTATGTGTCGTTCTTACTTCATGATCACAAATAATCATCATCTATACTGCAGGAACCATTTATAATCATCTGCCTAAGATTCTTTCTGAGGCCTAAGTTCAGGAGCTGAATTTGTTGTTTGATTAAATCGGTGTTTGGTATCGTGCTAAGACCAATTACAAACTGTTCACGTGACATATTTGATGCTCACAATACCCAGGCGCTACAGTTACCTTGGTTTAGATCAGGGTTAGTAGTTAGTACGTACCAGGACGGGTATTTATTTTGTTTTGCTGTAAATAGGCTTTATGATATAATTTCGCCTGTAACTTCTGTTTGCTCGTTGACGTAACAAATTGGCCATTACATATTTATTCGTTGAAAACAATTGTTTAAACGATTGTTAGCAATACAATTATCAGCTTCTCATAAACTATTCGAGGTCCATTATTCATAATGACCAGACCGTTTAGTGATTGATTATCAACAATAAAATATGTAATTAATAAAATATGTTTAATAAATTGTGTTTATAATTATAATGGTACATTGTTATTATATTTATATTTTAGGCTGTAACCTTATTGGTCCAATGGAATAAACCTAGCATGCCTTGGTTGCAGCATCGCTTCACTTATAGATGCATATGGGGCCCGATGTAATTGCTATGACCAGTTTACTGGTCAACTGGTGTTTCGGTGTCCCTAATTTTGTTTACACTCGGTAACTCGTCAGAGCATGTAAGGTCATTCGGCGAATTTTCTTTGAAATAAAATTATGTAATTGTGTAACAATTTAATGTTTATTAATTAACCTGACAGTGACTGTATTTTCTTCTGCTCTTTTATTTTTCCTAAGCCCATTTTGTTTTTGGAAATTGCCAATAAAATGTTTACGTTACATTTAATTCAAGGATTGAATTAGCTAAATTCTAAAGATCTCGACTTAGGTGGAACAAGAATGGATGTTAAACTTTCGATCGCACTACTAATCGTCTTAGTTCAGGGCATCTTCTGTCAAGGTAAGACGTTTTAAATTGAATCTGTAAAATGTACCTAATCTTTCATTTGTGCACAGCTAAGGCGTGCACAAATTTAACAAATCTAGTCGCGCACAATTTTAAACGTGCAAGTTCGTATGTTTAGTGCTTCTATGAGTACAATTGTTATTGCCTTTATTAAATGCAGCGGATTGCAGAATAATACATGAATTGATGTTACCATTTGCATTGTTAACTATTCATGCAACACTCAGTGGTATGTTACTTCACTCTATCAGGTGAGTTCGAGATAAAGTGGAGATCTGACGGGAGATGTGGTACTCACTATCCTCTACCTGATGGCAGTCCTGCTGAGTGTGATCCTGATGGGGACATCCCGTGTTGTGACCACACTGGAATGAGTGGAAAGTGTGGTAATACAACCAAAGAATGTTCTTATCCGGGCAGTGTTGATTACAGGATTGTGGATGAATTGAGAAAATCAAGAAAATATTGTACAGTTACGATGGTAGGGGGCTTCCTCAAAAATGCATGTTTTGATGAAAAGAAGAAAAAATACTACTTCAAGTGTACCCACTCTGATGTGTACTTTAACCAGACCTGGAAGGGTCATTTCGAGGGCGTTACTGCAGTTTGTGAGAACGATCCCCACGTGTATCAGGCGTGTGGGTTTAATACACAAATAACAAACACAGATGTGCTGTGTGGAGGCTTATTTTGCAACAGGAAGTACATCAAATGTGATAAGAACTGTAGTGTAGATAATTATTGCCCTGTATCACAAATCAATAAAACGCCTGACCCACAAGAGTACCCTGCTGCTAATTATGCTACTACTGCTTATTATGCTACTACTACTCCTAGAAAGTACTCAACAACAGAGCTCTGTGATGATAAATGTGACGACACTCATAGTCATAATTGTATAGATGAAAGTGACTGTAACGGGTATAAATACGGAATTAACTGTACGTATTTATACCCGTATACGGAAAACAATTCTCTTTCTGTATACCGGATATGTGACGGATACAAGGACTGTAAAGAAGAAGAGGATGAACAGGACTGTAACGTTACTGAAAATACCCCCCACTCTTGTACACATTACCACAGTAAAGTGCGGTATAGCAAGACTAACACAGTACCAATATTCAACTATACTAGATGCTCTGCATTTGATATAACGAGTATATATCATTATAAGAGAATATATCCGTACTGTTTGAACTATTCAGATCAAACTAACTGTTCTGATATAGAGCGAGTAGGGGGGTATTGTGATATTAATGGGTATAACTCTAGTGTTTCTAAGTACGTGTTGTGTTATGATTATGATGAGCGTTTAGGATCAGCAGTAAAGATATGTGACGATGACCTTCAAAACAACTGTTTATCACCATCTACTTCCACTGATTGTAGAGTACACAAACACAGGATGTGTGACGGAGTGTGGGATTGTACTGATGGAAGTGACGAACTTCATGACATGTGTGAATACATGACGAAGGAATTTCAATGTTTACGAAGGTTTAGCTTTAAAATAAGTATGAAGGTCGGAATACCAGTTACTTGGATAATGGACAAAGTGGTGGATTGTATGGATGGAATGGATGAACAGGTTGAAATTGAGGACTCACGTTTCTGCGGCAACAAAACTGACAAAGCATATCGTTTAAAACAAAGTAATGAAACTTGCAAGAACGTATATCTGTGCCCGAAAGGTGATGAACCATACGTTCAATTAGAACAACTTTGCGACGGATTGGAGTCGTGTGGTGACGGTGCAGAGAATGAGGTTTGTAGGATCGCTAGAGATTTCCCACCTATCAATGATACAACTCTATATCAAGGATCAAGGCGAGATATATGCGATGACTCTAACTGTGAAGTGAAAGAATTCATACAACCCTGGATTGGAGATGTATTCGGAATAACAAAGTTTGAGTTAATTGTTCCGACCTCTAAGGTTAATTGTAGCTATTTGTTTGGTGAATATTATCTGTTTCTCAGTTGCATGGATCTATGTCTAGATGCTTCATGTCCTCTAAATAAAAACAGATCATTGTTATACGATTCATGCCCTGGACAATATCCTGACCGAATCTATACACTTGCTAACAACTCTTTTCTAACGTTTGTTGAAAAGTCAAAGAAAGGCCAATATCACCAGGACTATTTTCAATGCAACAACAGTAGATGTGTGGAATACAAGAAAGTATGTGATCTCAAAGATGACTGTGGGGACATGAGTGACGAGTTGAACTGTGCAAATCACATGATTTGTGAAGACACTTTAAACTCAACTAAACATCAGTTCATTTCGTTATCGCAGAGATGTGACGGCATATACGATTGCTTTGACCTCTCAGATGAATGCAATGTCATTTGTGGGAAAAGGATACTCGAAAACTTGACACTACAGATATTATCCTGGATTATGGGGGTGCTAGCATCGATATTAAACTCGTACACCGTATTCAGTGGACTAAAAACTATAAAGCATAGTAGGAATGAATTTATTTTAGCTAACAAGGCCTTCATTAGTCTAATAGGAGCAGGGGATCTTGTTATCGGACTATATTTAGTTCTTCTGTCTTTCTATGATAGTTTTATATATGGAACTGAGTTCTGCAGACATCAAGCCGAATGGTTAACCGGAACAACATGCTCCATATTGGGGGTCATCAGCACAGTTGGATCACAAGTCTCCCTTTTTGCTATGACAGCCTTGAGTGTCATCCGAATGTTCTGGCTCACTTTCAAGAGTATTCCAGGCCCTGCAAACAGAAGCTCTGCTGTCAAGCTCACTTTCCTAGCTACGGGAATCATCACCGCATCCCTTGCTATAGCTTTTATACCTTTGATATCTTCATTGGAGGAATACTTTGTACAAGGAATGTTTTATGATCCCATCTACAAATTGTTCATAGGCTTCCCCAACAAGGAGAAACATATTAAGGTTCTTCAAGCTTACTACAATACCACAAACATCACCATGGATTTGACATGGAAAGAAATCAGTGAAAAAGTGGACGGTATATTCACTCAGCATGAGCCATATGAACTTTTGAGTAGACGTCCAGTCCATTTCTACGGCAACGATGGAGTTTGCTTATACAAGTACTTTGTACGGAGTGACGATGCAAGAAGAATCAGACAATCAGTAGAAAGTGGAGTTAACATAACTGATCATAAAGGAGATCTTGCAGTTTGGCTGATGCTTGCTATGAACTTAGTCTGTATCATCATCATCACTTCTTGCTACTTATTCATCAATATCCAAACCAGAATAGCTTCACGGAGGTCAGGACAGGATCAAAACCAAGCTGGAGTAAGGGCAAACAGGGCTATACAGAACAAAATTGCTATCATAGTTGCTACTGACTTCCTATGTTGGGTTCCCTTTATTATAATAAGTGGTATGCACAATATGAATTTAATTGATGCGACTAATTGGTACGTTTCTTTTGCCATGATAGTTCTTCCCCTTAACTCTGTTATAAATCCACTGATCTACGACAGGAAACTAACAGAGTTCCTCGGAAGAAAGTTGGTGGAAACGAAATTAATTATCAGACTACGTGTATCCATGGTTACCGAACTCATTCCAACAAGGATCGGAGGCGTACAGAGTGGGAACAATATGGTAGATGTCATACAATTGGAACCTTCAAGAGAACAGGAGGTTCGAGAACTTACAAATCAAACACTAGCTTAAACAGCGAATCTATGAATTTATCTGAGAAGAATGAAGGAATTATCAATGGAAAGGATCAGTCCATAATAACAACAAACTTTTCCTATATTATTATTTTACTAAACTCTTATTCGAGTTATGAGATGAAAACTTTTATTTATGTCATTGAGAGACCCTAGATCTTTTTTACATCTTTTAACACTCTGTACTCTTATTCTTATCGTATCTAGACCTTTTTTTCTTTCTTAGCCAGTTTTTCGGTTCTGTTCATTGATTGCTTATTAAGTGTCAAAACAATGTGGTACAGTTATCGATATCCAAACCAGGATTTCTTGGCGTTTTTTGATGTGACTAAGCTCTTCTGCTTATCTGTTATCAACCCACTGATTTACGAAAAAATGTCAACAGAGTTCCTAGACAGAGAGTTAGGGGGAAGTAAAAAGACTCATCAGGCTCAGTACCTCCACAGCTGTGTCTTCGATCGCAAGATTCATTCAGACAAGGAGTGAAGACATACAGAGTGGTGAGTACTAACTAGATGTCATGCAAATGGAACCACCAAGAGGATCGGGAACTCAATAAAAAAGAAAGCAAAAAATAATAGATGTTGATATTAAGACCATTCAACGTAAAAACTCACGTTACAAAGTGACTGTTAAACAAAGCTAAAGGCTTACAATTTGTATAGATAGTTTAGATAGCAGCCTCTCCATGCAACTATAACTGCTGTTGTGACTTATTAGAAACTTACAAATATGTTGTCTGCCTCTGTCTTAAGAGGTTTGGTAGCATCAGGTTGTGTAGCTTTCTTTCCCCTTACAAAGTCAACATCATCCGAGAGGATGGCAATCTTTCTCTTTTTTGGCTTGGTATCTACTACCTCCTCATTGTTGGTCTCCATAGCTTCTCCAGGAGCAGATTCTGCCTTCTTTTTCTTGGTGCTACTTTCTTTAACCATCCTACTTTAAATATCAAGGGTTAGTCAGAAAAATTATTACAGAGAATCAAGAATGTAAGCTTATTTCACATTTTTATTTTTGTTATTAAATAGCTAATAGCTAATAATTTAACTTATTATTAACAGGCCCCTTTAAGTGGGCAATAACATACGCTTTATAAATTATATAAACAAATTTGAGTCTATTTTTCCGATTCTGCTAATTGTCTCTTTATATCTGTTTCGGTCTTTCATTGTGGGAGTTCCCAAATTTGTTGGTTGAGAATGCTCAACATGACATATGCTCACATTTTTAATCATTAACGGAATACTCTCAACACTGGTGCCGAAATAAATCTTGCAAATGTTTGCACTGTTTTAGTGTAGACTTTTTGTCACACAAGATTGCAACCTATAGTAACAACTATAAACAGACCCCTAATGTCTGCTAACAATTTTTCTTCTAGTCCTAATGTGAGCCATGCCTCTAATAACTGAACTAACGTTTCGGTGTGCAAAAGCTTCCAGGCATTAGTTACCTGTCCTTCCAAAACCAAACTAGCAGTCAAAGACAAAAAGTCATACATCAAATGGGCATTATATTTTATGAATTGTTTTACATCTTTTCATTCTGTAAAATGTGCTAAAATTAAATTTCTTGTTTCATTGAAACTTCTTGCGTTCTGATAGTGTAAAATTTTATTGGTTTTCTCCCTATATTTCATTACAACGTTTTATTGCTTCATCATAGACATTTCATTATAATTTTAATGCTTTTACATAAATTTATTATCATTTTGAAATTTGAACACAATTTCAACTCAATACGGAAGGAGAGGTAATATAAAAAAACACGTTTAACTTCTGACTAATTTGCACAGAATGGCCTTTGATCTCGAGACGAATGTGTCTTACAGCCGACTAAGGTGACTTACTGTCATCATGAGTACTTTCCTACAAATTTATCCCTAAATCGTTGAGAATTTTCTGGAATGACCTACAGACCAGTCACTTGCACTGTATGATTTTCATTTACAAGCCTTGGCCTTAAATTGTGGAATGTAATGCCATTGGTCTACCATGAGTATTTCAAATCTCAGCTCTCCAATTCATGTGATAGGAAAACAAATTTTACGAAAACAAATTTAAATTTTAGTATTTATTAATAACAATCAAAACATATCATATCATATAAAAATAAAGCCACGCGTTGGTTGGCTGCCTCAGTAAGGTGAATAATTAGAGCTTGAAGGTGTGCCGCGCATTAACAAAACAACATGCGGCGATCACATGATCACGAGGACCTGCGAGCGCCAAATTTAATTTAAAGTTTTTAAGAAACATGACTTACGAGTTAATCATGCTATTGAATTATAGGAGTGCAGATTGTCAGGTATTTCATTCATTCATACTTAGTCGGTTTAAAGCTGTATATTTAGAACTCACTATTGTTGAAACTATGAAAGCAGAACATAGATAATGGACAATGTACCGACGACAATACCAAGGTCCCGAGTGCAGCATTGACTTTTCCGGATCCGTTTTTACCGATACACCGCCTGTCCAGGCTAAAAGCTGTTGATCTAGGTGGTCACATACATAGCTGACGTTTGACAAGTGAAGAGGTCGTTAGGACTGTGTAATGTGCGAAGGCACATTAAACGAAACCTTTGTCTCAAAAAAACAAAAAAGAACTGTGGAGTCAGAGTTTTTCATAAATCAATATCCACTTAAATTTCAGCCAATGAAGACGCTTGTCGCTTAGATTATAAAAACAGACATCAGATCGACCGTCAACAACAAAAAAAAAAAAAAAAAAAAAAAAGGGGGGACCCCCAACCCATGTAGCTGAGAAAACTCACAGCAAGTAGACCAAAGTGGCTCTTGCTTGTGAAAGGTGCGTCAACTACCCGCCGAAGCGGTGGGTTGGGAGTCCCCCCTGGGATCATTTCGTCCGTAAAATTATATACAACATAAAATAGTACAGTAAAATATCAAAATTTACATAAACAAATCTAGGAGACCTCAAAGCTCGTCTTCTGGGGGATGAGGTTGAAGGAGATGTCATGCAGTTCAAGATGCTGGGCCGTTGATCTTCCTCTGATTCCTCTTAGTGCAATGAGTGTACTTCTTAACAGATCAAATCTGAATCGTGTTCTGATATGATTTTTGACTTGGCTCTTGGCTTCTTTTTTATGGTCAGCTATCATCTCAGAGACACGATCTACAAATACAGTGCATAACGGTCCCATACCTCCAGAGGTTGTGAAGACTAGAGGGACAAAGGATCCTTTCTATGACCGTCAACATAACACAAGTTTAACACAGTGACAGAAAGAGAACTTTAACCACTTTCGTGAGATAAGCAGAGTCACTGTGAAATGAATTGCAGGAGAAACAACCTACAACTGAAAAAAATAGATGTTAGATTCAACCGGAAGCGCTTGATTCTGCATCGATTTTACATAGCTTCAAAAATAGAGGTTTAATTTTAATGGTAGCGCTCGATTCAACATCGATTTTATATAGCTTCAAAAATTATCGCGCATGCCATATCACGCGCGTCGTCAATTCAACAATCAACTTAACGGGTGATACTCATAAAATATCTGTCGAGGAGTCCAACTCGGCGCGCATCCTGATAGGTTGTAAACCTACAACAATTAACCAGTGATTGTGGGTAGGTAATCAACAATGGTACCCACTTTTATTATTTATCAGTTCGTAAATCTATTTTGTTGATTTAATGACATAAAGTTAAAAGAATCTAAATCAAATCAAATCAATTGTATGTTAAACATAGGACGCGAAATTTGTAATTATGATTTTTCAATATTAGGTGGCGCGCAGCATAACCACAATTTTTTGCAAGTAATTTCATTTTTAACGGGTGATACTCGTAAAATATTTGTTCCATATATCAGCAATCAGGACCGTCGACGATTCCAACTCAGCGCGCGTCCTGGTAGGTTGTAAACCTACAATTTCATTTAAATAAATTATCAATATGTAATATGTATAATCAAATTAACGGGTGCAGGGTGATACTCGAAAAATATTTGTTTCGAATATTTATATATTAGCAATTAGACCTTGTATCACGTCGTGACCCCATTTTCGTTCACCTAACCATTTGCTTTCGCGCCGCTGCGCTTGTTTCGTACCGTGAAGCGGGCGCACGCTACTGCAAGCGCAAGGGCTTTGGATAAGGCAACCATTGTCGTTTCACTAATCATTTTTACGATACATGATACAGGGGAGCCGCGCACGAGTGCGCGGCGGGTCATACAACATATGAAAAATGAGACCGTTGACGAGTCCAACTTGGCGCGCGTCTTTGCGTAGGTTATACAATTAATTTTTAACAATACAAATGCTATATTTGTAAAATTGAGAATATATGTTCCAAATATTGAGACTGTCGACAAATTCAAATTGGCCCGCGTTTTGGTAAAATAAAACATAAAAATTTAAAAATTATACACAAATATTTGTTTATTCAAAGCATTTATTATTGTTTCGAAATACCTTTAAACTTAAATGTTAAAAATATTGAAACATGCACAATAAATTAAACATTATTGAATTTGCAAAATTTAATTATCTGTCTTAGTTTGAATTTTTGAAAAGTTAACTGTTTAGATCTACCATTAGTTTTTGTATAATTAATGTTAAGGAATCAAGTTTTACTTGACTGTTATGAGTGTTACGTGACGATTTTAACCCGTTCTCTTGGTAGCACTGATTGACTTTTCGAAACCTTAACTCTCTTGTCATACGTTGTTTGACCCGCCGCGCACAAATGCGCGGCTCCCCTGTATCGTTGAAACGACCGTCGCGTGGGGGTCACGATGTGATACAATATCTTTCTAATCTGATCCCAACCCTAATCCTATAATTCGGAATCAGCGTCCGAAAATACTTCGATTCAAGTTGGTTCCGACTGTTGTTTTATCCAGAGCCTTAGCGCTTGTGAAACAAAAAACTAAATTAAAATTTATGGCGCGCTGCGTATATTTGATCATTGTACAAATCGAGCGCTATATACCTACGGCGTCTCAGCATTTGTCAATGTAACTGTATAGTGTCAGTTGTAGGAATATGTCGTTGTACAGTTAAATTAAAACCTACGCGATATTGATCATATTATATGTGTCCGAACATTTGCAGCAGTTAGCAGCAGTGAGCAGCAGTTTCTTTACACTTTAGTCTCCCTGTGGGGGGCACATTACTGGTAGGTAAGTAAAATACAATTTTATACAAGTAAAATAGGACTGTCTCTGCTAGGTCAAAGCCACACAGATTTACCAGAAACCCTCCAAATCCTCTAAAAGTAAAGTAAAGTAAAGTAAAAGTAAACTAAAGCCAAAGACCATGTAGCACACCTGGAAAGAAGACTCCAACTATGGAAAGATGGCGAAATAGAGAAGCTCGCTAGGGAATGTAAATCAATACAAGATCGCCTACTCAAATCTAAGTACAGCCCAGGACATCACAACAAAGTCTTTACACGACTCATGTTACTAGGAAAAGTCTCCGCAGCCTTAAGATGGAATGGGAGCCAGAGAAGTAAACTCCTGGACACAAGCCCTACTGTCATACAGGAACTCATACAGAAACACCCTGAAAGCAGCCCATCACTCGAATCTAGTCTAATGAAGGGACCCATTGAAGAAGTAGACAACGTCATATTTGATTCCATTGATTCCAGCAGAATTGAAAAGGTTGCAAGAGACCTCAGCGGATCTGGTGGGCCCTCAGGAACTGATGCAGAGACATGGCAGCATATTCTCTGCTCTAAGCAGTTTAAGAAAAAGCCTGAACTTCTAAAAGAAGCAGTTGCAGTTTTGGCCAGAAAGCTGTGTTGCCAAAAGATACAGCCCGACCACCTGAAAACATACATAGCAGGTCGCCTCATCCCCCTTGATAAAGACCCAGGGGTTAGACCCATTGGGATTGGTGAAGTCCTTAGAAGAATAGTCGGAAAAGCAGTGATGACCACATTGAAACAGGACATTATCATGAACACAGCACCCATGCAACTGTGTGGCGGCTTACAAGGAGGAGTGGAAGCGGCCATTCATGCAGTCAGAAAGATCTTTGAAGAAGAATCCACAGAAGCGATCCTGCTTGTTGATGCTGAAAACGCCTTCAATGCATTAAATCGCAACACAGCCCTTAGGAATCTTCGATACACCTGTCCAGAGCTGTTCACTTACATCCTAAATACATACAGACAAGAAGGTAACCTATTCATTGCCAACAGTGATGACCTCTTACAATCTCAGGAAGGAACAACACAGGGAGATACCTGTGCACTCGGATGGTATGCACTGAGCCTAATGCCTCTGCTCAGAGAAGTCCAGGTTAAACAGACTGAACCTGAAACAGAACTAGAATCAGACAGGGAACCCAACACTTATCCCAAACAAGTTTGGTATGCTGACGACTCTGCAGCAGGGGGTAAACTTGATCAACTCACGAAATGGTGGGAGGACCTTAAAGATCATGGTCCCATGTATGGGTATTACCCTAAACCCAGCAAGACATGGTTGATAGTGAAACCAGAGCATGCAACCAAAGCTAAGGAACTCTTTCCAGATGTTCAGATCACTACCAAAGGCCACCGTTATCTTGGGTCATATATCGGATCAGATGAAGGGCTAAAAGAGTTCATACTTAAGGAGACCGAAAGTTGGAAAGCGGACATTCTTGGACTCGTCGAAATAGCTGCAAACGAACCCCAGCTAGCCTACTCCGCTTTCATCTATGGAACCTCCAAAAGATGGAACTTTGTTTGCCGTACAACCCCAGGGATTTCCGACCATCTGAAACTCTTGGAATATTGTGTCAAGGAAGACTTTATACCAGCCATTATGGGCAAAAGTTTTGTGCCTGATCAAATCAGAAAAATAGCTTCACTTCCCTCAAGAATGGGCGGGCTGAGCGTTCCAGACTGTACATCAACAGCAGAGATGGAGTACACTAACTCAGTAAATGCTACAAAACAGCTCACAGAAGCAGTTTTTCAACAGCTTACTACTTTCCAACTAAACGAAGAACTGCAGCATGATATCATAAATGAAGTAAAGAAGCGTAAGGAAGAGCTTTACAAACACCAACGTGAAACTATTATGAATGAGGTATCCCCATCAACACAAAGGCAATTAGAACTCCTTAGTGAAAAAGGAGCATCCATTTGGTTATCTACACTCCCTCTAAAAGCATGTGGGTACGTCCTTAACAAACAGGAATTCTTTGATGCCCTCTCACTCAGATATAACCTTACACTGTCTACAGCTAACAGAAGTCCCCTATGTGTATGTGGAAAACAAAATCATATCAACCATACTCTAACCTGCAAAATCGGAGGCTACGTTTCACTTAGACACAATTCACTAAGAGACACAATAGCTGAACTCCTAACCACTGTTTGCAAAGACGTTGAAACAGAACCCCAGCTTCTCTCCGTTCCTCACACACTTGAACTATCTAATGGAACAAATAGACAGGATGGTGCAAGACTGGACATCAGTGCGAGATCGTTTTGGTCGCCGCTGGACAGGGCATTCACAGATGTAAGGGTACTTCACCCTCAAGCCCAGTCCAACAGTGACAAGAGCATCTCACAGATGTACCAATCTCACGAGAAAAACAAAAAACGTGAGTACAATGACAGAGTCCTAAATGTTGAAAAGGCTTCCTTCACGCCACTGGTGTTCAGTACTACAGGAGGAATGGCAACCGAGGCTTCACAGTTCCTAAAACATCTCGCTGAAAAGATCAGCCTAAAGAAAGGCCAACGGTATTGTGATGTGATGTCATTTGTCAGACGCAGACTGCGTTTTGATCTACTCAGAACCTGTATAATCTCTATCAGGGGGTACAGAGGTACCAGAACCCTTCCACCCACGGCAATAAGTGATTTGGACCTTAACCTGATCAACACTCTTCAACCCTAAAAGGTCATGGAGTGCTTGTTGGATGGTGGTCTAAACTGCTTTTTGTTGTGATGTGATTTAGTGGATTTTACATATATTATTACAAAGGGTTTTATTTTACCTCAGTTTTTAAATTTGTACCATTTTTACAGAATTTTTATAATTATAATTATTTTTATATAGGGTCATTGCTATATTATGTGTATATTGTTTGAATAATTCCGATTTACCACAAATGAGATTGACTTCTTTGCCCACAGGGTCTTGCGCTATTGGAACAGTCTACCACCACTTGTGAAAGCTAGTGAGTCGGTTACTGGATTCACGAGTGGATTAGATGCCTTTCGGCTTCATGGATATCAGGCAAATAATCTTGGCCACTACTGGGAACTGTCATATGACATCTTTGATAGGATAGATGTGTCTGTGTTTAATAGGAATAGTTATGTATGTTATATGAAAGAGAATCCATTGGTAGCTAAGAGGAGGAAGGTTAATATCAAAGGTATTTAGTTGAATTTTAAAAAAGTTTGTTATTATATGGTTTCAAACGTAAAGTGTTCATTTTCTGTGAATTTATTTTAGAGATGCCCAGAGAGGCATTATTTATAATGTTATAATGTTATGTTATGACATACATGACAGAGGCCCTGTTACCCACAATGATAAACGAGGCAAGGACAGGTCCGGTAAACGTTAGTGCATTATGAATATATCGATAAAATGGCATTGTTCAAGGGAGATAGAGGAGGGGATCAAGAGCTTGTTAAATCGTAATCAGTAATAATTTGGTTTCAGTATCTTTTTATCTATGGTTGCTTTTAGCAGCATTCTGGATACAGGAGGACTATAGTGCAAAGAAACTGCTGCTCACTGCTGCTCACTGCTGCTAACTGCTGCTCACTGCTGCTAACTGCTGCTCACTGCTGCTGTTGCGTGCGCGCCCATAGCAGCAGTGAGCAGCAGTTTTCTTGGCACTATAGTCCTCCTGTGTGGACAGTTGTTCCGTCGATGCCTTGAAAGATAACGGACTATTAATGATTACTTGAGCACTTTCCTGATCATAACAATGGAATGTACTGTAAATGATCTCCATTTACGATTTAGAACATAAATTACACATATAGGAGAACGATTGTCATTGTTATCAAATTCGGTGGCTTGTGTTACTTCAACAATTCTGTGTAAATTTAGTTTCTTGTTGCCAAATCCCTTTACAGTACTGATTAAATTGTGTATTATAACAGGTGGCTTACGTTTATATCAAATAATTTAAATTTAAACTTCCAACAGATTTGATGAAATGATAATGTTATGTTTCATTTTGCTACTTTCTTTAACTTTTGTGGATGGAAAGAAGAAATCTGAATACACACAAAAAGGTAAGATCGAGGATTGGTATGATTGTTTAGTAAGTGTGGAAATGTGTTAGTAAGAGTTAAAACTATGCCTCTTGCCGTCATTGGAGTGTAAACAAGGTACAAACTTCTCAGACTGGGATAGAATAGCTAGAGAGTGGGAGAGGGAAGAGTTGGAGGAGGACGAAAGAGAAAGGAAAGAAGAAATAAAAAATCGGCCTGGTATACAGTTTGACCCTAATGATATTGGTGAGATGTTCGAAAACATATAATAGATTATTCCATTAAATTTTAATTGTAGGTTACTGTTCAAAATATTCTGAATCTCCATGGTGAATGGTGATGTTTAATTTCTGTGATCCCTAACAGAATTGTAGTCTATGGAATGCATAATGATGTAAAATGTGTTCTAAATCTCATTTTCAATTTTTATTTCCTGTCCAAGTTTTAAAACGGCACAGGATTGGCATAATATTTGTACACGCACTCTGGTTTTGTGTAAGCTTTTATTGTCAAAATTAGCCATTTGTATTTATTTGAATCAAACAAAAAGACATGTTAATTCATCAACGTCGAATGGCAATTATCTTTACTAATGACATTTCAGGAAAGATTGATCCAGAGCAGTTGTTGGCTCAGTCCAAGAAAGGTAAACCCACGATGGTTTTCTTTAACGTTAGAGAGGAATATTGCAAATCTGAGAAAGAGCTAGCCAAGATAACGACCAAGTTTGCTAGCTTGCTGCTTAATGGGAACATCCAAGTGCAGAATTACCCTGTTAGTTTATAAGAATTTTTGTTTTTCATGTTTTACATTTTTCTGCTTATCTTCCATTCTATTACAAGATATCTCTAATTCTACTAATCTACTCCTGAAAACTGACATTAGGATATTAGCTACCTATTTAAAGGCTAATCAAACAAAACGTTTTGTTACATAAGGCTTTATTTCAAGTTATCAGCTCATTTTATTTTTGTGAATTTGAAATATGAATTGAGATTATCTTAATGAATCGATATTAAATGCTAATGAAGCAATTCCTGACAGGTATCGGCGAAAAGAGCGATATTCATGGTGCAGGACGGTTCTCTATCGTTTGAAGTGAAGAACGTCCTTCTCAAGCAGAAGGAGGTGGAGAGTGTGTCAATAGATCAGCAGCATTGGGACGCTGACGGTGATGGTACTGCCACTTTCCCTGGTAAGTTGTGATATATGTCATGTTAATGGGATAAGCTGTTCACTGTTGTAATATAACATAATCCCTGTGATACAAGCTTTTGCAAAGGTGTTTAGTTTAGAACGTAGACCTTGTATTTATTGTAATATCCTCTATAACAATGGGGGAATCCTGTTTTAAAGTTAACAGGCTGCTGACACAGCAACCAAAACGATGCTTGATTAGTTTTTAAAATATTTGTGGGATGTTCTTACGGTAGCGACAAACTTAGATTGAGATAATAATATGTCTTTTAAATCATTAAATTGATATTATTTATTTTCAGGTCAAGATAAGCCGAAAGCAAAAAAAGAAGCTCCTGTTAAGAAGAAGGACGCTGATAATATGGCTGAAAAAGTAAAACCTGCACTGAAAAAAGATAAAAAGAGGAAAGAAGAAAAGACAAATACGATAAATTTGGAAGATGAGCTTTCTGACGAAGAATTTCATGATAAACATTTAAAGAAGTCTTTCCAGGAATCTAAAGCTCCAAAACCCATGACTGAGGATCCGAACAATAACGAGATTCCAGATCTAAATGATAATAATCAAGACTTTGCGTCAGATAACGACATTAAAATTGAATTATAGATGTTTTAAATCTGAAGGGATAGGCCATGTTATAATTTTATATTTCAGCTTTTAATTATGGTAAATTTTAGTTTGAATTATTATATAATGCTGTTTGGCTGCACTGACTTTATAAGTTCATACTTAGGCAGCCATTATTTAACCTTATATATCATGTATAAATAGTGACGTCAATTTCTTACACTGCGAATATTATTGTTGTCAAGACTACCCCAGGCTGTGAATAAGATATGCATAACATAACAACAGAGGGTTTAGCAAGATAGACATTTATTTCAGACACACGTTTTTGGGTTTATATAATAAGGGTAAAGGGCCATTCTGATTTGGCGAATAGGTGAAAATGGGATCGGATCCTCCATAACTTGATATGTTTGTCAGAGTAATCAGTAAGGATGAAATTTACATGATCTGCCTAACTTGAAATTTTAACAGCTCGTTATATCAGGTAGGTAAGAGTTATGGCTAAAAGAAAGAAATCCCTTTCCAGTTCAGACGACTCCTCATCCAGCAGTTCAGACTCATCCAGCAGCTCATCTGATTCTCCCCGACAGAGAAGAAACAAGTTAAAAGATCAAAACAAATCCAATCAGAAAAGTGAAAAACGGACAGTGAAATCAAAAAGTAAGGAAAAAGTTGCTCAGGATAAGAGAAGAAAATCTCCTCCTCGTCGCTCACCAGAGCGCAAAAGGAAACAATCTGATTCCGTCAAAATAACAACCCAAAAAAGCACCCATTCGGAGGATAGTAAAGTTGAAGCTAAAAAACGACACAAATCCCCAGAAAGATCCCATACTAAACGTCATAAATCCCCTGAAAGATCACACAGACAGAGATCCAAGAAGGAGAGATCCAAATCCCCAAAAGCAGATCAAAAGAAGAAGAACCTGTTTCCTATTGTCAGTAAAGGAGATGATGTAACTCTGGAGTTAGAATTAGGAAAGAAGAATATTACTGAGACAACACTTGTTTCTTATCCTAACCTGTAAGTTTTAACAAACTGTATGTTGAATGTGCTACATTAACTTTTATAGAAATAATGATGATTAACTGGATGTAAAAGAGCACGGTAAAATCGAGATTTCTTTTAATTGTTTTGTTAACTAACTATGTACAATGTTCAGGAACAAAAGTGTAACAGAGGACAGAACTAAGAACGATGATGATAGAAAGAGAAGACACTCACACACCTCCCCTGAAAGGTATAAGAAAAAGTTGCCAACAAATCAACTGTAGTTGAACCACTGCTTTAGGACTCCAGCGACCAGCTTGCATTTATAAGTAGGCCTAGAAAACATAGTTAGGTTTTCTAACTACAGACTTCTTTCAAATAAATATTCTATCCCTAGTTCAACTTGACTCGGTAACATCAAAGCCTTAGTTCAATTAACTTCTAGGGAAATATGTTCCCCGGTCCCTCAATAATCCAACTCAAATGATGATAAAAAATGTTATCGATTACACGTCATATCCCCCATTACACCTTTACCAAGTACAATTATAAATGAAACAGCCTATAAAAGGGCATCACATAACCTGTACTGGTTAATACTGTTTTATCTCCCGCAGGTTCAAGTCAATGAGCTCCACAATAACAGTGACCCACAACAACACCAATAACCCTGAAATCAGGGAGGCAGATAAGCGACCCCGGCGTAGTCCCGTACAGAGGAGTTTACGGGATAGAGTCGGCTGGGACCCCTTCCAGGGCACCAACTCTTCTAGCTTCGGGGATGTGAGTACCTTGCGTGGACTTGTGTTTACTTTGTGTAGATTACATTTTATTGAATGTAACCACTGCGAGGAATCGCTGACGTTTAGGAAAACAATTCGCTAGTATCTTGGAGTTGTGCCAAGACTTTACAATAATTGAGATTTATGTGGATTATACTCATGATATTTAAGTAAACTATCATTATGCTTTGTGTTGGTTATATCATATTGTTTAAAGCACATGACCCAATAGTGAGGTTAAAATGAAGTGGCACATTAGGCCAGTGTTAGGGTTTCTTGCATAATTTCAATTAGTTGCGATTGGACTCCTTTAATAAACCTAATCATGCTCGTTACCTTACCGGGGAGGGGGGCCGGGGGGGGGGGGGGGGGGGGGGGGGTCAACCCCCCTTACCCAACATCTCAATTATCTCACTCTACTTTATAATTAATTCTAAATTCTAACTCTATTCAGCACGATGACAGACAGCTAAATAGAGGGTATAACGACAGCTACACTCGTAAAGAATTTGGCCGGGGTAGAGCCCGGGGCGGAGGTGGTGGCGGTGGTGGACGAGGCTTTAGGAGCGACAATCGCCCACGAGGGGGAGGCGGTGGCGGTGGCGGCGGCGGTATGTGGTCTAATAATCGGAACTTTAGTCGGAACGATAGTCAAGAGAACACAGATAGATCAGGAATCAATGACAAGAAGTGGAAACGGGACATGTTTAGCGACGATTAATGATATTTATACTTTAAATCGTATCACGAGTATAAATTACTAGTTATGATTCACCCTGTTAATTGCATCATGCCGAGTGCCCTCAACTTTTAGCTAAGAAAAATTTTCTGTCATCAATATGACAGCGAAAGCGACCCGTTTTTATATTTACGATTTAAGATTTAAATGTTAACTGATTTACTGTGATAAGAATAACAAGCTTAGCTCTGTAACGATTGGTAAAATAGTTATGCAGGTCGCATCATGTAATCAAAGTTTTGTTGATTTTTATGTTCATTAATTAATGAAACAGCTTTATATAACTTCTTTAGCTGAACTTACATATTGTTACCTGTAAACAAAGTTCATTGCATATCATTGCTTTATTGGTTCAATAAGTATCGCTTGTAAATAAGTCAATTTTCCATAATTGTCATAAGCGTCGGTGGTTGAGTGGTACAATTCTCGCCTGCCACGCGGGAGGCCCGGGTTCGATTCCCGGCCGACGCATACTTTTGCCAAAATCTCATCAGCCACCACACTAGCCAGTATCGGGATAATGGCATCACATTTTCGGACCTCTAGGCTCTATCAGGACCCAACTTCAGCAGTTCTTTAACTTGTTCTCTTCTTATATTACTTACTGAGATTAGTAACTGATCCCTCCAATACGAACTAATGAAGAGATAAGGAAACGATTCTTTTGAGTGGACTGGAAACAAGATTTTTGAAAACGATAGCGGAGCTAGTCTAGTTATAAAAAAGTTATTTGTCTCACAGTTGGGGTTTTTGTTATTCAGAATTAATCAGTCTGTAGTTGTGACATACAACAGTTGGTGCAATTTGTTAACAACAAAATTAAATAGAAAAAGAAATGTTTATCTTGGAACCGCTAGGCCGATTATTTTTGGTGTTTGGTAATGCTCGTTTTGGGATTAGTCGTTTCTTCTACTCATCTGTGAAAAGTGAACGTTTGTCAATTGTGGACAGGACCTCTTTCACCTTCAGTGTCGAAGCTTCTCCGTGTGTGCGGTATGGAAGGCGCCAAATTCAAAGACATTTAAATAATGAAACTCAACTGGTTTTCGCGCATGTAGTTCATTTAAATCGGCGCGCCGGATCGATCGATCGCGCGATATCATATAATCATGAGTCGCGTTGTGCGGTTGTGTGTGCATGTGCCGTGATCTGAAAGCATATCATGCATTACCATCTACTTGGGACTTGTATTGTGCTATATCTAGTTTGTACATGACCAACTCACAGAAGAAGTTTTCATCTAAAGCTAAGAGTAGCAATATCAAATATGTATCACGACGGTGAACAACATAATGTGGCTCTGGAACATGGAAGTGGAAAGGGAATCCCTCTAAATTAAGGTCAGAAATTAAACATGATTCCCTCTGCTGACAACAACTGAACAACACCACTCAATAATTTACAATTGTCTAATTGGGAACGTAGTACCAAGTAACCACTAACCATGCCATCCTTGGTAACCACACCGACATTGTGCAATACATGTGCTTAATAACTGCAGTGTGCCTGTACCTCTGTCACGTGGTATACGGAAGCGGTCTACATTTGTGATGATTAAAGGGGTTTGGTTAACTTCAGTTCTTTTTCGTGCTTGCAAGTCCTGCATGATCGTTCCACAGAAACATTTAGCAGAAATTGTAATCGTGTAAATTCGTGACTTGTCTGGTTTTTTCCTTTGATAACATGTGCCGAATTTAAACAACATGGCTTAGCTTGTAACTGTGAAATGTTGCCCAGGATTTAAGACACCAGGTCCAACTGTTTTATAAATTGTGTTGTAGGTTTACAACCTACCAGGACGCGCGCCGAGTTGGACTCGGCGGTCCTCCAATATATGGAACAGATATTTTACGAGTATCACCCGTTAAAAATTGTGTCACTGTGAGTGATAAAGACGAAAACAAAACTCTTTCTTAGGGATACGTCATACGTACAGCTCAGAACGCAGGTTCCCCGCTTCCGAGCTCGCATTGCAATCAAAGTACAAAGGAAGCGTCGATGTGATCACGCCCCTCAGTAATTACGTAATTAATGTGATTTATGAATGCAGAATGACCCCTTAAGTCTTAACCCTCGACATATTTTATTGTTTTTGTAATCTATTGTATTTCTTAGCTCAGTAGCGAAAAGCTTCGTCGGCAACCGACACTCGTGATCATCAGCCCAGACCTTTGACAAGATGGGAAGAGATAATATCAGCGGAACAGAGGTATATGTGAGGAATCACAGGAAATGATCAAGCCCGGATCAAAATTACTAATAGCTGAGATAAGGAACACCCTCTATATTTTATGTTTTACTGTGGATTGCTCTGTAACTTGTTTGCTTAATTAAACTTATAATTTTTCAGCCAACCAAATTATAGTCTTGTTCCTCATCAGACCAATAAGAGACATACCTTATCGGACCTTATTTGGACGGACATTACTTGAACGCTGGAGGCCCTAGCGTTCATCTTAATGTCCGTTCAAATAAAGTCCGTTCAATTAATGTCCGTCCAAGTTAAAGTCCGTTGAAATTTTTTCAAAAATTTTTCCATTTCGAACTTTTTGTCCAGAATATGATCACAACTTTGAGAACTTGATTGTGCCGTAAGTTAAGGACGGAAAGGTTCTCCTTGGTCTGCCGGAGGCACAGACTATTCTACTAGTATATGATGTTTTCAAGGGTCACTTGGCGGAAAAAAGTCAACGAAATTATGGCACTCAACAATATAGTTCATGAACTAGTCCCCGCCAACATGACAAACTTGTTCCAGCCTCTAGATATTACGGTAAATCGTGTTTCCAAGGACATTGTCCGACGTTGTTATAGTTAATATTACTCAGGGGAGGTAATGGAACAGTGCTAGGAAAGCTCCACGTGATGTTAAGGTTAACCTTAAGTTGTCTAAGATAAAACCACATCACGCCGAATGGTTTGTAAAAGTTAACACTGAAATGCAGGACCGGGGTAGTTTGATAAAAAAGGTTTCCATAAAGCTAGAAATCACTGATGCTTTAAGCACAAAGCATGGACTATTTCATGCACGAAAACCCATTTGATAAAGATGAAATGTGATATTAGACACTGATCATGTACATATATTTTAACATTTTTACTGCTCAATGACTGCTTTTCTTACTTACTGTAGAAAAAATGGATTTAAAAATCATTTGCTGAAATTTAAAAAACGTCAAAAAAATTGAAAAAAATTCGGATTTTTGATGGTTTTGAATGCCTTCGAGCGTTCATATTTATGTCCGTTCATAATTATGTCCGTTCATGTAATGTCCGTCCAAATAAGGTCCGATAAGGTATAGACATAGTTAACAGCTATGTTTCTTACATTTACATTTTTTCAAGGAACGATCGCGTGATGGAAGTATTACGAGCGTTTGCAGTGATAATTATACACTAAACAAGAAACCTTTCGTGGGAGCGGATCAAAGCTAGAGACCTATACCCCGCGACTTTGCCTAACAGCTTGGACCGTACAGTTTGTCCTCATGATTCCCTGATGACTGATAACTGATGTAGGTGATTTTAAGTACCACGTTTCATAGTTCTGGAGTAATTGGTGGCACTATTAGTCCTATAAATATTCCATATGAATAGTTTTTTTATAGGTTACCACTTTTTTACGGTTACCACTTTTTATAGGTTACCATTTTTTTACTTTTTTACTTTTATACCTCTTTTTTTAAGGTTACCACTTTTACACTTGTAAAAGACAAATTAAACCTGTCATCAGTTATAAATACTTGACAAGTGTAATTTTGGTCTGCAGATTTAACCGCGCATTTAAAAAATTTTTCTAGCTATAAGTATAATTATATACCCAGGCAGCCTTGTAATTATAAACTTCATATAATTGGACTGCACGATCAACAATCGACTAGAGAGTTGGGTAAATTTTTACGTTTAAAATATTATCATATTACTTATATTTAAATGCTCAGTCATATAATATATATCTGGCCCTTGGCGCCACTTATGATCATGTCTTCATAAAGACTCATTTTAGATTTACAGTGAGGTTCTGTGAGGCATATTGTTACATGTAAATTGTAAACCCAAGAACCAGGTCGTCGACACCATGCATTTATAAATGTGTACGTGTTTTCCATTACTTCACAGTTAACACTTATGCCGTGGTTCGTGATGCTCATTACTCTTCTGTAGCTTCTGTTGCTGCCAACTGCTTAACTTGCACAGCTATTCTATCTAATATTCACTAAGTGTAATTGTTCACTATAAGACAATACCACGAAATTAGTCGTCTTGATCTCCATCTTCTCATAATATTATGATAGTACTCAAATGAAGAGAAACTGAGCACACACTGCTGACTAACTGCTACCAGTCACAGAGTTACTCTATATTGTCTAAGTTTTAATTCGAAAATATCATTCGGCATCGTGTACTCATGGTTCCAATGGAAAGTAAGACTAAACTGACTAATGCCTGCTGAGTGATGCTTTTTGATTTTTAGAACCAGTAACCATGAATTAGTTTATTAAACGCGATTTTTCTTTGGAATTAAATTGCTTTTCTCGACTCTTTTGTTATTACGATTAGACGGAATTAATCGATTCGATACTATTACTAAACTCTACTGTCAGGGATGTCCGCTTTTGACGTTGTATTTGGAACCGATTTAATTATTTAAACAAAATGCGGCTGGTACATGATTTTGGGCAAACTATAAACTGAAATTTGTTAGGGAATTCACATATAACTTAAGCCATTTTTGTCGTTTTAAACCCCCTCCTTTCTGCAGTCGAAATTGCACGCTTTTCCAAATCCTTATGCTGACTTACGTAACATGTAAACAAGCCTTTAGCCTATGAGTTATGACACTAACTAAACGGTACGTACTGTAGAATAAACCGTTTAATGAAGATCCCCGCGGAAGATGGAACGTACTTGAATACATATTCCAGTATGATCCAATGCTCTATAACCTCGGTAAAGTGTGATAACGCAAATTAAAAACATGAATGATTCCTGATTCCATCCAACCTTACCGGTTCTGCTTTTCAGGTACACTATTTACTGGATTTGTATCCAATTTTAAGACTCCGATAAACCCCATTAACCGATCCTTGCAAGTTATTTTGGTGCACAACCTTTGTTAGAGATCTAGTGATTACATACTTAAACTCAGATACAAAACCATTGAATAAAATACGCATGAAAGCTGGCTGTCTGGCAAAAACAATGGCAAAAACTCCAATTATACTATCTTTTGCTTTACATTAAAAGCAAGAATTAGAAATGCATCTTGAAGTTTCTTAGTTCTTTGAGCAATTTTCCTTCTACTACTCATGATTCGGCCAGGGCCGTTCACCTTTTCCATCTCTCGCAAATTGGGCTGTTCATCATTTCCGATCCAAACTTTAAATATTGTATATTTAAGTGCGATTGTTACTCAGGTCTTACTTATGTATTACACATGGTATGTATAGTTACTTCTGATTTGTAGTCATGTAGGAAGACAAAAGTTAGACACATTTTCAGTTGTAAAAGGATACTCAATGTTGAATGAGTCCATTTCCAATTTGAGACTATTGCAATCTTTAATTGCTGGTCATGATGTTGTATATTCTGTGCCGCACTTCGTAATAACACGTATTCGGGATGTGCTGTTTGATTGGTTAGAACAAGTATTCGATTAGGAATAGGTACCCGAGTATTTTTCGTTTAGTTAGAATAAGTATTCGAGTTTTGACTGAAATTTTGTCCGGTCATGACCAATCAGTGAGGTCAGTGGGAGAGACACAAGTCGCCATCTAGGTACTGGAAGCAGTATATAAGGAGAAAACTTTGATGTAATGAAAATTTTGAATATGTCCTGCCGGTAGGACATATTCGAATTTCAGCTTTCCGCGACCCAAATTTCACTGTTTCGACTGAATTTTTTTGAATGACCATCATACAAAGTCACTGAGGATGGCACAAGACACGATTGAGGTTTTCAAAGTTCTGTTCCCAAAGAAAGCTTTGATAAACGGAAAATCATCAGAATTCAGAACTGATGAGACAAAGAAAGTAGTAGTAGTAGATTAGTACGTGATCTCTAAAATTACCAATACAATATTGACTCATGACTGCGACTATCTTCAATATGAGTATACTGCAATATTTTATTCATGGCTCATCCCAGACAATCCCCAGGGGTTTCTCGTTCATTCTGAAGGCGCTGGTGTCGCCTATTAATTTAATGCGGTCTAGTAATCTTTACAGCATTTCACAGTTCGTTTTACTTTTAAGTCCTAACTATCCTCGCGTCCTAAGATGGTGTTTCTCTTGCCTCATATATAAGTCACAAGAGACGTGGTCGGTACTCTGTACAAGGATAATGAGTGCAATGTTGCATTTTACTTTTGGCCTCTGTTTCAGTCGGACAGTCATTAATCATTTTTCATTCTACATGATATGTAGGAACTATCACTAAAGCTTGATCTCAACTCTAGACTGAAGTAAATAAATTAGCCTAACTGCTCCACTGGCACTACCATTTACCAACTACCAGGATTCCACTTGTACTGGTCAACATGTCCGCTCATGTCTACACTAGGTTGGGTATCAGCTGTTGTAAAATGTAAACACGGCATACGTTATAAGTTAACAGTACGTAATTCACGTGTATTTCAACCCCCGCTCTAATTGCAACATCGGGAAATAATTGCGAATCATTTTCCTGTAGAAGCAGCGAGTTGATCACATATTAGCAAGTTGTCATACATTGGTTTCGATCTATGTCGTAGAAAACTTGTCATCATATCCGGTAATTATGAGCAAAAGGAATGTTTCTATCTGCCTGCTAATTACGTCGGTCGACACAAATTGTTAACATAACCCGGCGCAAGTTGACGGTAAGTATAAAGCGATTATTCTATATTGTTTCCATTGTTCCCATCTTCAAGTGTGCCGGCAAACTTCTTGTTTTTTTGTTCGGGAGTAACTATTATCCGCCGATATTATCTTACTATTGACGGCGTGAGAAACCTTATGTTACAATTAAAAATTACAATTATTGACTGCGCCGAATTGTTTTGTATTGCGCTGCTATGAGCCAGACACTTTCTAAAGCCATGGCTGATGAAAAGTGTCTGGCTCAAACAATAAATTTCACCGTCATATATACGTCTACTTGGTCATGTTGCCGTATTGTACTTGTATCATAATTTCCTACATACATTATACATACTATTATCTGGCGTCTGGTTTAAGTCGACACATTATGTTCTAGTCATGAGGCATTGAGGCAGTTATTATTATTTATTTATCTTACTAATGCTAATGCGATTACCCACGAGTTCATTAAACTTTGCTTCATTAAGTTCGCCAACCTAATCTTTCTCATCAAGATGCCCACTTAACTATGATTAGTAACAATCAGTGTTTTTTGTAAAAAATACCTTCATCAATTCTTAATCAATCGTAATCCACGTATCTATTATATAACAATGAGTATGCACCGCTTTTATTTCTTTGCAATTTTGTTACTAACATTATATACTGTCGGCATTCCTTGCCTATCACACTAGAAGTGAAGAATTCATTTTCTTGAGAAACAAGTTTCAAAATAACACTGGTACTGAGTCCATTCAATCTAGGGAAATATTATTATTGTCCATTGGCATTATGTCGGAACAATACGAAGTTGAGAAAAATGAAATGCGACCTGTTTCGCTTGCTTAATGCTCATGTTTTGTAAAGGTAGCTGTGGCTCTTAAATCTAAATCTTATATATTGTTTTCTGATTATTCTCGATCACAGATTTTCCGAACGTTTCTATGTTCTATTCAGTGGCGTAACGATGCCTGTTGGCGCCCCCCTGCCGAAAAAAGCGCCCCCCTGTTGGCGCCCCCTCCCCTTTTGGTGCCCCTCCCTAAAATTGAACAAATTAGGTGACTTTAAAGAATACGCCGGTAAAATCTCTAAAAAAGTGTGTATCTAGAGCAAAACGCGCAGTTTTGCTAGTACTTTAGTTAAGTTTTCGAAATTGTCCCACATTCAAACGACGATTTGGCGCCCCCCTAAGACGGCGCCCCCCTGCACAGCGGGGTCAGCAGGGCCTTTCGTTACGCCACTGGTTCTATTTTGTCGATTTTTCTGTTAATAACGTAAGAGCGTAGGTAATTGTTACTTATATTACAATTATAGAAATAAAAGACAATCATTTCCATATTGTTTGAGACATCTTTTATGAATCTATATTTTGTTCATTTTATAATATACAGTAAAACCCCGATTTACCGCGGAGTTTGGTGGAAAGGAAACATCCAGGGTAAATCGGGGTCCGAGGTAAATGGGGGGTTTGTTTGTTTTAAATTATGTATGTTTAGCCCTATTTGGGGGAAAGGAAATGGCCGCGGTATATCGGCCTGATATACCGCGGCCATTTCCCGATATTATAGGGGTATGCGGTGAATCGGGGCGCGGTAAATCGGGGTTTTAAGCTGTGCATAGATTGTTTTGAATGCTAATTTGATTAGATTCAATGAATAGTAGTTACAAGAAAAGATTATAAACTTGCTTTTTGGCCTATATCAATCCAACAAAAAGCCTGGTGACCAAGTCAGCACGACTTCTTGACTTCTTGTCATTATTAGACTCTCTGCTTGCTAAACTTATTTGTTAGTACACATTAGTAATAGTATGAAAAGTGTTTTGATTATGTGTATAAATGTTTTACTTTTAGTAATAGTACTCCTGTTAAATTGTCAAAGACAGCTTGGTTTCACGAGGAAAATGTTGCTGCCCAAGGTATTCCATAAACAAATGTTATTTAAATGGATGTGCTGCCGGGCCAATAGATTTTCACGGATAATTATACTTATAGTAGTACGCATTCAACCCAATTTTAGTTCCCAAAAACGTCTACAAATTTCCCCCGGGAAACTGTGTTTGCATTATGCAATATTTGACTGAATAAAAAATCGCAGATTTTTCTTAAGAAAGAAAATGGGAACACAATTTCAGATTTGTGAAAGACTTTTCATGGTTTTTTACTGTGGAAAATACTGTTTTGTGGCCACTCGATTCAATCACTTTAATGCTAGTTTGTAGTTGGTATTTCGTCCCCCATGTTTGAAAAAAGCGATCGTTATATTATAGAAGATGTAATAAGTTTATGTGCTGCTCACATGCTAAAGTCAGTTCTTAAACTATTTCTCAAAAACTAAGCCCTAAGTATGTTCACAGCTCTTATACAAACATACACCTTGCACATACTTTTGTATTTATGTCAATCATGAGAGACTGAGATATTTTATAATGTGAGTTGCACCATGGGCGCAGTCGAAAAAAAGCGTGCATGGTTTTGTTATAGACAGTTCTATATGTCGAATTAAGATAAGTCTGCCGACTGTGTTAATCAAACCAATTGTCAGTATTCTCATTTAAGCCTTTGTTAAAGCCACAATGGTAATTTCATGTTAATCGCATTTACAACGAATCTACATAAACTGAATTTACACATTGTACTATGGCCTATGGCCTAATGTCTATATGTCAAGAGAAAGATCTGAACTGTATGGTACGCAGATCAGCAGTATCAGTATATTGCGTCAGTTGTTTTGTTTTGTTGTATTTTGTTGATCTTAAAGAGAGCGAGCAGAACCATTGTTGTCGATATCTTCAGTTCTGAAGAAATGTTATATTATACCAGGAAGAATATTCGGACATATGCAAATGTCGTCTGAAAAATTGTGTCATTTTAAGTTGATATTGGTCATTGAATTAGTTATGTGACTAAATGGAAAGGTGGAGAAAAGTTGCCGATTATTGATTGTCAGGTTATATGATTGTTCTGTAATCTAATAAGAGTTACCCTCTCAGTCACAGGTATCTAACATGGCGAACAAATATGAGAGAGTCGGCTCTCGGTGTAACAGTGAGAGTTGTGCTTCATCCCTCAAGCTGACCCCCAACCCTACAAACAGACACGAAGAAACAGATGAAACAGAAAGTAAGCTATCTGAACTGCAATCAAACGGCAATCCTGCCGACGGCACAGTTACATCCAGCTGTGTTTTGTTGAAGTTAAACTCTGATAAAGGTACGTTTGTTTCAATTATCCATCTTTAGTACTTACAATTACATAATAAAAGAAAACTAATTAGATGATAGATAAAAAAGGATTAGACCATAAGTTATTTATTTCGTACGGCAAATCTTATATTCATCTATACTAGTATAAGCGACAGTTGCCTATCAAATTGGAATACAAATATTGTTAATACAGAAATATTGAAATGGAAATATTGTAATAATTTCAGAAAGTGTTGCATTTAGAAGAAAGAGATATTACCCCCTGCTTGTTTTCATCACTGCAGGTAACGTAACGACCCACACGTACACTCCATAATCTTTTTATTTGTATTGAAATTCCGGTGATGTCCCTAGCCAGACCCATTCAACATTTCTACCCGTTACGTTTCTATTCCGCATTCCAGTTAGTCGGATCCCGGAATTTCAAACTTCCAGATTAAAATGTCGCAGTTTTGACAGGTCCCTCACCCTTCAGGAGTCATGGTATCCTGTCTGGGACTAATCTTCTCCTACGCTACGGGTAACATGACCGTCTCCAGATGTTTTATAGCTGTTGGAGGGTGGTCTGTTCTTGTGGGGGTAGCGTTTCAGTTCAGACACTATTTCATGATCGAACAGTGTTCAGTCATCGAGAAGTGCTTGGATATTGAAAAAGAGACTGACATGGAGAAGGCAAGCTAGACTCTTTGTTTCAGGACGATAAGAAAGGGTTATAACTTTAAATTATGAGCCTGACAATTATTTTACCATTGACTGGTGTGCTGATTAAGGGATATAATCATCAATATGTCTACTTCTCCGCCAACAAGTACTAAGTAGGCTATTGAAAAGTGACTGAGTAATACCATCACAGCGTTTACTGGAGTCTCTCATTCTTTGTTCTAAGGCCACTGTTTCTGAGGATTTGTTAACATTGTGTCTTAAGCTGGATACCACCATCATATACGGCAATTTTCACGTTGTGAACTCCTCGAATACTCGAATACCAGGACCATGATAACACGAAACAGGGCGGGCGTGATCCTTTTCTTCAGGTTACTATGGCAACAACCGCTGAGTAAACGATACCATTTGACGCGACGTAAATATCTTGTGTTGGTCAGTACTCAGTAGTCAATATCACATGATGCAGGTTTTCAGAACTACCATACATTCAAGGTAACCAGCTCCTCAATCTTAATATCAATCTCGAACATTCCTCAAAAAGCTGCTAATTTTAGGGCGATTCGAAGTGATTTAAATGATTGAGTGCAATGTGAGCCGACTTGGAGAGCAGTAGGTATAATGCGGACCTTGCAACAGTGTCAATTGATTTTTGATTGAAATAATATTAAAATTGGAAATCACCCCGGAGGTTTTAAGAATTTGCCGCCTTGGGTTTTTATCAGCTCACAAATTTACCGAAAACCGGTTGATTTTAAGGATTGTCCGTAAACCCTATTTCTACTGGTAGGCAAGGAACCAATTTTTGTTGGTTCCCTACAGTTTATTGAAGAACAGATAATTACGTTAACCATCGAATTAAGACTTGAAATTCATTGGTTTTCTACAATTGTTTTACAGTATATTTGTTTTTCTTGTATTCTTACATTTAATTGGATGTTGTATTTGTTAATGATATATCAGTAACAAATCCAACGTTTCATACCAATAACGGAATTGTATCTAAAGTACGCCAAGAACTTTTACATCCGGTCCATTAAAACATAATATTTATAATCTACCATTTTATCATCTTGCCAGTACCACGACAAGATTGGTACAGGAAACTAAAAATGTCGAGCAGCTCGAAAACATCTCTCAACCTTGATCTGAAATGATGAGTACTTGAGCATTGTATTCGGATTCACTGCTCAGAATTTGTAATCTTAACTTTACTTATCTTATCGTTCACAAGAACACGGACCATGACACATGATTTTCTTAAAGCGAGACTAATCTATCAATTTGGGGATCGTTAAACTGTGTCGCTATACGCTGCGATCAGGACGAATGTTTTGATTCGAGACAATATCTATACTGATTCCGCCAATGCTCCAAGAATGCCTTATTCAGGCTATAAACCACACTTCTATTAGGTTAACAGCTCTTTTTTCCAGGCACGTGACCGCACAGTAGAGTTCGGACGGTCCGGCCGTGAATCGTAGACGGTCTGGAGACGCAACATGTCAAGTCCGCTGCACTACGATACCCTGCCCCACTAATGAACTCGTGTCGCACCTGTCACGTGTCTCCCTTCTCGCACCTCATTGGTGGAGCTCTCCGCCAATCAGATCACGCGGTTTTGGTAACATCTCATCCCCGCGAGTATACAACTCACGGGGCCTACTGAGAAACTTATTTCTGACTTGAGCATTTGCCATTCGTTTGATTGAAACCTCGACAAACTCTACTTCAATATTTCAATATGGTCATGGGCGGATTCTCCATTGATGAAATTCTGAAAGCTCCTCACAAGAAGAAAGAGAAAGACCAGAGATCGAACTACCAAAGGAATTTGTATTCTCACGCCACTCACGCTCCGTATAGCGCTTTTGACTTGTCTTTCTCTTCGGACTCCTACAAGGTTGGTCTGCTGTTATAATTATATCTCCTGTTATAGCTTATAGATAATAGAATCGTGCATATACATTTTATGATTGCCGGATCGAAGTTTTTTTGGACATTTTGCATTTGGCTGCCGTTTAGATTTCAATATTATAGTATTATTTTAATTCTTCTTTCTTCATTTTTTTGAAAACACTTTATTTAAAATGAATATGAAATTTCAGAATGGCTATAAGAAGAATGTTGGAATCACGATGCCTGTGCCAAATCATGGGCTTATTAACCAATCGAAGATGTACAACAAGTACAACGACAAGCCAACCATGATGCATTCCAGCCAAAAATCTGGTACGTGGGCATCTTAATCAAGTTCATCCTAATTTAAATTCCATTTGTCGCTATCATTTCTTTGTACTTATGTTATGTTCTTTTGTTTTGTTAAGTAGCAATCCGTGGTGGAAACTTTTGAAGATACATTTAGCAGTATGTGGTGGGTGAAGAATATTTTCGTCATTCACAAAACATATGATCTGAGGCTTCTTATGTCTATAGGACAAATTTCTGTAATCATTCTGAAAGGACTCGGCATTTCATTCTAAATGCTATTATGGTGGGTGGGTTTAAACAATTAATTTAATTCTATTGTTGTCTGGAATCGGTCAAAATTATAAGATACAATAAAATTCACCGACTACAAAGCACTCAATATACTCAATAACGAAATAAGACTAAGAGTAAGAGATTAATTTGTCGTCAAGTAATAGTTCGAAATTACCTCACATTTGAAATTGTAGAACCAGTTGAAATTTCATTTCATCACAACAAACTGGATTTCCTGTAATGGATTAGATTATCGCTAACGAACGTAAAAATCCTAACGATATACTCAATTTATTATGTAAGTAGACCCCGAAAAATTGACCGAATGCTCTATTGCTGCTATTGAAAACGATTAATTTGAATTTTGGATTTGTCGTGAAATTGAGTTTGGTGCACTATATTTTTGTCTCACGATCTGGAACGTCTCGCAATATAGGCTTGTCCTTGATCCGCCGAGAGATAAACAAAATACAAAATATTTTAAGATATTCTATTGAGGCACACTCTGGCGACGAAATTTTGTTGATAAGATTATTATAGTCCATTTTGGCAAAAACAATTAAAAGCCTCACATTATAAACTTTTTATTGGATGATCAAAACGTACCGTTGACAATTCTCACAATTTCTCCCACAATTGGCGTTCAAATCAAGATATTTTAACCATCCATCTTAAAAGACATAGCAATACTGCAGTGGTTCTATTCAGAAATTTGTTGATTCCAGGAGCACTCCTAAGAAAATATATCCACTAAACTAGGCCTGTAACTTGCATCTTTTGAGAAAGTGAGCTCTGCACCAGTTGGTACTAGTAGAACCCTCAAATAGGTGATAATTCTCAGAGTATAACCTCATCAGCCGTCATAGATCCCGACAGTCTTTATTTGATCGAAACAAGGAGAATATTTAATTAGAAAATCGGGGGAATAGGATTATTATTAGCACTAGATACATGAAGGTATTGGAAACAATTGAGGAGTATGATCTTGCTATGAACCACGTTGTCGCCTCTTAATGAATTGGCTCTTATCAATATCTCGGTACAAATCACCCAATTTTAAATGGTTTATCTAATATCTTGTTCGGTCAGTGCTCTTCATACTAAAGTTCACTCGTATTCTAAGAGAAGCCTTTCAAGAGTCAATGGTATTTTTTAAGTAAATTTTCTCTCGGAATGGGATAAGAGTACCAATCCTGTGAATCAGCGCGGATCCATAGTCGCCAGATTTTCATGTGGTTGTGATGGACGAAGGTGTCTTTTAGCTGGTTTTTCAAACCGACATTCCATCAACCCTGTACTCTTAATATCCGATAATCTCGTACTTGTAGCACTATTAGAAGATGAGAGTTGTGGGTTCATGACTATTGAGGCATGTAATAAGGAATGAACCCGGAAGTACGTGGGATCAGTACTCTGGAGTAATGTAGGTACCCGGCAGCCACTCTAATAGAACTGAAATGTTAACAAGTACCTATTTTTTCGGAGGACCCAACAATGGACAATAGCACTGGCCAATGATTGTAACAAGATTTCAAGGTCTGGCCTGCAGTCCAGAGGTGAAGGTAGTGACTAAGGACGAAGAAACAGGTTGGACAATGATCCACTGCCATCTAGATACCTTCTCGAAAGAGAGAGAGAAAAGAATGGAAGAGTACGTTATTCCGGGGCTAATGACGACAGACAATCTATTCTCTCTACCTATACTCCAACTGTATTCCTACCAATTCATTAGAGAGGGTGACTAAAGAGCTGAGGACCAGGTGTCGAGTCCTCTTGAGTACGGAGCTAGCCGGGTTATTGAGTTTGACGCGACCCCTGACAACCGCTACTCAGGTCGTTAAACTCCAGGGAGAAGGAGCTCTCTCCCTCTCTAACTCCCTCTGCTGGTGTAGTCTCCTGGTGTTGGCATTAGATTATAGCCTGCCCAGCAGTACGATTGAATTAAACTAAATTTCAATACAACAATAAAAAGAATTGAATAAGGGTTGCGTTAATGAGTTATTTGGTCATTGGTTGGAGCTAATATCGGTTGAAGGCTCCTGTACGTCTGTCCGCACCACAACTCCCAGACAGTCGACTAAAGGTAATGGTGCTCCTAAACCACCTCCAGGTCCTAACTTCTAGCTCTAGTCTCTACTACTACTACTGGAACCCAATCTTCAGAGACATGTCACCAGTGTAGGGCAACTTGCTGATACTCATGTTATGATGAATAAACCATTTGGAAAGTCGGCCAGGTTCTGCAGCAGGATGGCTACAGTTTCATATAGCCATTGATTTGTCAGCAGATATTAGAATTTCCCGTGTGCTTTTGGTTTGGTAGTGGGGAGTGTGGATGGGAGATTTTGTCTAGATAAAACATCACCTGTTGTTGGTATGAAGAGGAAAACTGTGGTTTCTACATCACCTGTAGCCCTTCATACACCCTATCTATTTGACACGTGCAACTGTTCTCTTGAGCTAGGTTATTGTTATTCTATCTGTCGAGCCCTATTGTCCACTCCGTCAAGAGAGCTCCACAGATTACCAAATAAGTTATACCAGTACTGCTGTGAGCTCTATCCCGTCTAACCGCTGACTGGTTGCTGTCTCGATATACCCCCTGATTGGGTACGATGCCAATACCCACATTTGTCAGTTGGGCGAGCAGTTAGCGGTACAATCACGCGGACGGGTCGTGTACTAGCTGTTTAGACGGCATGGGCCTAGCTTCCATTGGCGGGAAAACACCCACGTGACTATGAAGACAGTCACGTGGCGTGGTAGGCTGAACACGTGGTGTGGTAGGCTGGACAGGGGGTTGGACACTGAACACGGAACTTCAGCACATACTCCGACTACTTCCGTGCTCCGCTCTATTGTCTGCAATACAAACTACTCAGTGTTAGAGCAATGATCTACTTCTAGTGTGGGAACGAGTAATATTAACCCGTCCCCCACCCTCCTTGATTGACTATCTATACCCATTGTCCAGGTCAGACTGACTGGATAATCAGCTTCCAATCTACGGACATTTCTATCCTTACAACCAAAATCAGCTCAACTCTGAAACTCCGACCCTTTCTTTCTACCAGTTTAAATATCGAAGTAGAGAATTTCGTACTTAATGTGGGCCAAACATTTCAACTCTTTCTTCTTTACGTCTCCTGATATAAGATTCCATCTTAACATTTCTTTAAACGCGATCTTTATGTCAACAGAGTCTATAACTGGTTGCATCATCAAAACTGGAAATATTTCACGGAAATAGCATATCTTCGACATTTCTGGAAATATTTGATCATCTAAATCAATTACGAAATATAAGCTAGGATATATCTAATAGCCAATAAGCCAATAGTGTAAGGAAGTACTTATCATAATTTTTCAAAAGAAAATCCTTGTCGGTATGTTTTCAGGATATATCCTGACAATTAATTCTTGGAATTTTTGAAACTTATTCGATTGTTTAGATAGGAATGATAAAATGTTATAGAAAATAAAAATTATCCCACAGCCCCAATACAATGGGTGATGAACCTTCTCTCATCATCTGATTATACTACCTTCCGTCTGAAAAGTTTAGTTTGCAGACCAATCCTCATTTATTACGATTAATTGTAAACCAATCCTTATTTATTACCAATTTCGTGCCCATTTAGTGAATCTTAACCAAATTTTCGGTAACCAAATTTTCAGACGAGAGTTTACTTGATGGCGATCAAACCAACCTTAATTTTCAACAGATTCTCACCTGCATTCTAAAAAGGGACAAAAGTATTGGGAGATAAAAATACGCACCCAAATATGTCAAGTATGTGCTAGAGATGGCCCTGTCAGTATTAAGATAAGCGGAGCATGAAGCCTGATGTGATGCTAGGAGGGTGGTTGTCAGGAGTACTACTACTCAGCCTGCTCCTGATCCTTCGTCCTCCGGTCCGTGTCATGGCCGAGACGTGATCTCATCCCTTCTCCCCTCTCGCCAGCCAGCCCAATTTCTCTCAACTCTTTATAGACCAACCTTTTATTCATCCCATTCCCCAAATTTTATTATTGGATTTATGCCGATTGTCTATAGCGTGATTATGGTTTAGAGTAAAATCCGCAAATTGTTGCTCTCAACTCCTCCTACGCACGGCAAAAGATCACTGCGGTACTATTATTAGAACAACAGGCTATTGGCCGGCTACTGGCTACGTCTAACAAACTTCCCGGTTACCATTCTCCGTCTCGTATCTTCATCATCCTCTATTGGTGTTTTATCTTCTTCAAATTATCTTCATATTTGAAAATAACCCAAGTATGTTCAATTAGTGGCACTTACTGCAGGGATGGGTGTTAAGCGATCCTGGGGAAAATTTCCCCTAAATTTCTCGCGGATTAGTGATTTATCATCGCGGAGTCGGAATATAATATCCAGCCCATGGCAAGTGCCAAGATTTATCGGTTCTTCCTGATGATGGCTGTTTATCATTAGACATCGTTCCTTAAGTATTCCCATGCTCCTTAAATCTTCTAAAGCTGGAAATTGGGACCGATGAATGCATTTCGATGAATTCATTTAGGGTAAATCATATTAACATACTGGTCAAATACTAATTAGATTCGGAATTTTTGTAGGAACAGGCGATAAAATTAAACAGTAGATAAAGTGCCAATACTAAAATTCAGGAAGTCTCAGCCCTTCATACCTAAAACCTGCTAATCCCACGTGATACTCCACACTGCTGGTGATTGGACGATCAGATCCCAATCTATGACCTGTTTGGTTGTGCTCGCTCTGAGGGGGACAATGTCCGTTGAGGGCGGGGACAAGGTAAAAACCTAATTCCATTTGTAACGCTCACGTCTCGTTCAAGCTGGCTGGCCTGCTCAACAGAGCCAGATAAGGTCGCTAAACAATAACCTCCCGTCCTCTCAGTCGCTGATAACATTTCAAGTAGTAGACAAGTCAAATTGCCTTGAAAATTTCATGACCGTGATACTAAAATTTAAGGGTGACCGTGCTCTTTGACATGATTTAGAATGCAAATCAACCGTAATTCTAAATTCAGTTGGTGCCTACGCACGTGCCAATTCTTCCCAGTAACGTCGGAGTACTTTGAAAATACCACCAAACTTTACAATCATCATCCCCCGAATAGGTATTCACAATTTTCGATATACATTTCCAATCGAGGATAGATTTCGCCAACACATTCCTTGAACATCTTAATTGAAATTATTGAATTGTTTTTGTGTGGGAATTTTTATTTAGTTGATTTCATTTATTGATTTATCCTAAAAATTTGTGTTTTCCTTTCTAGCAAAGACATCATCGGTATCCAATCAAAGCCTAATGAACCTCATTAATACACGCTAACGCCTTACTCTTGATCAGATTGGGTGACGAGATCACTAATTGAGTGCAAATATCACTGACTGAGTGCTCGGATCACATATCCGATGGATTTTAAAATGGTCATAACTCAGCCATATTTTAACCAATGAACTTGAAACTTTTGGAAAAGTGTTCAATTATCAAGCCAAATGTGTGCAAAAAATTTTGAGTTCTTAGCTTAAAGCGTTCTCATTTTATGAAGACAATAGTGAAAAAGAGGGAGTGTCACGCCACGCCCACTGTAATTGGGCGTGGCTTACGAAACTTTCAGGAATTCTAAGTTTGACCCATATCTATAATCTCTGAAATTTTGGTGCAATTTGGAGACGAATTACGTGAGTTATTAAGAGGTTGCGTGTGGGTAGTCACTTATGGGCCACCCTGTATATGTAAACAATTTCAAGTACCTAATTGGTCAATGGTGCCCCCGTATATTAAGGTTCACAGTATAATTTAAATGATGCTTTACAGAGTCTAGTCGGCCTAACCATCCACCAGTCGATGGTCTGGCCGATATGAACCGATCTTGTTAGCACTTATTGTGCTCCATTGACTCCATTAGACTGCCAAGTTAGACAGCCGTATAGAGTGCCACATCACATGGATTGGTTAGACTCCTGGAAACCATGTATTCCTGAATTCCTGATTTTCTGATAAAATTATATTTTCTGATTTTCGTGATCGGAGAGAGAGAGAGACGTTTTATTAAGCTGATTCTGGAGGTACAAATTTAATGATGATGGACGGTATGTCTACCGTGGTGGCAATTGGGGCTGATGAACATTGTTCGGTTCACGACATAATTGAGCCGGATTGTGGGTGTTCATGACTAGCACAACTTTTTGAAGATTACTTCACTTCTGGTCGTGCCTAGTATTGGTATTTTAATTGACCTGCACTTAGCAATGTGATGTCAAGGCAACCTTTAAATTATTTTTTGAATTAGACCGTATGATACGGTCATTCTCTGATGATGATTTAACCAAGATTCCCAATTTCTAACGTTGGTTCCCCAAAAATTGGAGAAATTCTAACAGTTCCTTATCAATAATTGTGCAGGAGTAAATTAGTGATGTACTGAGTATGTTGACGTTAGATATGCATTGCAATAATTACTGACCGTGGTTGAGATGACCTGTTCTTTGAGATTCTGATAATCTCATTGTGGTTAAAATGGATTGGTAAAAAGGCTGTTCCTCATTCGAGTCTCACGACTGTTGGAATTGTTAAAATCCTTATCTTTGATAGTGCCAGCTGTTAAAAAGCTTAATGAACTTCCATTGGATTAACCCAATATAACTTGATCAACTTAACGATTCCTAGAAGTGTAGAAATTTCCCAATTTCCGATGTCAATTCCCCAAAAATTGAAGGATTCAAACAGACCCTTATCAATTGTTAAAATGAGTAAATTAGCCTCATTATAGTACTCAGTACTCGTTAGGTATTCCCTGCAATACGCACACAGGGCTGACATAAATCTATAGCCCTGCCCGATGATCGGGTCTAATCAATCAGATCACAGAATTTAGCCCACGTGCTTGACCCCACCAATCACGAGCTGGTATCCGGCCCACGTGACGCGGTGAGATGAATGGGAGAAGGTAAACAGGTCCCTGCACCTGGTCCGGCAGCGCGAGAATTGACTTGTTCTTATCAGGAGACCAAACTCCTACTCCCCCTACTTGAATATTGTAATATTCGGCAAATAAGATTAATAAATTGGCGGTGTGCTATTGGTGGTTAGGCTGTGCCTTGGTCTACCTCCCGAGCTGTCCTGGGGAGGTGTGATCCAGCTGCATTTTTCCGCTATTCAATGATTTAACAGGTACTTAAATTTCTCAATACCTACTGATTAGCCGACCTGAAAAGTTAGCCCTAAACGCATCCCGCCTCCCTGTTAGGGTAGGTAGAGGGTCACGTGGAGTGGGGTCACGTGGGGTGGGGCAGGAACACTTCTCACCCGCAGTTGGTACCTAAAGAGTTGAGTAACTCCACCGGGATGCTGTGACTGGATGTGCAAGTATCTCGTTAAAATGGGGCGATTATTGTTAATTATCTGGCTTGATCCTTCGTGGGAATTTATTCTGAGAGTAACTGACATGGTGACAGCTACTGATATTAATCTGTGACCTCACTAGTATTTCAATTGGACACCTACTTAGCCAGCTAAAGCATATGCTGAGTACCAAGATGACGCTGTGGTTAGCTTACCTCTCCTTATCTGAGGTTTCCCGTTTCAGTCTTTAGGCTGCATATTATTTAGATCTTAAATTCGGAAACCTTAAAAGAGTGGCACCCGTCATCAACCATCATTGCATATTTCGAGAGAAATTCTTGGAATTTTCAAGTTTAAACTTGGTCAAAAACACGATAAACCTAATTGTTAAACACATTCCGTGATGTCAAAGTTCTTAGCGTAAGAAAAGTCTGGTGGTTTCTTAGACAGAGGTACACGAGATTTATTTTTACCAGGGAAATTACCAGAGAATTAGAACCCGATTCAGAGACAATCCCAGCAAATTAGCCACTTGTGACGGTACAATATCTGAAAATGTGCAAGGTGTGCTGAATCACGGTGCGAGTCTATGTTGAGGGATTTGAACGAAGTGCTAATTTAAGGTTAAATATTCTGGGTTTCAAACTAAACAATCGGGATGGGGAACTGAGTAGCAAAGAAATTTCAAGTGTCTGAGGACAGGGTTGGGAATCATAGCAGGAATTTAATCTTAGATAAGAGATTGGGCTGTCCATTGAACCATATTCCGGATCAAATGTTATATTTATCGGGCAATCGTTCTGATCCAAAAATAAGAGTGGTTTCCTTGTTCCGGGTTTGATAGAAATTAGGTTTAAAATGCCTCACTAGATAAACTATTTCATGAAAAGTCACTCACATTTTAATAAAAACCCTCACCCACCGAGCCTAACATCCAAATTGTACATCCACATAACGGGGTTTTCAGTTAAATACATTAATAATCATGATTAAATTGTCTGCAAGTTCTTCCCTTAAATAGCTAATAGACCAAATTAATCTTGACCCTGCAAATTTGCAAAATCCTGTTTCAAAAGTGCCCGTAAAATTAACACCAACTTTCTCCTCAGAGGGATTCCGACCACCAAGCAACAATGGTCTGTCAAGAAGTGTGGGAGGGTGGCCCAACTCCAGAGAGCTACAAAATATGAGCTCGAATATCCCCCAACACAAGAAGGTTTGTACCACTTTCACCACTTCTACTTACCACTTTCACCACTTCTACTTACCACTTTCACCACTTCTACTGACCACTTTCACCACTTCTACTGACCACTTTCACCACTTCTACTTACCACTTTCACCACTTCTACTTACCACTTTCACCACTTCTACTTACCACTTTCACCACTTCTACTTACCACTTTTACCACTTCTACTTACCACTTTTACCACTTCTACTTACCACTTTTACCACTTCTACTTACCACTTTCACCACTTCTACTTACCACTTTCACCACTTCTACTTACCACTTTCACCACTTCTACTTACCACTTTCAGCACTTCTACTTACCACTTTCACCACTTCTACTGACCACTTTCACCACTTCTACTTACCATTTTACCACTTCTACTTACCACTTTCACCACTTCTACTTACCACTTTCACCACTTCTACTTACCACTTTCACCACTTCTACTGACCACTTTCACCACTTCTACTTACCAATTTTACCACTTCTACTTACCACTTTCACCACTTCTACTTACCACTTTCACCACTTCTACTTACCACTTTCACCACTTCTACTTACCACTTTTACCACTTAATTCTGCTATTTAAGTTATTGAATAGTGTTTACTGAGAAATGCTCAAATATTTCATCAATAAAATAAGAACTGGTAATCGTTTCACAGAAAAGCGTTAACTTAGCAATCTGTATGTTTCAAAGAATCTTGTTCTTCCATCTTAGTAAATATTGAAATTTAACAAAAACTACTCCGTAGGGGCAAGTGGAAGCGACCAGAAAACCCAAGCCCAGGAAGACCCAAACAGTTTTCTCCACAACCCAGCTCGCTACCCTGGACACGTGTTACAGAAGGAATAACTACATCACCACAGAGGAGAGAAACGTGCTGGCTGAGACTCTACACATGTCTGTTCCTCAGGTAATTGGTTAATCTACTTCTAATCGCGGTTCCTTATTATATGTTAATTAATCATGTTTTAAAGTGTACTTAATCTGCATAAGTACGATAATTTACCGTGATACTTCTGATATTATTGAACGAATGTTTAAAATATTTATGGCAAACTATGAATATGAGATCATAAATAACGTGACTTAGACTTAGAGTATCCCTACTGCAAATAATAACCAACGTGTCTTGCAGGTAAAGAACTGGTTCCAGAATAAACGAAACAAGGAAAAGAAGCTAGGAAACCATCCAAACAGGAACAACATGCACCTCCAAACAGCTCCTTACCACAGCATGGGTTCCACTATGGGTGGGTACCACAGTCACCACGACATCGGCTTCGGGTCTGGCAACAACAAGCAGATAACATTCCGCAACACTCATAGATACTAAACTCTTCTTGATCACATTTAAGCTGCTTCAGTGCTGTTATGTTGAACTCTGCTTTCGATATTGAGATGGTATTTTGATGACAACCGAGCTTGGTTATGCACGTGCAATTGTGTGGCCATGCTCGTGTGAGTTTAGCTATATTGTTGCTATAGTGTTGCTATAGTGTTGTTATAGTGTGGCTATAGCGTTGCTATAGTGTTGCTATAGTGTTGCTATAGCAAGTGTTGTTAAATAACCAACACTGGTAACTCACCACGACCTGATCGTGACGTAGGGGAGTACGTTTGCACTCGGGCAGTTTTAAACGATCTTTCTGCTTTAGCCTTACAACTGTACCTCATAAACACTGCGACTTTGCTACCTTGTCTCAAAACTGATGAACAATCCAGACATTTTTATTTGATTGCATGCTAATAATAATGAAGTTTGATTTTACTTAGAGATGTTTATATTAGTAGCATGTTTCAACCTACGACAGTTACTGACCTCAGAGTTTAATTTTTACTTTTTTACTTGCCATGTTGGTGATTTTGATTAAACTTTATGTCGATCTGCCGGTGATGTATCTTGATTTAGATAACTTACTATCTGTTCTTTTAATTTTATACTTTAGACATAGGATTTTAGTGATAAGTTAATTATTTTATACCTTGAAAAATTAAATTGCAGTAATTTACCTAGATTTAGAGGCCTCTTTATTTCGCAACATATTAAGGACAAAATTCTGAACTGCGATTTAATTTTAGACGCGTGAGTATTCGTCGTAAGCGGAATTCTCGGGCAAACGTTAAGTGTTCGATGATGTTCAACTTAATCATTACTTAGCAGTGAACCAAAAATATGATTTATAAAGATATTTTTCCGATGTCCGATCAATAATGAACGACATATTCTGTTCTAAACAGAGCTCGATTTTGCCCGACTTTTATGGCTATTAAAAACATCTTAAATCTCGCTTAAATTATCTATGCTTGCACGAGATTAAAAAAGAAGATTTTCGATTAAGGCAATATATACAAGGTGGTTTTGAATTGACGACATGTTGATTATGGAGCACGGCAAAGAAGTAGATAAAAAATGACTGGATCGTAGAACCGTACTCTTAAATCGACATGCGTTAATTCTCAACTGCTTTAAAGTTTAAATAAATCTTGTTGGTATGATGTGTTATCTGTCTCTAATTTTAATTTTCTGTTTAATAATACATTTTCATCCTCTACACTCTACTCCATATTAGTGAACAACAACAGTTTGACTAAAGCAACTTTTGTAAACTTGGTACAAATTTTAAAAAACCTTTTATTTTCATTCGTAAAACTTGTTTTAATTCCCTTCTTCACTGCCTCATGCCTGGAAATGAGTTTCGTTGATGTTGCAACACGATTGTTGCAAAACTAGTATTCAAATTCAAAATATAAGTGAGGTCAGAGACAAATCATTGGTCAAACATTTTGTACTAATAATTGATAATTGAATCTGGAGGTAAGAGATAATTTTTGACCAAGTGCAAGTCCAGCAATTGGATTTCATGAGAAAGTTCACCCAAATCTATGAGAATCTTGGCGTTGACTCATGATTGTTAAGTGTTAACGGTTAATAAAAAAATCAGTTTAGCCAAATTCATTCCCCTTATCGTTATTTTGTGAAAGTCTGTATGCTGTGAGTGTGAGGTGATCGTTTTTATCATCACTGCATGCACTGCAAATTTTTCACTCAAATAAATGTTTCATATTGTGTGCGCCGTGCGAATTCAATTTTCAAATAAAATGCATTTGACCCTGGGTTGAGGAATGATACTCGTCTAAATCCCAGCAAAAGTTACTGGCTGACGGTGTTAGTGTTACTAGAGGTGGTTTAATTTAAACAAACGGCTTGACCTCGCGCGCGACATTAAGTGATTTGCACGCGTGCCACATTCCAATCTTCAAGCAGCCAGCACGTGACACAATTCAGCCAATCAGAGGAAAAGAATCCGCAAAGTTAAAGTTGCAAACTTTTGATCGGCCCAAAATGAGACTTTTCTGGAGATTTTGAGATAATAATATAAAGCTCAACAACTACGTTGTCTTAAATTTTCCTCCTGGAGAGGTAACCTTAGTTTTACGAAACAAACATTTTGTTGAAAACCAAACGTTTCTATTTTGTATCTCTTTTATTTTTTTAACGGGTGATACTCGTAAAATATCTGTTCCGTCGACGAGTCCAACTCGGCGCGCGTCCTGGTAGGTTGTAAACCTACAATTTTATTTTGAGATTAAAAGCTGACTAAAGAAACCAGGGAATTAATTGGATAATGATTATTCACTCTACACTCGACTGTCACGTAACTTTTTCAACCCGTTCTCTAGCTGGCCCTGAACGACTATTATATGCTGTATGCGTAACAAGAATTTCGCCGCGGTTACACCACGCACGATTAATTTTCCCTGCTTAAACCGTTAATATTTGCAACGAAAAGTTAATTTTATCGATTGATAAAAATTAGATGTTGGATTATTTTGTTGTTAAAAAGTTGCAATATTTTCATCGTAATTTGTCATTGTGCGCGTGCAGGATTGCATGTACTCGAATATTTAGTACGCCGCGCACAAATTTTGGGCTAATTTAATTTGAACGGCATCGTTTGACAATTGACAATTGAAATTCGCGTTGGATACTGCAATTAACTAACACATGCCGAGCGTCGCGCACAGCATAACAGACGCTTCCTATACTTATAATTATAGGGGAGTGGTCTATATTGCGAAGGAGCAGACTTTTGTCGACATCGCAGGACCGTCGGGCCACCTCATATATCCAAACCCGATTACTTATTCCCTACGATCTTTTTGCCTTCGGCAAGAGCAGGGAAAAAAAATTCAGGATACAAATTCATTGACACTTATTAATTTAACGTTTACTGGGCCGCGTTCAGCCTGTCATTTTTGCTCTAACCAGAGCCCTCTCGCAATTACAGTAGCGCGCGACCGCCGAATGCGGCAAAGGATATTCTACTTGTGAAACAAGCGCGTCACGCAGTACGCGTATACAAATGGCAATGTGAACATGATAGCCATTAGCCTGAGCTTGTCCCCAGGTAATTTAACGTATGATTCTGATTGTAAAATATTTGTTTCAAATATTAAACCGTCGACGAGTCCAACTCGGCGCGCGTCAATTGGTCAGTTATAAACCTATAACACTTAATTAACGATTTCAACCTTTTCACATCGTTGTTCTGCGAAGTAAATTGTTGTCACACGTTGAAGACCTACCACACGAGTGCGCGGCTGTATCGTGGCTTTCGCTGTTTACTTAGTTATTAGTGAAACGACAATGGAGGTCACGACGTAATACAAGTAAATATTTGCAGAGTAACGATCTTAACAATATTGAATATGGAAGCGAAGCTAGCATGAAAATGTGCTTGGCACGCGAGCGAAAACATCCTCCAAATGACATGCTTGAATAACATTGAATATTTAAATTGTTGTTGAATTTAAAGTATATAATAAGCTTATAGCCATTTTAGGGGGAGCAAAATCATCGTTTGAATGTAAAAAAACACACTTTTTTAAAAGAGATTTTACAGGGGTATCCTCTAAAATCACCTAATTTGTCAAATTTTAGGGAGGCGCGCCAAAAGGGGGAGGGGGCGCCAACAGGAAGGGGGAATTAGCGATGACTATATTGAGGAGTTCTCGCTTGCATGGTTCATGCAAGCTGTGTCCCTGCTCCATCCATATAAGGTCATAAGGTAGGAAGTATAATGAGGGATATGCTCCTGCAGGGTTTACCTGTAAGAGCAGCTGCACAGTGGACAGTAGAAGAGTCTGTGATAATTGGTGTCCAATACCTTACAATTTGGACACTGAGGGTCGCAGTTGTTGGCCACCCTTGCCTGGATAGGAAGGCTGCAAAGGTGATGTCATGGCCATGTAGGAGCGACATAACCTTGGTGTCTGTGCTTCTGCTTGAGTAGCGAGGAAATAATTTTTTGCTTCTTTCATCAATGTTATCCAGTATCTGACCCTCACTCTGATTTATTCTGGGGTTCAGCAAGAGATGTTCATTCCAATATTCCACTTATATTGGGAGTCTATACTTAAATTTAGAGCCACAAGGCCAATTGTAATCTTCAAGTGATTCAGTCAATATTTTAGAAGGGGAACATGTACTACATTTTTGATGGTTTCATTTTATATAGGGTCATAATTGTAATATTATGTGTATATTGTTTGAATACTTTTTATTATTTCTTATTGGTTATAATTTTGTCCGTCCGATCGCCTTTTTTTCCTTGCTCTGTTGTGACAGAATTGTATGGAGCCATATTCTTACAATTATAACTATTTCCGGGAATTATATGCGCTAAAACTCGTCGACACTGAGAGCTGATAATTTGCAGATTTTTCCTGCAAGGAACTGAAGGTATTATGAGCACATATTGTGAGTCACCTCAGACTGGCTGGCGGGAAGTTTCAAAACAAATAACAGTGGCGCACTATATATTACACACTATATTGTATCATGCGCACGTATCACGTTACACATCTTACAGGAGCCACCGTCAATAGTTATAACAAATAACATCTTCGCTTCTTTTGGACGTAAATTCCCTCCAGCAAGCTGTTGGGAATTATCACACGTAGCCTGAAGAAGCAAAGGTATTATTGTATTGTACGTCATGTTCAATTGTCTATAACGGCCCCAGAATAAGAAACATACATAATATTACAGATCAGCTTTTACAATACATTTAAACAGAGTCGAAAATTCTGCATTGAAGACAGAGTTCTGCTTTAAATGATTTCGACCATCAGTGGCGTTATGTTGCCTGTTGGCACCCTCCTGATGGAAAAGCGCCCCCTTGTTAGCGCCCCCCACCCACCCCCCCTTTTGGTGCCCCCCCCCCTAAAATTGGACAAATTAGATGATTTTAGAGGATACGCCTGTAAAATCTCTAAAAAAGTGTGTTTCTAGTTTTGCTAGTACCGTAGTTAAGTTTTTCAAAATTGTCCCACATTCAAACGACAATTTGGCGCCCTCCCCTCCCCCCGCACAGCAGGGTCGGCGGGCCCTTCGTTACGCCACTGTTGACCATAATATCTACCCAGCAGTTTACAAATTGATTACATTATGATGAAAGTATCTAGTGCTAATTTCATGCTCACTATTCTACTCCACTAGGTCTTGGCAAGAAAATGGGCTTTAAGTTTGCAATTGATCGTGGTGGAACATTCACTGATGTTTATGTTGAGTATCCTGATAAGACCCAATTTGTTTACAAGTTGCTTTCTGAAGATTATCACTACAAAGATGCCCCTAGTGAAGCTATCAGGAGGTTGATATCCAAGGTTCATAAGATTTAATTATTTGTTTAATAACTGATAACTCCCTTTAATTTAGTTGAACTCTTATTATGTCTAAGATTTCCCATTAAATTTCAAAACAGCATATTGCTCTTACTTGCTAGATACGATTAAATATAGAATTAGACTCCTCTAGGGGAATTTAATAGAACTATTTGAAGTTAAATTTATTTTACAGAAAACATTACTGTTGCAATTTCACCAATAAATTCAATTATTCAGTTCCACGGTCAAGAGATACCCTATCCTATTGAGACAAAAGACATTGATTGGATCCGAATGGGAACCACTGTAGCAACAAATGCTCTACTAGAAAGAAAAGGGGAACCTATGGCATTTTGTGTGACAAAAGGTTTTAAAGACCTGCTCCACATTGGGAATCAAGCTCGACCCTCTATCTTTGATCTGGTACTAAGAATATATTTAACGTAGACAAACTAATATTTCTGTTCACATATTAGCAATTTCAAACAGTTATCCTTGATTGAAAGTGGTTTCAATCGTACAAAATAAAAGATATGTAATTAAACTGGCATAAAATATCTTTAAATCAAAGAATCTCCCAAATCGTGTACCTATTAATAAAACATTATTTCCATCTGTTTTCATCAAATCCTCCATGTCATAAATTCTTATTTTGAAATTGACTGTCCACCACAGTTCTTGACTTGGCTATCTGTACTTTTTCAGTAGAGATCTCTTTCTTTTCTTCTGCTTGCAAAGGTTTTTCCATTATAGATTGAAACACAGACATCATCTTTGAAACCTTATCTAGTTGCTTTGACACATCATCAAATGCATTGACAAGACTGTGTAATTTACTGGTTAACTTTTCGTTATTTTTGTCTACCTGCTCAATCTTTGTAATTTCTCTATTCTGGAGGATCTCAGAATGTCTCAGAGATGATTTTAGCTCATTTCTTAGAAGATAGTGATCCCACCCTCGATTCCTGATATCTTTTTTAATTTGTATGATTCTGTTCTTTGCGTCTTGAGCAACGTTTTCCCTTGTGTAGTGGGTCAACATTACTTTTTGAGCTCGCTCTCCGATACGTTTCAGCTTAGATGGGTGATTCACACACCAACGGAGTAGATCAGAAAGTTCAGTCACATTTATAGCTGCCCATTGATGCAAGTCTTTATACCTGTGACATAAAATTATAAGATTCCTAATAATTGATGATACACAGTGATAGATAAAGTGTTGTTGCACTACCGCAAGTATTCAAATTATATGATGTATCATAATGTTATGACGTCATGAAGTGAACCTACTGTGTTCCCCCTATAGCCCAGGATTCACCAACAAAAGCAGGCTCCAGCTCGTTGACGTGAAGTGGAATCGAGTAGGATTCTTTTACAAACTCGGATACTCCTGACCATATCGGAACTATCACTGGCAAACCTGTATATTAAAAAAGGGTCATTGAATAATTTGCAATTATTATTGAATAATTTGCTACTTTAAGCAAGCTTAAACTCGAAATCTCATAAAGGTATGTCACGACTGAATAACATTGACCTGCAGCCATGGCCTCCATGATGGGTCTACCCCAGCCTTCTCCGTGGGTGGGGAGAGCAAATACGTCTGCACTGAAAATAAGATACATTAAATAAAATTACTTCATTAATCTTCCTTAACACCATTGGTCAGTCTACCTCTCTTTCATGTATGATTACATGATTACTCTCCAAAAATTCTGATAAAAGAAAAACCACTAAAAGTAGCATTATAGGCCTTCTTCAAGCAGCTTTTAGCAGCTTGGTCTAGTTGTCAAATCTGTAAATAAATAAAATACCTCTGGTATGCCAGGATAAGATCTTCATTAGAAAGTCTATCTAACACATAAATTCTTAGTCCCCTATCGTTGAATGTTTGGATTGCTCCCCTCTGTTTACTATTCAACTCTGCTCTTATATACAGACAAGCTTTCCCGCCGGTTTCGTCTCCCTTGAATGTATTTTTAAACGTATTGGTTAAAATGTCCACACCTTTTCTACGTTCCATTTTGCCTACTGATAGGAAAATGATGTCTGTTTCCAAACAGTTTGGGTATAAAACTTTTCTGATTGCTAACCTTTCCTCAACATCTAATGTCCTCTTGAATTGCTCTGGATCAAAACCTTCCCTTATGACGTATATGGGTTTAAAGATACCAGCTGACTTGAAAACCTCTTTAGCGAACTTGCTTGGTACCCATAATTCATCAAGATATTCATTAATGTAGTATTCCCAATTGTTTGGTATCCAGGTTGTTTCAAACATTGCTCTACCCACTTTATAACCTGAATATTTTAACCTCGTGTTCTGAAATATATCTTCATATTGACTCGGCTGATCAAAGACTATTGAAATAACCTTGTTGTTTATTGAGAATTCTTCAGCTATCATAGCTCCATTAACAAACAAGTCCTTTAATACCGCCTGATCAGTATCTGAAGGTCTGCGAAAAATGTATTGATGCGGACATCAGCTAAGGAGCTCCCAGCATACCAACCAAATTCTAACATTCCAGCAAGAGGTATCATGAAATTAAAAGCCTCCTGAACGAAACCCTGCTGTCCTAGGAAGTTTTCACCTAGTTTTGTGTACCATAATATTGATGCTTCCGCTTGCTGGGGTGTGGTGGAGAAAGTGTAGGTCAGGTAGAGTGAGGATAGGAATGTAAGGAGAATGTGAGGAGTAACAATGGTTTTAGGAGGTATTGCAGGTTTCTCAGTGGCAGGGCGTGAGGGAGTCTTTTCTTTATGTCTCTCAAGTTCATTGTAAAGTCAACTTTCTGCAAAATGTATTGTGTGTACTACACTGAAAATGTATATTGAATGAGATCAAACTGATGCAATTTAACTGATCGTAGAATATATTGGAAACAAGGACCTTTGTAGTGCGGCGTTTACAATTACACGGCCTTAATAATTCGTGCGGTTATAGAACAACTACAGACTAAAGATTGGTGGCTAATTGGATGTGATAAAAAAGCAGTAAAATATAATAGTAATACCAGTGAAATACCTTACGAGACATATTTACTATTTAGATGGTACGAAAGTCGGTGGTTTTTCGAAAAAAACCATATTTTTGGACTCAATATAGTAAGCTATAAATATGATCAATCAAACAAATGAACACTAGTGAGTAGTTTTCGATCATGAATTGCTGGACACGTAACATTGTGATTAAAAGTAAACAAGCTCTGTCACTACTATATCGGCCACGGCCCACGGCACGGCGGTGAAATTTCGGGAGTAGTGGAAGATTACAGACACTGTCGGTTTCCTATACCATCTGGAGGATTAGAAATTAAGTTGAGGATAACTTTCAAAAGCTCCGGAGAAATTTTTTACAAGCTGAAACAGCTGATCAGAGATCTCTGTATTTAATTTTCTCAAATATGTATTGGGTTTCATTTTTGTAAAATAAGGAGATGAAAAAAATCCCCAAAGACCATGATTTAATTTGGAGTACGAAATGTGGCGGTTTTCGGAAACAATTCCCATATTTTCGTTCCCAAATCATTTAGGTCACCGAAATTATGTCAAACATGAATATATCTCGTAAGGTATTCGATATAATGAACTATTGATAGCAAGTACGACGAAATCTTGCAGTCTTCAGTGCAATAGCTTCTTGAGTATAAAAGTATATAAATGGTGCACTCAGATACAAACTAGATAAATACAAACTGCAGCTTTAATTTGTTAATCCGATGAAATTCTACAGCTCAATACGCAAGCACAATCTGTTTATATTTAAATTTCTTGCCTGTAATATGTTGGCCCGAAAACACTGCACAGCACAACACTACTAAAAAACTGCACAATTGCAATGTACTACACGCAAACACGTACTGTTTATATCAAAATGCCCTGTATAGGTAAAATTCCCTGTAGTTGCAGGTGAAACTACTTTAATATTGGGACATTTTTTATAATAATGGATGACGGATGTTATTTTACGGATGTTATTGTACCAATCAGCTGTAAATGTGCATAACCGTGTTAAACGCTTAAACTTACAAGTGATTTCTACCTTGGGTTGTCTTGGGGCGACTGCGGATTAATATCACCAGTACTGATTTGTTTATTTCAGGCTCAATTTCATCATAATAAGAACCTGATAATCGTAGTTATTAGATAGATAATAGAAAATATCAGCCCAGGTGAAAGCTCCATGTAAAAACACGACCTTTTATCATTATTATCATTGCTGGAGCTAAAGGTTCCAGAAACCATTGAAGTATAATTCTCATACCCTCCCCTACCCGCGGATAGTTACCACACGTGACACAAACCTTAAAACAAAAATGCAGCTACAATAACCTCATTACTACAAACTAAAAGATATATAAGCACCAAAGGGAAAAGTCATGACACTTATAATATAAGGGGTTAACAGTAAACTTGGTTAACAGTAAACTTACTATACGTATGCAAGTATGTGAGTTAAAGGACCAGTTAACTGAAAAATTTGTAGTCCCCAATTTGGCTAAGATTTAAATCAGCTGTGACAAACTGGTAAAGAATCGTACCGCCGAAAGAACCAACTCTCTAGCGTACGTGTAACGCGTGTTATTGCAATAATAAGCTGTGGCCTCGTGACGTCACGAAGTCCCTCAGTGCGCGCTGGCATAGCGTAATACGTTGCAAATGTTTATCGTTGTCATTAAAACACGTGTAACTCACTCAAATTTTAGAATTATGACTATTACCCTAGTTCTCCAAAATCCTTATAGTTTTGGCTATCATCCTAACTAAAGGAATAGCTGATTAGATGTACAGTGCTCACGTCATGATTTTAAACAGTGATATAGGTTCTTGAACAGTGGCGGGTGAATGTACGGTTAGAAAGTTTCTGATATTACAGTTCTTATGTCATATGTGATAATTTTGGATTGTTTTCATTGCTTAATTACACAAGCAGGGAGACTGTACCGATTATTTTTCCCCAGTCCATGAAACTCTAACGAATTTAGAAAGGATCTAGATAAGTAGGAGTTTGTTCAATTCCGAGAGCAATTATATTTATAGCATAGCGAAATTTCTAACTTTAAATCGTATGTGTCAGCCAGTACAGGAGACAAGAAGTCTGGCTACTTTACGGCCGTTCCTCTGGGACCATTAGTAGAAGTAGCTTCTATCAGAACAGTGCCGTGGGAACAGAATTCCCGCCAAAATACCCGGTCTACCAAATAGTAATAGTGATGGGAGTGTACGGTGTGCGATGTGTTTTGAATTAGACTTACGGCTTACCTAGTTGTTATCCTAATTGCATTATCATCGGTACATAACATAAATAAACTACTGGTAAGTTTAAATACCAAGTGCAAACGTGTTCAGTCAATCGACCTACTGAACAACTATAGAATTTCCAAGACCCTATTATTCTTTGGCCACATATTACGGCACGATCGATTGTTAGATGGTTAAACGACCAACGTTAATCTATACAATTCTAAAACTATGAGCTAGCACTTTAATCTAAAAATACACTTTTTATATTACTCCTGATTTTTACATTTCACGTAAAACATTGTCGCCACAGGTTTATCATGGACACTAACAGCTTAATTTGAGATAAATGACTTATGAGTTTCTCTAAAGTTAACTCTAAAGTTGTGTAGTCCAGTCATTTATGGACATTTATGGAAATGAACCTGCAAATGTTCAGATACTCACGAAACTTTGCACAGACCTTCCCGAAGGTATGAATAAACGATTTTCGTTTGGGGACATTTTTTTGACAGTGGAGAAAACCCAGGAGGGCCACGCCCATATTGACCCAATAACGTAATCGACCCCTTGTTTCTGAAGGTCGTAGAGACTTCAAAATAGGCTTAAACGAAGCCGCATATGCATGTTTATATAGGAGTTATTGAGCAACACATGGCCTAAAATCCTTACTTTTCGAGAAATTCGCCAAAAACCATTTTGGGCGTGGTGCTGAGCCCATTTTCGATAGGATCGTGATAGAGTCTTTAGACAGGGTGCAAAAGAACCGGAATTAGCATATTAATATATGACTTACGAACAAACATATGCCTTAAAGTGCTTACTTTTTCAGTTATTGGCGAAAAACTGATTTTCGGTTCCAGAAATCATGCAAAACTATGGGTATCTGGTAAATTGGGCTATGAAGGCCCTAAAGGTTTTTGAATGTGTGCAAATTGTGCAGAATAGCCATGTTTATATACAACTTATGAAGCAACATGTACCCTAAATTACTTACTTTTCGAGTTATTCGGGGAAAAACATTGTATTATGTCCATTTTCTACCTGTAAAATACAGTCTCACGAGCTCTTCTGCGCGCGCAAGGGACTTCGTGACGTCATCGCCAAAATAATACAAACGCTATTTACACGCGTTAGAGAGCAGTTAGAGATTTAGGAATTTCGACTCGTTGCTTAGTTTGCTATTTGTCACAATCTGTCAAAATATGAGGATAACTTTTTTTTCAGTTAACTGGTCCTTTAATGCTATTTTAAAATATAATATGTACTTCTTGCACGAACTTGCACGGTCAATCACGCCGATAATCTAGTATTCGGTTGTCAGGGTATAGCAAATATTACGTGTATTATAAGGGTTTAACAAATGGGCAAATTGTAAAACTATAAATAACTACAAATCGTTTAGAGGTGACAATTTTTCTTTGAAGAGTAACCACTTCAACCATCCACTACGTCACGCGGTGAATACCGTCACGCAACGGTAAATACAGAGCTAGCAAATAAAAGAGTAATCAACATTAATTAATCTACTGAACAATATTAGTAGTTTGTAACCTAGTTTCGTGCTATCCAAATCAATACTTTACCAATCAGTACAATTACATGCCAATCGGCTGTGTTGCTAAAAACTTACGTGAAATCATATCATCAAATTAAGTTAATGTAAAATAAAGAAATTATGGTAAAAATAGGACACGAAATGCCACGATTCAATTCTTATGATCATGATGATCAAACAAATATATAATGTTGATTAAATTTCCGCGTAATACCTCAGGTGCATATAACTTGAATCAAGTTAAGAAACATATCATAATAATATTCTAGTGCTAAGGTATTCACACAAGATATTGCAATGATATCCTGTTGATGTACAGTTTACAAAGTGTTATTGACTGTGTGAATTGTGAAAGTGTAATTAACGTGTAATAAACGTTAGAATTTATTTTATTTATTTATTTATTATTAGGTGTAACTAATGGTAGTTTCTAAACTTAAATATTCGTTATCTTAGTACAATTCTTATTGAATTAATTATAACTAATTATTACTAAATTTTACTAATTATTACTAATTATTACTAATTAGTAACAACATTTCCCACCTCAGAGTTGCTCGTGTCCGGAGGTGTTGTACAGTCACGTGGTTGAAGTGGTGGAGAGAGTGGTTCCTGTTCAGGACAAGTGCCAACTTTATCCAGACCACTCCGACAGGTAAATAATCCTTATTTTAATTATGAAACGTACCCAGTTACTTTTTTCCCCTTTTTTCTTTCTTTCCCCCTTTTTTTGACACAGTTACTTATTAGTTATTATTACTTATTATTAAGTTATTATTACTTTTTATTATTAATTCATTAAACTAGAGCTGCGGTACGAACCTTCTTGTATCATTAGGTCATGTTCCGAGACACCTAATAGGACTTGTTTGTGAGCAAGACATAATGTCTAGTAAAGTTCATTCCATGAGGCACTGAACTTATTTTCACTGTACGTGACTTTTCAGGATGATTGTGGAGAAGCCGCTGGACACAGTTAAACTTACTCGTGATCTAAAGGAACTGAAAGCAAAGGGGATTAAAAGCATCGCAGTTGCTCTGATGCATTCATACTGGTTAGTATTAATGATTATTGATTAACTATATAATGTTCAACATTTTTCTCTTTAAAAGTCGAATTCAAATAATCTTGACGGATGGATGTCATGTGGGCATTGATTAATAAAATAATATTTTTTCCACAAAATTGAATTTAGATAATTAATCGTCGCATATAACATGTATAAATATACAGGGTGGCCCATAAGTGACTACCCACACGCAACCTCTTAATAACTCACGTAATTCGTCTCCAAATTGCACCAAAATTTCAGAGATTATAGATATGGGTCAAACTTAGATTTCCTGAAAGTTTCGTAAGCCACGCCCAATTACAGTGGGCGTGGCGTGACACTCCCTCTTTTTCACTATTGTCTTCATAAAATGAGAACGCTTTAAGCTAAGAACTCAAAATTTTTTGCACACATTTGGCTTGATAATTGAAAACCTTTCCCAAAGTTTCAAGTTCATTGGTTAAAATATGGCTAAGTTATGACCATTTCAAAACTCATCGGATACGTGATCCGAGCACTCAGTCAGTGATCTCGTCACTTGGTTAATGGCCTGTTTGGCTCACATGCACCGCTTGATTGGTTGCAGCCTGCTTATGGGCCGGCCTATACAGCTGACAGCACCTAAAACGCGATCATCACAAGATCAAGTTTACGTTTTCTGCACACGATCGGCGAAGAGTCGGCAGAAGACGAACTGCGAGGACTGTAGAAAACATCACGATGGTTGTTGGTGACGTGATGGACACACCTAAGATTGGCACCCGGAAACGAGCTCCTGCCTTAGACATCAGCAGAACAACCCTTCAGCGAATCCTAAAGCAAGACCTTTCTAACCAGGCCTACCGAATCACAAAGAAACACAAACTTTTGGACCGTGATTTCCAATCGAGGATAGATTTCGCCAACACATTCCTGTCCAAGCAGAATGTGGATCCCTACTTTGAGGACGAAATCTGGTACAGCGACGAGGCTCACTGCCATATAAACGGATATGTCAACTTCCAGAATGCAATTCACTGGGGCTCTACTAGACCGGATGAAGTGGTGGAGAGAACGGCTTTTCCTGAAAAGGTCACGATCTGGTGCGCCATCAGTTCTCGTGGAATCCTAGGACCTTACTTTTACGAAGAAAACGGAAGTAGAGTGACAGTCAACGGAGTTCGCTATATGGATCTGCTGGAGAACAAGTTTTATCCTGATCTGTCGCAGTTCTCCTTCAACAACCCCTACCTCACCACGGACTGGTGGTTCATGCAGGATGGAGCTCGACCTCACATCGTTCGACCAGTTCAGAATTTCCTCGCTAACAAGTTCGCCCACAGAACCATCGGACAACATCTTGGAACACACTGGCCGGCTAGAAGTCCTGACCTTACACCGTGTGACTTCTTCCTGTGGGGGTGGGTGAAGGACCAACTCTATAAGAGATATCCTATTGCAAACATCACGCAGCTAAAGCACCACCTGATCGACATCATCCATAATATGGACCCAGCGTTTGCTACGAACGCTTGTCGGAGTGTGAAGAAGCGGTGCCTCAAGGTGATTGCAGCTGGGGGACGACAATTTGAACATCTTAATTGAAATTATTGAATTGTTTTTGTGTGGGAATTTTTATTAGTTGATTTCATTTATTGATTTATCCTAAAAATTTGTGTTTTCCTTTCTAGCAAAGTCATCATCGGTATCCAATCAAAGCCTAATGAACCTCATTAATACACGCTAACGCAATTACTCTTGATCAGATTGGGTGACGAGATCACTAATTGAGTGCAAATATCACTGACTGAGTGCTCGGATCACATATCCGATGGATTTTAAAATGGTCATAACTCAGCCATATTTAAACCAATGAACTTGAAACTTTTGGAAAAGTTTTCAATTATCAAGCCAAATGTGTGCAAAAAATTTTGAGTTCTTAGCTTAAAGCGTTCTCATTTTATGAAGACAATAGTGAAAAAGAGGGAGTGTCACGCCACGCACACTGTAATTGGGCGTGGCTTACGAAACTTTCAGGAAATCTAAGTTTGACCCATATCTATAATCTCTGAAATTTTGGTGCAATTTGGAGACGAATTACGTGAGTTATTAAGAGGTTGCGTGTGGGTAGTCACTTATGGGCCACATGTATAATATTAGTGCTTTTCATGCAACAAGTAAAACAAATCCTTTATGTCATGTTTCCAGGGTTTGGACTGGAATTTCCCGCTTAAAGAACCTCCATCACGTTACATTACATAATTTTCTGAAAACATATATTACATTTACAATAAATTATGCAATATCACAACATTACAATCAACAAAATAAATTTAATCGCAGAATCTCAAATGCAAATAATCGTAAATTAAACACAAAAAACAAATTAAACATGCAATAAATGAATATACGAATGCGCATCTTTTGTCAACTTACTCCTTCATAAAATTAATTTTTGACAAAAAATTTTTTAGACGGTAAAATAATGGTTACTAATTTATAAGTCACAAATAATAAATCAATACAAATTAATCACAAATACTAGAATAATTAATAGATATTAGGTAACTTATATAACTGAAAAACGATATATGTCGATACATATAATACAAGCTCAATTGAATGAAAATTATCAAAATTATAAATAAATAATTTTGGCCATTTGTATTGTGACTTGTGAGCGTACAATGACCACATTTATATGCGAATTTACGATTGTCTAATCGTAAATATCAATCGCCCTACCCGCTCCTATCTGCAAAAATTATAAAATTTGTTCACACATTTACCATTTTTTTTTTAAAATGTGAAAAACATTGATAAAACAATTTACCCACGTTGCAAATCCACCGTAAAGCATGAACAGTTCTAAAAATATCACCAGCTGTGTTCTGAAGTTTTCTGGTCCAGACTAACAATTATGTAGTTTCGCAGATCACGAGCTGCAGGTAGAGGAGATTGCCAAGCAGCTGGGCTTCACCAACATTTCACTTTCTCACAAAATAATGGAGATGATAAAGATAGTCCCCAGAGGACATACAGGTATTGTTAATAGTAAAAGTTGATTATCTGTACTTTCTAAAGTTGAAAACAAACCATTTCATCGATTCTTCTTGTTCTTATCGACCGAATATGTAATATTTTTGAATACATCACACAAATTTGTTTTTGATCCGACATCTGAACATCCTGATTTCAGCTTGTGCGGACGCGTATCTAACTCCCCACATACAAGTTTACCTGTCAGGATTCATGAAAAACTTCAAAAACAACCTCAAGGTAAGTTAAACTGTAGTCGACAGTGTAATTTAATAATATTGATCCGTCTATGATTATAGATCGTACCAAAGCAACTTCCACTCGTAAATCATTACCCTTCTCTAGGACGTTCCACTGCTGTTCATGAGATCTGACGGCGGTCTAACCCGAGCGTCTACCTTCACCGGTAGCCATGCTATCCTGTCTGGTCCTGCGGGAGGGGTAGTTGGGTACGCTCAGACTTCCCCCGCTGACACACCCCTCGTAGGGTTTGATATGGGGGGCACTTCTACTGATGTGTCTCGATATGCTGGCAAATACGAGCATGTGTTTGAAACTACAACTGCAGGTTTGAGAATTTTTACTTATTTATTTAGGTTTGATGCAATTTCTATCTTTACAATTTCTTATTTATGAGCTGACAATGAAAATTGATCCCATTATTCTCCAGGTATCAGCATCCAAGCACCCCAGCTGGACATCAACACCGTGGCAGCAGGTGGAGGTTCCTGTATCACCTTCCGTGCCGGACTCTTTGTAGTCGGCCCTGAGAGTGCTGGAGCTAACCCTGGTCCTACTTGCTACAACAAAGGGGGTCCTCTCACCGTTACAGATGCTAATCTTATCCTGGGTAGATTGAGACCCGAACATTTCCCCAATATATTTGGACCAGGAGAGGATGAGCCACTGAATGTGAGTGCTACCAAAAGGAAGTTTGAAGTGCTGCGGAGGGAGATTAGTGGGTATTTGGAGAAAGAGATGACGGTTGAGGAGGTAGCTCTGGGTTTTATAGATGTGGCTAATGAGACGATGTGTAGACCTATACGGGCCCTTACTCAGGCAAAAGGTAGCTTTTAGTATTAACTTTACTAACTTTACTGAATTTATTGTTTCTAGGTATCCGGTAGGTGGTATCATATCCATTTTAAACCATGGTGATTTTGCTCTTTCTGCTGTTTTAAGTGAATGAATTTGTATGTGAAATCAATAACTCAATCATAATTTGTTATCGAAGTAATCCAACCTCGCAAACGTAATCTGATCATTTAAAATGTATATGTTTAGCCTCCTCCTAAACATGACTTACCCAGGTCACGACACATCCCAGCACGCCCTGGCTTGTTTCGGTGGCGCGGGCGGACAACACGCGTGCAGCATTGCACGATCCCTCGGCATGAACACAGTCTACGTGCACAAGTACAGCAGCATACTGTCCGCGTACGGCATGGCACTAGCTGACGTGGTACACGATACACAGAGACACTGTGGGGTGAAGTTCAGTGCGGAGAACTGGGGTAAGGTTGATGTTATGATGGAGAGTTTGAAGGAGGAGTGTCGTGAGAAACTCGGAGAGCAGGGATTTGACGAACCTATTCTTGACCCCTACTTACATTTGAGGTAACCAGATCTCCCTGAACATTCTAACTGAATCATTGAGAATTATTATATTTGTTATAATATAACTGATTAACAATCAACTGTGTAATTAATAATTGGACGGTTTATCATTATTTTTATATACCGTCGGCTGCGCTGTAAGCATAAACGTTTTATTATCTGGTTGGTATACCTTTAAATCCCAATTCCTTCTATGATATTATGTTGGGTGTCCTGTATCAGTTAGACATTATCCTCACTTTCAGATACGATGGAACCGACTGTGCTCTGATGTGCCCAGCATCATACCCCTCTGCCACCTGTAAAACTGGGGGCTACTTGAAGTCTTTTGAGGAGCGCTACCTCATCGAGTTTGGGTTCACCCTCAAAAATAGAGCTATCATTGTGGATAATGTTCGAGTAAGAGGCATTGGCAAGAGTGAAATAAGATTAGATGATAAGCTTGGGGAACGTAATGATGTCCGGGATAAATCAGTTGAAGTGTTCTTCAAAGGTGGAGCTCAGAATGCAAGGTTAGTCCAGCTGAAGTCGCTCAACATGGGAGCTAACATTGTGGGACCAGCCATACTTCTGGATAAAAACAGTACTATTCTAGTTGAACCAGGCTCCACCGCTACTGTAACGAACTCAGGTGATATTAAGATAGATGTAGGTGATGCAGCAGGTCGGGAACTGTCTACTGAGCTAGATCCGATACAACTCAGCATCTTCTCTCACCGCTTCATGAGCACAGCAGAGCAGATGGGCCGGGTCCTACAGCGTACTTCCATCTCTGTGAACATCAAGGAGCGTCTGGATTTCTCCTGTGCAATGTTTGATGCAGGAGGTGGGTTAGTGGCAAATGCTCCCCACATTCCAGTGCACCTGGGTGCTATGCAGGAGGCGGTAAAGTTCCAGCTGGAATACCGAGCAGGTGACCTGAAGGATGGTGATGTGCTGCTAAGCAACCACCCGTGTGCTGGTGGCTCCCACCTTCCTGACATGACAGTCATCACCCCGGTCTTCTACCCTGACTTTAAAGAGCCGGTGTTCTTTGTAGCGTCACGTGGTCACCATGCGGATATTGGTGGTCTGACTCCAGGCTCCATGCCGCCCATGTCTCAGACCCTCCAGGAGGAAGGGGCTGCTGTTTACAGTTTCAAGTTGGTTGAAGATGGCAAGTTTGATGAAGCGGGGGTGACGGAGATACTGATGGAGCCTGGGAAGTATCCTGGGAATTCTGGGAGTAGGAATCTGCCTGATAATATCTCTGATCTCAAGGCTCAGGTTTTTCATCCACAACTTGATGATTTAGTATTTTTTCATTCAATAAGTTCCTTTTTTACAATGGTTATAAGAACAGGTTCCGAAAATTATATCGATCCCCCCAACAACCACAGTTTATTTTGATTTAAAACAAAGGCAGCAATGGCAGTATTGAGTATCTAATCTGTAATTTGTGTGTAATGCGCTTACTAGATTAACATTGATCAACTTCAACTCAGGTGGCAGCAAATCACCGAGGCGTGTTACTGATACAGGAGCTAATGAGAGAGTACACAGTAGAGGTGGTACAGGCGTACATGGTACACATTCAAACAACTGCTGAGATGTCTGTAAGGGAACTCATGAAAAAGGTATGACTAGACTGATATGAACTAATCTCTCAAGTTATCCCTTAGTTCAGAATACAATTTTTTATTATTATTTCTGTAGATGTGATCAATTATCAACATAATATTTTGAAGCAAGTTTTGTAAAATATAGAGCCTCTAGGCTCTAGCTCTCTAAAGAAGTAAACTTATTAGATCAAGAACCTGACAGTGCATTGTTAAAATTATAATGTGTTTCTTAATGCATCAAGGTTAAGTTAACACTTGATCGACTTAATTATCAGTTGTGCACAAATGTATATTGTTTACAGCATTGCACAACATTTTCACGACTAAAAGATCCAATTTCGTTCTAGTTATCTATTACTTTAGAGCCGACATCGAATACAGCCCGATATCTGATATTCAATATCTGGTATTCAATATCTGGTGTTCAATATCTGGTACACCGCTTATAACAAGTTGCCCAGGTGTCTAAAGAAGCGATGTCGCGGAGTGGTAAAAGTGTACTGACAGCATCAGACCAACTGGACGATGGTAGTCCCATTACTCTCCGTGTAGAGCTGGATCCTAAGTGCGGGGGTGCTGTGTTCGACTTCTCCGGTACAAGTCCTCAGGTTGGTTATTCGGGGGGGGGGGGGGGGGGGGGGGCCTTATTCGGCATTTTACTTGAGAGGTTCCTTCTACTCGCAACATTAATAAATATATGGTTGTCTGTTTTTAGCCAATCACCGATTTGGCTTGGCTTGTTTCGATTTCCAGAGAAATACACTTGAAACATTGCAATTTTATTAAGGTTTTGATATCTGCCTCCCCTGCAGGTTATAGGAAATCTAAACACACCCAGAGCCATAACATTGTCTGCTATAATCTACTGTTTGAGGTGCATGGTGGGCTATGACATTCCCCTCAACCAGGGTTGCCTTATTCCTATCACCGTGAAAATACCCAAAGGTTTGTTTTTTTGAAGTGACTGAATAGTCGGACATCAGAATAGTTTTAAAGTATCTAAATCTACTGTTATCTATGATTTGTAGTACTAGTTATAATAGTTTGATTGATTTTTGACACGAAGGGAACTCGACTTACTCGACTTACTTCGACTTAGGGCGGCTTCAGCGTCCGAACAGAAATAGTCTTCTTCCAAATCTGTCTATTCAGCATGAGTTTGTTAATCTCTTTGCTGTCGTCAAGCCCCGTGTCCTTCCGAAGGATGTCAATGTATGTGAGATGTGGTCTTCCCCTTCGACGATGTCCTTGAAGGGGTTCCCAGAAGAGAAGTTGATGACTCAATAGTTCTTCATGTCTGGCTAAATGACCTGCGAGTCTCATCCTCCGTGCAGCTATCTTATCAGATGCTCTGATGAGGTGTCCATACACCTTGGCGTTACACAAATTTGGCTTGGAAACTTCGTTTAATACATCGCTAGAGCCTCAAATTATTTGTTATATAGTAGTGTTGAAAGTATTAAAACATTATAAGTATATAAAAAATTAAGTTATAATAGTTGGCTCGTTACCAGGGCCGTGTTACTAACCCCCACCCCACCAGGTAGTGTTCTAGATCCTCACCCGGGAGCAGCTGTTATTGGAGGCAATGTTCTTACTTCTCAGCGTATTGTAGATGTTATCTTCAGCGCTTTCTCCACTTGTGCTGCTTCGCAGGTTACTTTAAATGTAGTTTTTTTAAAAAGGCTTGAGAAAAAATCCATTTCTATATTGTGTTACTTTTATAAAAATCTTCGAGCAATAGTTTGCTATCGACTTCAGATAAATTAAATCTACTTTAAAAACTCTACCGTTACATTCCATGTGATCAGTTTAAAAAAGAAATATTGTTTTCCAGGGCTGCATGAACAACATAACGTTTGGTAGCGAAGAAGGAGGTTACTATGAGACTGTAGGAGGGGGTTCAGGGGCAGGACCAGACTGGAGCGGCAGATCAGGGGTGCACACTCACATGACCAATACTCGTATCACTGACCCTGAAATCATTGAGACGAGGTTTGTTATAGTTACTGGAATAAAATGCTAGTTTCTGGCAGATGCTTCAGCTCAGGCTAGAAATTTAATCTCTAAAATTAAAACTGGAGTGATCATTTGAACGATCGGATGAGCAATAGAAATGTTTAAAACTGATTGTTCAGTGACCAGTCTAATAATGCCTGTTATCACGTGACATGTAAACAATAAACCTGCCACTTAACCCAGATACCCGGTGTTAGTTGACCACTTCTCTCTACGCCACGGATCAGGAGGAACAGGACTACACCCAGGTGGAGACGGCATGGTGCGGAGACTGCGCTTCAGACGAGACCTCACCCTGTGTTGTCTGACAGAGAGACGGTCTACTCAGCCGTATGGTATGCAGGGTGGTGGTTGTGGAGCTAGGGGCAGGAATGTGCTAGAGAGGTGTAATGGTCAGGTTATTAACTTGGGGGCTAAGTGTGCTGTTCAAGTTGTGCCCGGGGTTAGTCGTTTTTAATCTAGTAGCTCATTTTCAAGATTTTATAACTTAAATCATCCATTATTTCGGATTATTTTAAAGTCTTAATCAATTTTTGGACTTAATAAGTTTGTAACTATTTGTTATCGGCTACTACTGAATACTGATGATAAAATTGGTTCGAAAATTTATTTAATCTTATCTCAGGATGTGTTCCTGTTGGAGACACCAGGGGGTGGAGGATGGGGTCACCCTGATAACGGACAGAAACCACGTGGTACCACACGTGACAATGCACGTGATACTGCACGTGAGGACATGCCTGCTAAGCTGAGAAAAGTTGAAGTGAGGGGCAGTGTCGCTCAGTATACTCGTAATCAAGAGTCCGCTTGAACACTTGAACATTAAGTATTATTATTTATTGATATGATATAGCATGATTTGATACCTACCTACCATGGTGCGAAGAATAATTTATAATATTCAAACCATATCATTTTCAATTCGGTTAATTTATTCAGCAATTACGATACTGACTTATTATTATGCTAATATTTAAACCTTCAAGCTTAAAATTATTTATGTCATCATTTTTATATGTGTTAAAAGTTAGTGTGACTTAAATTTGAGAAAGTTTTGTTCTTATGTGTAAAATAAGTATCGAAATCATTTTTATCTTGGTTGTGATCGGTTTTTAGCTGCTTAGCTGATTTTTTAAATTATTGATTTAAAACATTTTTGAATATTCATTTATTGATTATTATAGATTATGTAGTATGTACGTACGGGTTTATTAATTTTTTTCCTAATGAAAATAGGACTGTTATTACTTATTATAAATCATAACTTATTAAACTTTATCCGCTCGAAGATGTTTTACTGTCCTTAAATGATGATACAGGATATACACCAGAGTATAACATTTCTTAACTTTGGTTAGTGGTTACCCTAATATAAAATTACAAATTACGAATAATAATGCTCACACAATCATAATTATGTACATTTCAGCATATCCAAACTTGAGTTTAAAAAATAACTAATAATTTTGTACGTCTATCTAACAACTCCACAACTCCACCCAGCTCACAATGCACAAGGTAGTGGCTCTAGTAAGCGGGGGTAAGGACAGCACCTACACCATACACCAGTGTGTCAGTGCTGGACACGATGTAGTAGCACTGGCCCACCTCAAACCTCCTCCCAACAAAGAGGAGCTAGACAGCTACATGTACCAATCAGTCGGATCCAACGTGGTTGAGTTCGTGTCACGTGCGCTTGGTGTGAAGTTGTATGAGCGAGAGATATCAGGCACACCTGTAGCTCAGGATTTGGGTTATGAGAGGACTGAGAATGATGAGGTGGAGGATTTGTATGAGCTGCTCAGTGAGATTAAGAAGGAAACACAGATCACTGCTGTGTGTAGTGGTGCTATTTTCTCTACTTACCAGAAGAACCGAGTTGAGGAGGTGTGCGCGCGGCTGGGTCTGGTCAGTATAGCGCCTCTCTGGGAACGGGAACAAGAAACGCTTTTACAAGAAATGATTGACACCCAACTTCAGATAAGGATTATAAAAGTAGCAAGTATAGGTCTGGGCAAATCTCATGTTGGTCAACAGGCTTCGGACCTGTTACCACATTTCAGCAGTATTAACCAAAAGTTTGGTTTCAACGTTTGTGGAGAAGGCGGTGAGTACGAGTCGTTGGTGACGGACTGTCCGTTGTTTGGGTACACCATTCAGATTGATTCTTCAGAGAAGGTGTGCCATTCCCATGATGATATGGCACCTGTGTGGTATGAGAAGTTTGAGAATGTGTCCCTTGTTGAAAAACCGATGCTAGAGAAAATGAATCTGAGGGAAAGATTAGATTTGTATGTTGATGGTGTCAGGGGTAATTTGCCAGTTCTTAGTCACTGACCTTTTTAAATGTTTTCTCTTATCTATTCTCTTAAACCTTTAACATCTTTTGAGCATGCAATTGCAGATAATTTAATAATTTAAAGCTACAAATTTTATCTTTTTATGAAACGTTGTTTGCATCTCATCACTAAAATTCTGGATCCTGTAAGATATCAAATTTCATGAAATCATTGTATTTGTCGTGGAGGTCATGTTTTGATCTGCTGCAGTAAATGCAACGAAAATTAATATATTTCCTTTAACGGGTAATCACAGTGTTGTAATCAAATTCAAACTCACCAGAAATCGTTCCAGAAATTCAAATTCTTCGAGGCCATTTAGAAGATTAACACCACTAAGTAACATCCACAACTCTGCCAGTAGTTGAAGAATGTCCCAACTAAGATACCCGATAACGATAGTAACGGTATCAGCAGCTGTGTTTGTTGTGTACGGGTTTATAGCCGGGCTGTACACTGTCCTGAACATACCTCCCAACCCCTGTGAGATGACGTACATGTTCGAAAGTATTAAATACATTCCAGGTAAACGCATTTTAAATAAACATTTATGGTAAGCTTTGTGTTTCAATGGAAAATAAAAATCAGAGTTTAATTTGTGAACTAGAATAAAGATTTTAACTGTAAGAATCCAGTTTTTTACTGTCAATTACATAGATATCGGCCAATATTTCCGCACTTCATATATTTTTCAAAAATTTCGTTTAAAAAACCAAAAAATAACGCTATTTAAAGAAACTCAGAGGCGTTTGTTTCAGTTCCAGTTGAAGGTGGAAGTGAGAAGTACAAGTTATACGCGTATGGCGAAGGCCGCTACGCTAAATCTCTGTTTCAGGGCAAGTTCAACGGTATTCCTGTTCTATTCATCCCTGGAAATGCTGGCTGTTTCAAACAGGTGCGCCAGCTTATTTGTCTGTTGCTGATTTTGTTAAATTTTACATGATTTTTTGTACTGTAACTGTATAGTAGTAATGGTGCAATGATTCGATGATATTTTATGTAACTTAAACCTTGTTGTTTTGGCTACCGTACCAAGTTCTACCCACAGGCCACAGCTCAGATGAAACTCCAATGATAGCACATAATACAGTAACCTGAGTGCCCAGTCCATGATCAAGAATCATAACCCCCCGATAATTACAGGTCCGGTAGCGTACAGAATGCACTAGGACTAATTCCCTGTTAATTACAGGTCCGCTCTCTAGCTTCAGTATCGTACAGAATGCACGAGGACTAATTCCCTGTTAATCACCGGTCCGTTCTCTAGCTTCAGTAGCGTACAGAATGCACGAGGACTAATTCCCTGTTAATTACAGGTCCGTTCTCTAGCTTCAGTAGCGTACAGAATGCACGAGGACTAATTCCCTGTTAATTACAGGTCCGTTCTCTAGCTTCAGTAGCGTACAGAATGCACTAGGACTAATTCCCCGTTAATTACAGGTCCGTTCTCTAGCTTCAGTAGCGTACAGAATGCACTAGGACTAATTCCCTGTTAATTACAGGTCCGTTCTCTAGCTTCAGTAGCGTACAGAATGCACTAGGACTAATTCCCTGTTAATTACAGGTCCGTTCTCTAGCTTCAGTAGCGTACAGAATGCACGAGGACTAATTCCCTGTTAATTACAGGTCCGTTCTCTAGCTTCAGTAGCGTACAGAATGCACCAGGACTAATTCCCCGTTAATTACAGGTCCGTTCTCTAGCTTCAGTAGCGTACAGAATGCACCAGGACTAATTCCCCGTTAATTACAGGTCCGTTCTCTAGCTTCAGTAGCGTACAGAATGCACGAGGACTAATTCCCTGTTAATTACAGGTCCGTTCTCTAGCTTCAGTAGCGTACAGAATGCACGAGGACCTCCACAAGCTTCACCACTTCAACTACTTTACAGTAGATTTTAACGAGGAGTTCTCTGGTCTTTACGGGGGTGTGCTGTACACCCAGTCTGACTATGTTGTAGTTGCGCTACAGGCTATACAGAAACTTTATTCTACTCCCAAAAAGGTATGTTTATTATGAGTTAAAACTGAGATATTAAAGATTTAATTAAAATTGATTTCTTAATAGAATAACTCTCTATAAGATATGAAGAGTCGTTTAATAATTTGTACCTGATTGATCATTGTAATCCGTTCTTAAGCTGCCTTTTGTTGGTCTCCTCAACTATCTGTTTGTCAGGTGATCCTGATTGGACACTCTATGGGAGGTCTGGTGGCTCGTTCTGTCTTTGTTCACCCCGAGTTTCAGTACGACTCAGTGGATCTGGTCCTGACTCTCTCCACCCCTCACAACGCAGCCCCCTACGAGTTTGACTGGCATATTCATTCTTTTTATAGGTAATTTTCGTGCAGAGAATGATCCTACAGGTATCTATTTGGCACTATACGGAAATTTTACAATCAAGTCGCACAAACTTTTATCTTCTGGCTAAAATATAGTGACACGCAAAAACAATTTTAAAGAGTTAAAGTAACAATTCATAAAATCGAATTTTTTTACCTTGCACATGATTTGAATTTTGATAATAATGGTTCTCCAAAAATGAAAACAAATGGATCAAAATAGTAAGTAAACAATTTTACAGTTAATTACTAATTTTACTTGATCATCTGTTTAACCTCTTATCCCTCAGCGAGTGGAAATCGTATGTGAAGTCGAACCCAAAATTATACGAGGAAAAAGTTTTCGTTTCTATTGGCAGTGGTATCAGAGACACCATGGTTCAACCTTATCAAACCATTATTCAGGGTATTGTTGATAATTATTGCTAATTATTGCTAATTATATTTTATATAGAACTCTAGATTTAAAGCTAACTATCATTATACCTTCATACAATATAAATGTACCTTCATTGACACTATAGGTGGCTCATAGTTAATTTTGGTAATTCGATACGAATCTCTCAATTTAAACAATTTCGACGAATTTCGTGTGTATAAACTAAGAGCTGCTGAGATTAACTAACTTTAATGTCAAAGGTATGCGGAAGTTAATATCTAACATTAAACTCTAGGATAGAAAAAAACCCATTCGATATGATAGTAAAAAGGTAAAAGTAGTTAAAAATAACCAAAATAGAATGTACATTGTACAAAGTAGTGATAAGAAGTACATAACCAAAATATAATGTACATTGTACAAAGTAGTAATAAGAAGAAGTAGATAACACCTTTTCCTTCCAGAATCAGGAGATAACACAGTTAACGTGTTAACAACTTGTATACCAGAAGTACAACTCTCTCCTGACCACCTCCAGATGGTGTGGTGCCGACAACTTGTCAAGGTAATTAATTAACTGTTAATTGCAGCTAATCTGTTTATTATCATCAATTACCACACTCTTCGATAGTCGCTGTTACCTTTGTTTTTTCGTATTTGTTTCTTCCTTGATTAATAGCACTATTGTCTATTTTATTATTATTATTTACTATTGTCTATTTAAGGGGGTGGATTAGACGGTTGTGTAAAGTTAAAATGGTATAAGTTAAAATGATATAAGAGTAAAGTTAAAATGATATAAGAGTCTTCTTTATTAAGTTGAAACGGGCACAAATGCTTAACAAAACAAACTTTATATGTTCCAGTCTCTGCGCAAAGATATGGTGTAACAGAGCTTACACTTCACACATAGCCATCACCTTAATAACACCAGAATGTGTGTGTGTGTGTGTGTGTCTGTCTGTCTGTCTGTCCGTGTGTAATTTCCGGTCGGTTATACAAAAAAACGGTAAGAGTTACGGGACTGATTTTTTCGGTATAGTGTCGACAAAACTCTGATGAAGCCCATAGGAAATTTTTTTAAAAATCGGCCGATGGTAAGTGGTTTAATTGATGGTTTTGTACCACAAATGTTACATAAAATTGCGTGAGCAGAACGGCAAGAGTTACGGGACTTGCTCTCTCTCTCTCTCTCATTACTGTGTAATATGTTATAGCTGCATTTAAGTAGCGTCATAATTGGATTAGCCTGGAAGATTTGCTGTAATGTTATACCTTAAGCTTATTAGGGGAGGGGGGACTGTTAGTGTTTGGGGTCTGTTTGGACTGCAGAGAGAGAGAGAGAGAGAGAGAGAGTTCATACGACAATGTTATGCGTGTTTTCAAATATAATATGCGGGTGTGGTGCGGAGTTAACAAGGGTTAATTTCTATAACGATTTAAATAAAAATAGAAAGCGGTTCAAGACGGGAGTGATGAGGTGTAATAATCGGTGTTCAGACCTTATGATCATGGAGTGTGGTGCCTCATGGCTAATAATGACTTAATTATCCACAAGAAATAACTGATTATGAGATTATTGTTTAAGAAACTATTGGGTCACCTAATGCGGGTTTTGACTCTGCGGGTAATTACTCCTACCCTTTTTAACTGCGGCAGTGAAATCCCGGCCGTAGGCCGGGTTACACTAGTTATTCATAAAGCTAAATTATGGCGGATGTTAGATAATAGGTATATCCATTAATGTTACGTCATACATTTATAACCGACTAGATAATTTTTCACATTCCGCATATTATGGAAGTATGACCCATTTTGAAGCATTAACTAGTCCATATTAAAAAAATCACTATTTACTATTTTCACATACTATATAAGATGTAATGGTATCGTGGATAGGGCCCAATGATGTACACAAACATAACATTTTCATCATTGGTATAAATACACATTCATTATTTATCGCCTCTTAATTTGTTTATTATTTAAATTGACTGTCTTTTCACCAAACCCACATTTTTATCAGAAAATAACGCACGTCCTGTTTGATATGATCAACAAAGACACCCTGCAAATAGAAGATAATATCTCCTTGATACGAGACATTTCCAGAGTAAACTTTCTGGGTGTACAGTCAGTGTTTCCGGGTTAGAATTAACTTAATAACAGTCAGTGTTTCCGGGTTAGAATTAACTTAATAACAGTCAGTGTTTCCGGGTTAGAATTAACTTAATAACAGTCAGTGTTTCCGGGTTAGAATTAACTTAATAACAGTCAGTGTTTCCGGGTTAGAATTAACTTAATAACAGTCAGTGTTTCCGGGTTAGAATTAACTTAATAACAGTCAGTGTTTCCGGGTTAGAATTAACTTAATAACAGTCAGTGTTTCCGGGTTAGAATTAACTTTATTTGTTTAAGATGTTGATAATAATATATCGTATAGTTATTTAAATAATGATGCATTGTTAATACATGATCATTTGTGTACCTCGTTATGTTTTTAATTGCCCAATTTCAATCAAATTAATTGTCACTAATCGTCAATAATAGAATAATCCACAGTTACAAGTAAAAAGAGAGAAGTGGCTCCAGCAGTGATCCTTAAAGACATGCAATTCCATGCTACGGGTAAGATTTAGTTTAAATAGTTGTTTTAATCAAGTCTATTCGATTTGTTGCCAGTTGGCAGTTCAGTGTTTTATTTAATCGTCTGTACAACTACTCCCCGGGGAGTAGTTGATTCACTTGATTGTATGTACACAGTTTGACTTGGCACATATACATGTAGGTATTGCTAGTTTTGTTGCTTCTAGTTTAATCTTGTTCGCGCAATCACAACTGTCGCGCGCGCGCGCACACACATGCACATGCACGATTTATCGAGTAATATTCGGTAGCACAACAATAAAAGCGCGTTTATTAATTTATCGTCGATTATTATTTCATGCACGAATAGAATCTACAAATTTTTCACCGTGCGCGATCGATTGATTCACGGTAAAAATATCTCACCTACCGGACGCATATCTCACCTACCGGAACTCCGGAAAAATATCGCAGGAAGTAATAGACGTGGTTCAAAAAAAAACAGCCCGGACGTCAATGTACGAAGTGTGCTGTTACGAAAATAAATAGGAGAGGCAACATAGCCCAATGCCCATAGGTGCGGTGTGTACGGAATCAAACTATTGACCTAATACCGCACTTTATCGCACCATCGGCCATTATTCGTTCTATCAGATTTGCGTACTTCGTACTGCTGTTTAGTATGTATAATAAGATTAGATCTACATACCCATAACGAGTCCAACGTTGTTCACGACGTAATCCCTCAAAAGATTGAAATATAGTCACTTCTTTGACGATTAGATGTAACTCGAAGAATTTGAGTTGACAAATTCCTCGAACCAGATTTAATTGGGCACTCAGTGACTGAGCTATAAAGGCCAACGGACGGGTACTGACTTTTGGCCCACCCTGTATTATATTGCTATAGTTAAATAATATAAAATTGCAATTTGCAGTCTGCAGGCATCTTAGCTTATACTTACGTTGTTTAGAATATAATGTTGAAAAGTTACTCTGCTCAGTTATACCCTCCGCCAGCTCAACTCACCCCAGTCATCTTGCCCAGTGCCAATTGTAAAAACTTCTATGAGGATAATTCTAGGAATTCAACTTAAGTTTCCTGACAATTCAAGTTGAATTATGGCTATGATAATGATTTAATTTCATGATTGTAGATATTTCACTGCACATACGGTAGTGTCTAGTGAACCAGACGTGCTTCAAGACTCGTGTCCTAATTTTGAGTGCTGATCAAAAATTAACGAACGAGACAAACTGTTGAGATCTCTCGTTACTTTAAGATTATGTTTTACTTATTTTTGAGATAAAAATTGTGTTTACTGCTACTTAATACTCACGAAGTCTTTAAAAGGCAGCATATAATATGCGCTGCTTGATATCACCTTTGATAATAAATATCAATCCGTTAATTTTATAATTAAATTAACTTAACGTATTTACCATTTTAGTCGTAATTTTAATTTATTGAGGATCCAATAAAACTATTAAATTCATCTTCGCTGGTGGTAGTGAAAAATTCTAAAGTGACAGCTTCAGATATGAATTTCTGGTTAATACTTTGTTGGAAGGCGGGGGCGGTGGTGGTAGCATACTTAGCCGAAATAACAGTTTAGTCAGCTTGTGGGGTAAATATCAGAATCTATATTGGACGATTGCATTGACAGATTGGATATTGATCGTGGGATTCTCATCACAAATCTATAATTAGAAGTAGTCCATAATGACGATTGATTTCTAAGAAGGAAATTTGAGCTTCCACTTGCTATAATACAATAATATCTTGGCTGTTGAGTGCTACGGGCGCTTTAGCGGAGGGCGAGCCCAGAACGATAACTAAGCCGCGGTATTATTTGTTATAACGTTTTCTGGTTCTGGATGAAACAATGTGTAATGTGATACGTGCGCTGATACAATATAGTGTGTAATATATATAGTGCGCAAATGTTATTTGTTTTGAAAATTCCCGCCAGCCAGTGTCCACGAATTTTCGGGGAAATAATTCCCGGGAAATATTTTAAGTCTTCAGTAATCAATCATAATCGACCGACTCGAGAGAGGGAAAAATAAAAAGTATTTAATAATAATGGCGAAATATTTCTTAAGTATTTCATCACGTGATATTTACAGACATCAGATACAAACATTACTTGTCATGTTGAGTTTTGATATGTAAGTTAATGAAGCTCAAGACGGGTCGTAACTTAATGTTATTGTCTGGCAAATATAATAAGGCATAACTGTGAGACATTTGCTTGTAATACAAAAGTTGGCAGCTATTACTTCACTTTATCTGGTAACAGCAAAGCGGGGTAGGATTCTTGAAATGAGTGATCCATCACTTGCATCGTACCTGTCACATTTGAGACAGATATTCGAACTGAAATCAACCTGAAAATTTTCTCAGAACTTCGCCAGGTAACTGGTGATGAGGTGATGTTTCATGTTTATTTTAGTTCTTAGAGGTTACATTGGCAAAAAGGGTTTTACAGTTTACGAGATGGTTTTACAAAATCAAACAATTAATCCGAGTACGGTCAAATCAATGAATAATGTGCTATATTTTGGCATCACTCATTAATAATTCTCAGCTCTGAACCATCATCTATAATTTTACAGTTGTAGCTAGCTTATAATACGAATTCATAAATATTTGTTTTATAATTAAATTTCACAGTAAGATAAACTAGCAACTTTGCAGTAACGAGTAGGGAGGGATGGAAGAAGTTTGTGATTCCAAATAAAAGTGGATACAACACCGCCATCATCGTGCAGAACCCACCTCGGGAAAGGTTGGTTGTAGTCACGTGAGCAGTTAACGCGTTACTAACGCGTTATTGTTTGCAGGTTTGGTGTTCACTCTTCCCCATTCTACAGAACATAAACGTGACTATCAACATTGTCAGATTTCTCAATCGCTATCACGTGATAAAACACGTTAACGTCAGTTCACCGTCAGTGGTTAAATTTATTGACGACTATAATATTATTCGTAATGGCGGAGATGTTATGATCTGATAAACATCGCTCAAGCGCTCATTACTCGATGTGTCACATGATGACGACTTAAACTTATAGATAACAAAATTGACCAATAATTATATTCCTTGTTATGCAGCCGTTAACCGTTGTTGACTCCAATTGAGCGGTTTTAATATGTTTTATCTCATATTACTTTATAGTGAAATTATCGTTCCAATGACATACCACGTTAATAATAGGAGACTTCTGTAGCTCATATTTAACATTCTTTCCTGAGTCTGATTAGAAAACATCCGAATATCTAAGCATAAAATAGCATTATTCGATGATGGTAGCAACTGCAGTTTAAAAACAGCTTCCAAATTCCAAACAATCGTTTCCGTCAGGTGGCTGTATTACTGTAAATCTGATGTTTTGGAATGTGAGGATATAAGCGGAGAGATAACCCTTTTCCCGGACAACTTGGCCGTCTACAGCAAGCGTCTTGCAGGTAACTCAAGATAAGATACTTGTTCACTTGTTGTGTCAACTTACCGTTTATCTGGGAGTTAGCAACAGGGGATTACTGTTGTGCGCACAGGATATTTTAGCAGTTATTTTAGGCGTTAAACACAATTAATTTAACCTGATATTTTATAATTACTGTCAACCCCATCCTCATTGTGATTGTTGTTCCTCTGTAGCTTTTTCTCGTTCGACATTTAAAATCTTTCTCATAGTCGAATGTGTATATTGTATATATTGTATATCGTAAATCGTAATATGTCGCATAATACCCTGAAAACCCAGACACAAGTTTGACCACCTTCCCCTCTCCCAGACACAGACGGGAAGTATGAAGTGTTTCTCCACGGAGCTCACGGCCGAGAGAAGAAAGCAACCAGATCTATCCTCACGCTCCAGCATCATCTCGGAGGTAGGTTATAGTACCGTGTTAATGTTATTTTAGTGAGGCAGTGGCTCACACTCTGTTGATATCTCTTTTGGGAGATTTGACGTCTCTCAACCTTACTTAGGTGAGTGTGTCCCACAACCAAGCACATTGCCTAGAAGTCCGGCGTTATGTATTATAATGATCCTGGACCTAAGTGGCAAGTAGCTTTAAAAAAAAGAAAAAGCTGTGTCATGTTGTTCTACTCGTTTTTGTTACGTGCACACGTCTGGGTAATGACCACATTTTTTGAGAATATGTTTTAATTTATTTAACTTCTGTTTTCTCCGACTGGACAGAACAACGTATTTCACGAATTTCTTAAGGTCATCCATTTTTAGACTGTATTAGTTTATCTATAAGTTAAGTAAAAACGAGACGGAAACGAGTATCAAATATTTTAATTTTTTAGTTTTTTTCCCGCATGATTTGGCCAATATAGTTGAATAATGAATAATGGCGTCTTAGTCTTACCAATTTCACATAGTCTAAGCCACAGTCAAAATTGTAATCTTTAAGGCTCGGTATCCAAAATGACAAATTCTTTTCGATAGAATAAGGTGCTACAAAATTATCACTTAGTATCATCTTGTTGGTCTGACGTATCACTCGCACAATTATACGTTTAAATAGTCTTCTAGAGAAAAACCGCGCTCAATATAAGTTCCTGTAGAGGGCAGGTAAATAAACGTTAATGGCAGGAGACGGAACCTCTTTAGCGTGCGTGATCCTCGTAGTTTAAGGGGGCCGGGGGGGGGGGGGGGGGGGGGGGTCTTCATCAAAATTCTCTCGAAATTGATTTTATAGTTGTTTCTGATAGAGGAGAGTGATATCTATCAGCTGCTTTTGGTCCCATGGAAAAATATTGTTCCTAGCCAAAATTATCGCCAGTCAAAGGTCAGCGCTCATGTGTAATTGTATTGCGCGAGCGATTTTCAATTGCGCGCCCTGAAAATCGAGTCTAAAAATCTATCTTCTCCTACATTTTTTGAGCAATCACCCTGAAACTTTCAGGATATGTTCTAAGGATCATTTAGAAGATATCTGTCGAGCCGAATTTTGAGATAGGCCTTAGAAGATGTTTTATTCAATTTTGAAAATCTTGGACCTGGAAAAATCGTAAAAAAATGAGGTCCAAGATTTTCAAAATTGAATAAAAAATCTTCTAAGGCCTATCTCAAAATTCGGCTCGACAGATATCTTCTAAATGATCCCTAGAACATATCCTGAAAGTTTCAGGGTGATTGCTCAAAAAATGTAGGAGAAGATAGATTTTTAGACTCGATTTTCAGGGCGCGCGATTGAAAATCGCTCGCGCAATACAATTACACATGAGCGCTGACCTTTGACTGGCGATAATTTTGGCTAGGAACAATATTTTTCCATGGGACCAAAGGTAGCTGATATATATCACTCCCCTCTATCAGAAACAACTATAAAATCAATTTCGAGAGAATTTTGATGAAGACCCCCCCCGGCCCCCTTAAGTGAGTGGCCGAGGATGGAAGTCCGACATAACTAACCCATACTTTAGAATACCAGACAGGCCAAGTATTCCAATTTCCAACTGCTGTAGTTGCAGTCGAGCGTTATATTTTGTGATTTTAAATGGTGGATTAAATGCTTGTCTTATTGCTTGCTTGCTCGGGACATTTACCTATCACATGATCAAACACCATTTAAGTCAAATTAACCACACTCTGATGTCGACCACTGGCCGCTAGAGTGTCTTTTAATTACCGCCAACTTCAAACTGAACTGGAAGGTTCTTGGGATGTATGACTAGGAAACCTATTCGAGCTGGAGGTTATCAAAATGATGAGTTGTATTGATCAAGAATGTTGATTTGATTTGATCCATTTTTCAATGAGCGCTATAGAAATAAATTTTACTCCTCTCTTAGTTGCTACAAACCAAGGTCCTAGATCCATTATAAAGTTATAAGAGACATTGTCAGTTGAAATTAGAATTTACTTACCGATATCACCGGTAAAATGATAACTTGACAAGTTGCATGGACCGTGCAGGGACCGTGCATAGACTGTCCGGAGCTAAACGACCAACTTCCCCTTGACAAGTTAAAATTAGATTATATTATCAGTAGAATTATAACTAGACAAGTTTCCCCCAGTCACCAACTGTCATGATCAAAACAAATACATGCTTTACATGTAGTCTCGCTAACTACTTAGCGAGACTACTCCCAAAAATTCACTGTCACTCCATCCCTTCCCTCAGTTTTGTCAACATCTTTACTGCGCTGCTACCAGTTTTGAAGTTTGTGGTATGTCACTGAAAGATCAGTCAATTACCGCCTAACTCATATGAGATATCGATCAACGACGCTTGGTTGTAATATCTACAATATATCGAGATGATCTTAATTTGTGGCAGGTTGAAGGTTAACGAGTCTCCCAGAGCATTAAAGAGCAAGTTTAAGATATCGGTAAGAAAGTCTGGAGCTGAGGCCACCTGTCTCAGTCTCTCTCACCCTCTCACCCTCTCTCTCTCCCTCTCCCTCTCACCCTCACTCTCTCTCTCTCTCTCTCTCTCTCTCTCTCTCTCTCTCTCTCTCTCTCTCTCTCTCTCTCTCTCTCTCTCTCTCTCTCTCTCTCTCTCTCTCTTCTCTCTCTCTCTCTCTCTCTCTCTCTCTCTCTCTCTCTCTCTCTCTCTCTCTCTCTCTCTCTCTCTCTCTCTCTCTCTCTCTCTCTCTCTCTCTTTCTCTCTCTCTCTCTGTCTCTCCCTCTCTCTCCCTCTCCGGCCTACGTGTTAAATAGTTTGCTTTTAAAGAGCGTGACGGCTGATTTACGTCGCTCACCTGTCTGAAGGATCAATATTATGATAAAGATGGATATTTTGGGTTTGAATGGTTGAACTGCAGAAATGGCTTTTTATAGGATAATACGAGAGGGACTGGCGAGGATACATGGTGCTCATATTGGTATTATTTGCCTTCGATTAAGATTTAAAGGGACTTGTAGCGTATCAAGATATTTGGAGGACTGCATAGTTTAGAATTTATGCTAAGAAAAGTTGTATTTTTGCCAAAAATTGGGAATATATTTAGATTCAGAAAAAAACCCATGGCCAGATTAGTAAATGAGTCTGATCTTGATCTCACTGGGGTTGACTTGTGCAGTGATTTTATTTATGTTGCTTTTAAGTGTTCTATGTTTAGGAGGCTGAAGGGATCCACACACCCAATTGTTTGTACCTGTTGACGATCCCAATAAAAATCTTGGAGAAGATAGCATTGAGAATTGAAAAAAAAGAAGAATAAAGAAATTGAATATCGCGGTCTCAGTGGAAATGCATTTATGATAGACGATGGCCTGTATTAAATATAGACAATATTTTTAAAGTCAATTTTACTATGATTCACCTCATGCTACCTCATGATCCCCCTCCCCTTTAAATCTGTGACGTCAATCTTAGAACCTGCAATATTTAAGAACCACTTAAATAAACTGATCATGAAGCCGTCATGAAGCTGACATGCTGGTAGTGACAGTATTAATAATTAACCTCTCTACTTCATCTTATAGAACCAACGTCTGAATACCAATAAAAGTACCACGATCTTTACCAAGTGCAATCGCTCTTGATAAATGATCTGAGCTTTAAGGTATAAACGATCACCATGGTACTTATTAACCATCCCACTTTAGCACTTGAACCAACATTATTTTAATTTGAAGTAAATAGTTCTTAATCCACACCCATGGCCATGGGTCCGTCAAAACGGATGTTTAATAATGATGTCACGACGAACATGTCCTCGTAAATTTCAAAACGGCAGTTTATCTACGACTAACATTTTTCACAACATAAAATGTGATATTTAACCTGTAACTGTGCACAGGTGCAGTGGAACTGTCCTCTTACGAGCCGGACAGTGTTGAGATTGCGGACAGAGCAGAGCAGATGTTGTCAGTTCCCAGTCTGAGCAGTACAGATTATTGGGTTGTTACCCAAGTTTCCGTAAAACAGGGCTCCTGCACCCTCCTCAAATCATCCCAGAGGTTTGTGTCTGTCAGTTATCCATTTAGTTGTCAGATGGGAGCTATTTTTGCATCAGTCGGAGATCTGTGGAAATAGTTTGACAGTTTGTGGGTGCGTTTAATGATTAGTTGTCTTAAGAACTTTCAAATAACTTTAAATAGATCGAGGAGGTTATCAGTGGATTAAATGTCCTCTATGCGTGTCAATAAACTATGATATTAATAGAATTCCTATATCTGTCGTTTTTTGACAAATTTACTTTAAGAGTTAAGACCACTAAAAAATCAGAGGTTTATCAAAAATGGTCTTTAAGCACATTTGTCAGAATACGGCAGAGATATAGTATCTTCATTTGAAAGATGACAAATATGATACTTAGATGATGACATAACACAAATAATAAATATAGCATCCGATAGGTTGAGAATCATACCAGCTAGAGCCCATACCAATTTCAGGTTACCTATAGGTAAACTGATCTCCAGAAACCATACCAATTTCAGGTTACCTATAGGTAGACTGATCTCCAGAATCCATACCAATTTCAGGTTAACTATAGGTAGACTGATCTTCAGAACCCATACCAATTTCAGGTTACCTATAGGTAGACTGATCTCCAGAAACCATACCAATTTCAGGTTACCTATAGGTAGACTGATCTCCAGAACCCATACCAATTTCAGGTTGCCTATAGGTAGACTGATCTCCAGAAACCATACCAATTTCAGGTTACCTATAGGTAGACTGATCTCAGAACCCATACCAATTTCAGGTTACCTATAGGTAGACTGATCTTCAGAACCCATACCAATTTCAGGTTACCTATAGGTAGACTGATCTCCAGAACCCATACCAATTTCAGGTTACCTATAGGTAGACTGATCTCCAGAACCCATACCAATTTCAGGTTACCTATAGGTAGACTGATCTCCAGAACCCATACCAATTTCAGGTTACCTATAGGTGGACTGATCTCCAGAACCCATACCAATTTCAGGTTACCTTTAGGTAGACTGATCTCCAGAAACCATACCAATTTCAGGTTACCTAAAGGTAGGCTGATCTCCAGAACCCATACCAATTTCAGGTTACCTATAGGTAGACTGATCTCCAAAACGGAGGACACCTACTCGCAGAGTGTGGACGGTGGGCTCGACATCATGGTAGAGCTACTGACTGTCAAACCCTTCCAGAAATCTCTCTCACACCCTCAGGTAACTACTAGCCGTTCTGGAACAAGCCTCTTCTTCTTTCTGTTGAAGTTTATCTTTTGAGCTGTGTCTTGCCCATACTGGTAATCCCCACTTTCATGATTTATTCTGTTGCCCAATACTAAGCCCCCAAACTGAAGAGAATCACGTATTGATATGCAGTTAATCAGAACTAAATCTCTCATTGACGTGCGAGTGACGACAGTGTGCTATAATAATAATATGATATTTATTTAATACATAGTATGATATATAATGATATATTTAGAGTAAATTATCATATCTGTGAATTTCCCAGGCAGATCTTAATATGATATACGAGATTCACGAGGTACTGCTGGCAACATTGCAGTGAAATGTCGCATAGTTTTATACCTTCTCACATGTGCAATCGTGCAGTGTTTTGACAGCTTAGCTGGAATCTTTTAATCGATTATTGATGAGATTTAAACTTTACCCGGACATTTTCGGGGAGGTGAGCCATATTTATTGCGTCATGTGACAGCTGTCCTGGGATTTAGATTAGTCGCTGTTAGAAGCTGATTGGGTAATGGCTGTCAGAGATCAAAACAAATGCAGCGCACCAATATCCAAGTCTATGTAACCGTACACAACAAATATGGACCTAGAATCTACAGCAATCTACCACCATCAGTCAGAATATCTATACAGTGGATATATGTTTTAAGACATACTATTCAATTTATCGTAATATGGTTTGGAGAAGCTCTATTCTTAGGATATATTTATCTTAGTTCATATAATATGTATCTTAGGATATAATATTTATCTTAGAATATATTTATTCTTTGAATATATTTATCTTAGGATATAATATTTATCTTTTGGATATATTTACCTTGGCTGATAATGGCTGAAAACATTCCAACAAGTTACCAGTTTATTTAACATATCCCAAATTTTCAGATACAATTAATCCTGGATCCAGCCTGTAGCTACACAGTGACAATACAGACGGACGGATTTAGAACAGCTGCTAACCTCATCAAATACCACTACTCTCTTTTTGGAGGTGCCCTGTTGTTTGTGTTGCTGGGGGCTGCGGCGGACCTGGTCCGGGGCAGGAGTCCAGCTCTTCTTTACTCGGTAAGTTTGGGACATCAACTTATTAGAGAAACTAGGTGACTAGCTGTGGCATATGTTATATATATATACACATTATACAGCCTTTATTTGGACAAGTAACGGCCTCTGCTTTCTATATTAGCCACAAGGCTCTTTTAGAATCGGTTATTAAGTTTTAGCGATTGTAGAGTGTAGACGTCCATGGCAAACCAATCCTTTTTGTCTTTTTTTCATCACTTTGTAAATATCGGTACTTCTTTCAGCTGACCCAAGACCACAGCAACATGTTTATGTTTTTCTTTATCATAGTTGTGAAAGTGTTTCAGTGGGGGATACCTTCTCTTCATGAAGCTACTGGTACGTGACAACTTGTATAATTTACTACTGGTACGTGACAACTTGTATAATTTACTACTGGTACGTGACAACTTGTATAATTTACTACTGGTACGTGACAACTTGTATAATTTACTACTGGTACGTGACAACTTGTATAATTTACTACTGGTACGTGACAATGCAAGTATAATTTACTACTGGTACGTGACAATGCAAGTATAATTTACTACTGGTACGTAAAAACTTGTATAATTTACTACTGGTACGTGACAACTTGTATAATTTACTACTGGTACGTGACAACTTGTATAATTTACTACTGGTACGTGACAACTTGTATAATTTATTACTGGTACGTGACAACTTGTATAATTTACTACTGGTACGTGACAACTTGTATAATTTACTACTGGTACGTGACAACTTGTATAATTTACTACAGGTACGTGACAACTTGTATAATTTATTACTGGTACGTGACAACATGTATAATTTACTACTGGTACGTAACAACATGTATAATTTACTACTGGTACGTAACAACTTGTATAATTTACTACTGGTACGTGACAACTTGTATTATTTATTTATATGATATCTTACACGCCGGACTAATATGGGAGAAGTTTTTTTGTCGAGAATATTTTCTGCTCTGGAAATAACCGCTGACCTTGATACATGTTACGTATGTTACCGCGGCGCACGCTTCGCGCGCGAAAAGTGGCATGCAACGTATGTCAACGTATGTCAACGCTGACCTTATCTACTACTGAGTTTCGAGAGATTCTATTAAAATGGTGGAGATCTTAATATTATCAAGTGGACACATGTACGCAAAATATGTTTATAAAATTTAAATGCCTTGATAAATGACAGCTATATTTTGGGTGGTGGCACACATTAACCACTTCAGATTAACATAAGATATTTATTGCAAAGATAGCGTAATTCTTTGAGAAGTGGAGCTGTCATATCAAGCATTATACCAATATTGAGATTGCTCTTGTCTGTGGAGATAAACGATGTGCCGCGCCGGTGCAATGTTATTATTATCGGTTAAGCAGCCAAGTGTTGTCATGAATATGAAAATATGTTCTATATTTCACGAGAGGTGGTGTCATGCAGGATGATCGAGGTTGTACAAGACATCACGTAATGTTTAAAATTGATAGTCGCTGAAATTTCTCTTAATAAATCTCTGATTTCTTCGGTGGGAAAAACGTTAACAAACATCTGCTCTGTCTTAGTGGAAATAAGGTTGCAGCTGGGGAGAAAAAAATCTTTATGGTATAAACTCTCTGTGGGCCGGGGACCGGGTTGTCGAAGACAAATCTCAAATATTTACTTAATTCGATCCATCAAAATATACTCTGTAAATACCCAAGATGTCAAGTTATTCTAAATCAATAAATGTTTTTGCCATGAAACGGACCAAACTGATCCTAACTCATATTCCACTCATCATAGCATATCGCTTCAGCATGTACAAAGGGCATAACCTCAATCAGTTTAATGTAGTGAAATGACTGGTGTGAATGAAGTAGTGTACTAATACAAGTTGGAGAGGATCAGGTAAGCTTAGTCAGCATCCATGATGTTACAAACCCTCTGGGACATTACTGCGCCCAGTCTCCAAAGTTACAGTAAATTCCTACTACGGACAAACAAACACAGACAAAACACCAACAAGAAACTGATATACACTAGCTAGCTCAGAGAGGAAATGAGTACCGGCTCAGGAGGTATGTCAAAACAGGGCGCCCTTTCGAACACTACTCGGGCTAGAATCAGTGCAATTCGGACACTACTATGCAACTGAACCATGCAAAACTATATAAGTACACCTATGCTGGCAAGGCAATAGGTCAGACTGCCAGTCCTGAAAACCAGTTCTATGATAAGGGTCACGCAAGCCCCGAAGGGTTAATACAAAATCAATAAATCAATAAATCAATAAATGTTTTTGCCATGAAACGGTCAAGTTATTCTATTTGATCGGTAGAATTTGTCATAAGATTTAATATGTAAGTAGGTTTAGCAGGAGTGTAGAAATTCGTTCTTGGAGGCAACAGTGCTTCTAATAATCAGGGAACAGAATTGGACCTTCCGGCTATATATTGCAATTTCACCTTTTATTGAAGGACAAATCTACATTACGAGCAATACATTATGAGAACTGTAGTTATTGTAATAACCTGTGATGCCTATTATGCTCTGCTTCCTCTCGGAGAGTTGAATCCGTTATTAGGGCGTCAGTTCATTTAGGGCGGAAAATCTCGGAAGTTAGCCAAAATTAAAGCTCGTTGTAATTTAATTTATATTGGATAAAGGAGCTTTTATTACGAATTTGACAAGTTCATGTACGTGGTGTAGACAAGATCGACGATTTGAGATTTAGCAATAAAAAGGGATTAGATTAATTAATTGTTAAACATTCTAATTAACTGTAGAAATTTGGCCTAACATGGATTTGATTCTGAAAGATGTAAAATGGCAGTTCCAGTACTGTTATCAACTAATAATTTGTATTTTATTTTGCCACTTTTGCCATAGATGTCTGGTAAAATTGGCAAAAAAGTGTTCGCCAATCTTAATGAATTTTTCGCTCGGTGGATGGCGAAATGGTGTAATGACAAAATAGCAATGATTATTCTAGAAAACGACAAAAATGTATTATACCAGATCTCTGCTGAAGGAATGTTAGTCTAAGGTCAATTTTTCATGATGTTAATTGAGTTAGTGTTGTTAGTTGTTGTTAACTGGGTGAATGTTTCAGGTATAGATTGGCTGACAGTAGAAGCTGAGATCCTCCTCACCGCACTGCTCACAGTTCACACTTTAGTTTACGTCTTATGTCACATCAGCACCTACCTTTCCTTTCTACTGTTTAAACTCATCACCGTAAGTACTACTGTAAATACCTTTAAATTGCAAATATCTTTAAATAAACACCAATTTACCGGGTACCCTGTCCTGGGAAATCAAACCAGCAAAGTATTTAGTTTAATAAATATAAATACCGCTTGACTGAATGTTGACTGTTAACCTGATTTGTGATCATTATATTCTCTGATTACAAGTAAATACATATATCTTGTCTTAACGTAATTTTGAATTGCCACAACTCAAGTTTTGTAACTTGAGTGTTATATCGAGTTATTAAAACCCTCATTATACCATATATATAAATAACGAGATAGAGTCCCTCTGAGGCGATATTTTAAATCTCATTACGAACGTTAGAATATATCACTATAATGAGTGGTTACTGGTTAGTGGTTTGTAGATACCCCTTCACTGTCACTGTCACTGTCACTGTCACTGTCACTGTCACTGTCACTGTCACTGTCACTGTCACTGTCACTGTCACTGTCACTGTCACTGTCACTGTCACTGTCACTGTCACTGTACGGCATATATACTGTGATTTTAATAAACGGAACGGAAAAATTCTACGGAACTCATCAGTAAATGATACAAGGATTGTTTCAAAAATAGATATTTTGTTTATGTTCTACTTCTAATTCAAAGATACACTTCATTAATATGTAAAATTAAAGAGAAGGTTATTTTGGATTATTTATTAACTTTATAAATACTTAAACTTGTACTTTGCAAGGAAAATACAACCCGCTCTCTGTTCGCAATCTAACTTATTATTATTTAACATGTTAACTGGAGGGGGGGGGGGGGGGGTTGTTAACATGTAAACTAGTTGAGTAGTCGCTGTAGTCTCCTGGATCCATTGTCGCAGTTAGAGAGAGAGAGCACAATAACGTTAATCCGCATAGCAGGGGTTGGTAGAGCAAGTGTTCAAATTGTGTAAAGAATACTTTGCGGGGTTATATAGGTAAACATCGACATGATTAGTTTTTGATTGTGGAGTTTTACATTGTATAATGTATAATGTATATAAATATTGTATAAGTGGCTTCCCGGGCTAAAACAGTGAATGTCATAACTGTGCAGTTAAAGTAAAACTGCTATATTCACTGCTGACTGCAGGTTCTACTTTGAAAGTTCTGCTTTGAAAGTTCTGCTTTCCAAATTCTGCTTTGAAAGTTCTGCTTTCCAAATTCTTCTTTGCAAGTTCTACTCCCATGACATCAGAAACGTGGCATTCTTGGAAATAGGAATTAACCCGCGTCTGTCACGTGTATTCTCTGTCACAATTCGTGGCTTTTTATAGCTAATATGTGTGTTAGGGTGTGAGGCACCATAAGAACACTGTTCCCTGATTTCCCTGCCAAAATTGTACTATGTAAACATGTATTATATACCCTTCTGCACAAATCTTGTAAATCGTGGGAAACTTGGTTAACATTTATTTGTAAATTTCTCGTGTGTTAAATTGATTGGGTGGTCAATAAAACAACCAGGCAATTGAAAAAAATTTGTGTATTTATTCAAAAAAGTTGATAACCAAGTTCAGTTTGCTGCTACCGCGTAGTTAGCCTTTGCGTGTGTATAATTGTACATTACTATACAATGTACACCACGGAGGATGATTTAAATTTGACCCGATCTCAGAAGAAACTCAAGGATTTCAACTATGAAGAAAAGGAAGATGTAGAGGGCTGTGCTGATAGATGGTTCACTTCGATGGCAAAAGAACTGAAAATAGACGACGTCGACCTTCATGGAGATATGGACAAAGAAATATTAATGGCTCCGTCTATCTATAAAAGGTATATGGCAGACTGGGTTATGCAAGCAGCAGACCTCGTACGACGGCAGAGTAGTCAGATGAGCGCTATGATGGAAATCGTTGAGTGCCTCAAGACGGAAGCACTAGCAGACAAGGAAAAGATTGTCAGGTTGCAGGACCAGTTGCTAGTGCAGAAGGACGAACAACTACAGTTGTTTAAGACGTCAGTTGATGAGTTGAAGAGACAGTACAAACAACGGTGGAGACAGGGATTAAGAGCTACAGTGCAGCTGTACAAAAGAACAGCACAAGTGGCGCGGTCTGCAACAGTAAAATTCTGAAGAATGTAATGAAGAGTGTGGCTGCAGAGGAGGACAGGAGCAAGAATCTGATAGTGTTTGGACTGAAAGAAGAGGATGAAGAACAGCTTCCAGCTCTGGTAACCGCAGTATTGGAGGAGATCGGGGAGAAACCTCATTTCGAAGCGACTAGAGTCGGCTGGAAGAGGCCAGGTACGGCTATCCGACCAGTCAAGATCACCGTTCCAAGCTCAACAGCAGTTCATCAGATTCTGATGAAAACAGGGAGACTGAGGATAGTTGATGCACACAAAGATGTATGGATCTGTCCTGATAGATCCAGTGAAGAGCGTGAAGCAAGGAAGAACATGGTAACTGACCTGAAGAAGAAGAGGGCTGAACAGACTCATCTCGACCACTGCATCCGTAACGGGAAGGTCTGTAGCCGGGTTAAGAAGACACCATGATGACGTAATTCATGTTTCTCGGACACCGATCAGTATAATATGTACTTGTAGGAGTATTTTAAGAGTTTACGGACGTTATCTGTATTTGAGAGATAATTATATTATATACATACATTATTATTTGATTGTTTCACACTTTTCACATTTCATAATTTTATTACTAGGTGGAGGTGATGTTATTGAGACTTTGGGCGGCCAAAAAACTCCTGTTCTGAAAGTTGTCCTTTGTACTTGTTTCACTGACCCACGCTTTTTAGCATTTATACATTTCGGCCCATTTTATATGTTTGTTCGAATTGCTGTACATTTGTATACTTGCTATTTTGTAAAAGTTTCAAATCAAATCATGTACGAAAAGTAAGGAAAATACGATTATTACCAAGAACACGCATGATAATAATTATGATTAATAATTATCTATAATATACTGTGGCGGTCTGTTCGTGGGAGATGGAATTGACTGCATCAGATGAATAGATACTTTCTGGTCCATAAAATAAAACATTTAGTTTGATAATAGAGGTCTATCTTGTTCTGATGATAAATTAATTTTATATTTGAATAACAGGGCCCATTGCAAAAATCGTTTTTGAAGCTATCAGAAGTTAACGAAGCTATTTTGAGTTAAGCATCGGTTGTGCTATTATAAGAAATATCGATTATTATCGCTTTATCAAAATATATATGTGGGTATGTTATGTTCAACTTATAGCATAATGCATAACTGCAACTTAAACAAGGGTTTTCTTGATATATCAATCTGTTTGTATCACAAAATTGATACACAATTGAATGAATTAAGATAATCTAGGTTCTCGAACGGTGAAATGATACACATTTTTGAGCAAAAGTTATTCTAAGAAACCTATTCTTGTCAAAATAAAAGCATGCCAAACGGGAAATATTGCTGGACGTAAAAAAGTGCGAAAATATATCCTCTTTTCTACAGTATTGCTAAACCCGATTCGGGAGTCAAGAAATACTCATAAAATAAAATAAGTATTAACATAAGTTAACATTAATTGATAGTATGGCAACACTCAACTATCGTGTAATATTCGCTTACACTGCAATTATAGATCACCATAACTCAGGTTTTTAGAGCATCAAGTCATTCACAGCAGAACATCGCTCTGAAGCAACCTTTCAGAGTACCGAAAGTTGTATCCCTCACAACTTTAGTCGTCAGTAAGTAGGCTATCGGGCTAGCAGTGGTTGCAATCAGTAATACGGAGTAGAGGACATCAAGCAAGAAGAAGGTTCTGGAGTCTCTTTTCTTGTAGATAAGCTCTGGTGCGCTAATGAGGATAACCCAAGGGATCGCAGATGCGATGTTGAGAAGTAAAATCACCACAATAGACCAAGGGAAGGACTCTCGTTCCGTTTTAACCTTCCTGTCCTTTGCAGCTGCTTTGGGTTCCAATTCCGATGAAGAAGTCAGAGGTTCTGTCTCTGACTTTTTTGAGAGTGATGTTGATTTTGTGGAAAGAGCTCTGTTGACTTCCCTTGCCTCTTTAACGATTCCGTAGATAATGCAATACATGACTGCGACTGCAAGTTTAGGAGCGACCAAGCCGACACCACAGGAAAGGATAAAACATGCAACACATCTGACAGTCCAGGATTTAACCAGAACACACTGGTTGTTGACCATTTCCAATTCACATAGCTGAAGTAAGGGAAGGAAACCAAGTATGAATGTCACCAGGACTGCCAAACTGAACCCTATTAATTGGTTCCTGTAGGTCAGGATTTCTCTCCAGCGAAATGGGGACTTCAGGAAGACCACGCGGACCACTGTCACAGTTAGAACTGCCATCGCAGGCATGATGATACCTGAGGAGATTTATATCATTAGCAGCTGATTGAAAAACGAATTTCTAAATTATAGCACAGAAAGGTTGTGGTGAACTAATTATTGTGTTTATATTGTACAAATTCAGACTTTAGTCAATGGCAATACCTGTGAGTTGAAATGAAATGAACATTTGATCTGGAGCACTGTCACAATCAGGAATCTTTCCTGGGTTTATCTGCAAGAAATATTATCATGATGGTTTGGAAAATTAAAAATTCCTTTATTTGCCAACTTTACCAATTTACACACTGCAAACAAAAATCAAATTAGTGCAATTAAATAAATACCTTATCATATAGGAGTAAGATGATGATCTGGATAGCAAAATACAGGATGGAGAGGGCATAGAATATAACTGACATGTAAAGTTTCATGATAGATCGCAGGTGTCTCATTATGATGTAAACAAGCAGCAGAGAGAAGACTATCATCAAAATAATAGAAGGAATCATGACAACTCTGGTCAGGTAGAACTTATTATATTTGAACCCGGAATCTTCAGTTTGGTTACTTCCATTGCGGAAAACGCCAAATCCGAATGGCTTTTGACTTGTCGACTCTTCATAGGGGTTTATGATCACATCGTATAGGATCGGGAACGGAGAAGAAACTGGGTCCACAAAAGGGTTTATTATCGCATTGCGTGCCATTTCAGGGGTATTAAAGTCAGGAAACTTAGGGGTCTGTAACTGTAAGTCGGGGGCGGGAGGGGCCTCATAAACCGGGGTTAAGAATATGTCAGCCATGGCTGATATGACGTCTATCTGCTGCTTTCAATTTCTCCAAATTATCTCTTCAGGATGTCTAGACTCTTCCTTAGAATGGCAAAACTAATTTATAGAAATCGTTAAATGATAAAATAGCAATTATTGAATATGATTTCAGGTAAATGGTCAAATTTAAGACGTACTATCAAACAAGGACAAAAAGTAGTCAAATACCTAAAAATGGTTTCAACTAACTAAATTTCTGGGACTAGATCACCGAAAAAATTAATCATTAGTGAAAAGTTGGTACTCATACACGCCCTCTTACAAATAAGATCTCGATATAAATACAAAGTTAAGTTATTGAAATGCTTCAATGAACCCACATAGCGTTGCAAATTCCATGATGATGAACCAGAGCAACAAACATACGACACAGTCGTGAGCTGCTATTTGTGATAGTCAACATGGTGTAGTGTCAAACTGTGTATTCAATGTTGGATGTAGGCATTAACTAATTAACTCTCACGGTTATTTCACTCGGCGAATATAAAAGTGCTCAGAAGTGAACTTAGATCCGGTATCAAAATTGAACTGGAACCAAGCTGACAAGAAAGTTAGGCTATAAAGACTTTATAGGATCTTGTCTTCAATTTCCTCATCAGACTTGTTGACTCTCGTATGGATAAGGTGTTATTGAATATTCAAACTAAGGTCTCAACGTACAACATCATACACTCGACTGACCCGAGCTAAATATTGTTTTCTTCTGTTGTGTTGAATGTAATACCTAATTAGTAGGTGTTGAAAGTACTCAATAAGACTCAATAACAATAACGGTAGTATAATATTTATTTGCGCATACGATACTAAAATATCGTCTCTATCGTGTTAGAGTAGTGTTCGATACTTAATTATTGTGAGTAATTATAGTTTTTAGTCGCTAAACGACTAAATTAGTGCAGTGTGTAGTGTGTAGTACATGTGAGCAGGCAGAGATTATCATCGGTACGCCCCGGGAGGACTAGTCTGGTTGGCCGCTTCAGTTTTACACTAACGGATTAAGTTAAACAAATGATTTTAATTTCAATCATTAACAAAGCATGATCTCTTAATTATTATGGAGTTGAAATATGATCGAGTATGATGTTAGGGAATGTTATGATTTATGTACTTGCCTCAACATCGCTCTTTTATCTGGAGGTACGAGGACGTACGTGGAGCCGACCTATATTATTTTAAAACAGATTACAAGTTCAGAAGTTCGCTTTACCAGGGCTTTTTAGTCTTGACGAAACTTTTAAGGGTTCCTTGCTCTAAAATAAATTACAGTTAATTGCTCCCAATTAGACTCCGAGACTCACTCCTAAGTCCCGATAGTCTATTAGTATTAGTTATTTTACAGATCAGGCTGTAGAGCTAGTATTTACAAATGGAGGACCGAAAAAGGAACTGTCATCTTTTTTTAAAGTAGAAAGTTTTCAATTGTTAGCTAGACGGATGGTTAGAAGTAAATCCGTTGAAATCGGAACCGAAACATGCAATCAAAGAACTAGCTGATGTCCAGAATGAACTACTATTGAATCAATCACCCTTAAGATTGATCTCTTACTTTCTAGGATCTGTTTTTTTCTTGATTGATTATGTCACTGTACTTACCTTTATTATACCTACATGTATTGTATGGTTTCTGCTTCTATTTAATTAAGTGTGGTTTACAATAAAAGATGTTTTAATTTTGTCTTTGCCTTATGATGAGTTATACTTTAGTTCACTTTTACAAATTTGCTCACATCACTCACAGTCAGCCGCTCTGACATGGTTAACCACCTTCCTTGTGTTGTTGGTTAATCATATGCTACATACATGAAGAGGTCTCCTCCTAGTCGTTGGAGTGGCCTGCATTACACACATCTCTTCTACGGCGTAACATGTTCCTCTATTCCACTCGCTTTAGAGCTAACTGTTTTACTGCGTCTCTGCTGATGTTATCGACACCTGTAAATTCAGCCGCATCCTTGAGTACACAGGCCATCCAGCCTTTGCGGGGTCGTCCTCTCAGTCTCTTTCCATAGTTTAATTTCCAATCCAGTAAGAAATTGGGAAAACGTGTCTCTGGCATTCTGACAACATGTCCGTACCACCTTAGTCTAGCTGCACCGATGAAAGTTTCGATAGATTTAATCCCAGCACGCCTGAGAACTTCTTCATTGGAGACATGGAAGAACCACTTTATCTTCAAGATTATTCTCAGGGAGGTCAGATGGAAGACCTCAAACCGTTTCATCTGCTTCTTTGTTGTGCTCCAGACTTCAGCTCCATATAACAGAATGGTAATAACAGCAGCCTTGTAGATACGGATCTTGGTGGGCGTTCTTATAGTTCGACTGTTCCATAATCATATGAGCGGGATATAAATACCTCATTTCATTTCAAGAAGATTTAAACAGATGTAAAGGACAAAGTAGAAGAATTAGGAGTAAAAACCCAATGATATTGGGATCGGAAGAAGGGTGAAGGAAGTATGCATTGCCAGGGCTGTCAAAGTCATATTGAACAGTTCAACCGCATCGGCAGATCTTCTGAGAAACTCGAAGGAGCTCAAAACACGTTTATCGGAAATGTTTACTTGAAACTTAACCTTATCGAACCCTGAAGCAGCAAGTAGAACATTGGAAACTTGTAGCAGAGTTGAGGGAGAAAGCTCGAGAAACTCCAAACGAATATTATTTTATCAAGAATGACAAAATTTGCACTCTCGACAAATTCAGCAATCAAAGTTAGCGGTGCAGGAGTGACTAAGAAAAAGGAAAAGAGACCCAGACCACTTTTACAGCACCACAAAGCGAGTAATCGACGACCTCCAATATGAACCGTGTCATGTCAGTAACAACTGACTCATCAGATTGTGATGGATAGACAATTTAAACAGAGGTATCTAATGAACCACCACTCCCCGTGGCCATTATGGTTTGTGTTAGTTATGTGTATCATGTTATTACGTGCGAAAATAAATTCTCTCAAAAGATCATCATTAAACTCAATTTGGGAGTCAAAAAATACCCATAGAATAAATCAGCACAGTTTAGAAATATTTTGAGGGATTTTTACCAATTTCAAATTTATCTACAGTGATAATGATCACATTTGATAGTATGGCAACACTCAACTATCGTGTAATATTCGCTTACTCAGGTTTTTAGAGCATCAAGTCATTCACAGCAGAACATCGCTCTGAAGCAACCTCTCAGAGTACCGAAAGTTGTATCCCTCACAACTTTAGTCGTCAGTAAGTAAGCTATTGGGCTAGCAGTGGTTGCAATCAGTAATACGGAGTAGAGGATATCAAGCAAGAAGAAAGTTCTGGAGTCTCTTTTCTTGTAGATAAGCTCTGGTGCGCTAATGAGGATAACCCAAGGGATCGCAGATGCGATGTTGAGAAGCAAAATCACCACAATAGACCAAGGGAAAGACTCCCGTTCCGTTTTAACCTTCCTGTCCTTTACAGATGCTTTGGCTTCCGATTTTTTTTCCGATGACAGAGGTTCTGTCTTTAACGTTTTGGAGAGCAATGTCGATCTTGTGGAGAGCGCTTTGTTGACTTCCCTTGCCTCTTTCACGATTCCGTAGATAATGCAATACATGACTGCGACTGCAAGTTTAGGAGCGACCAAGCCGACTCCACAGGAAAGGATAAAACAGGCAACACATCTGACAGTCCAGGATTTAACCAGAACACACTGGTTATTGACCATTTCCAACTCACATAGCTGAAGCAAGGGAAGGAAACCAAGTATGAATGTCACCAGTACTGCCAAACTGAACCCTATTAATTGGTTCCTGTAGGTCAGGATTTCTCTCCAGCGAAATGGGGACTTCAGGAAGACCACTCGGACCACTGTCACCGCTAGAACTGCCATCGCAGGCATGATGATACCTGAGGAGATTTATATCATTAGCAGCTGATTAAAACGCAGAAAGGTCATGGTGAACTAATTATTGTGTTTATATTGTACAAGTTCAGACGTTAGTCTTAATGAAAATACCTGTGAGTTGAAATGAAATGAACATTTGATCTGGAGCACCGTCACAATCAGGAATCTTTCCTGGGTTTATCTGCAAGAAATATTATCATGATGATGGTTTGAAGTTGAAGATCTTAATCCTTATTTCTATATTTGCTAACTTAACCAATTAACACAATATTTAAGGAAAAGTTGAAAGAAATAGCTTAGATTCGATTAGTGCAATAAAAGAAATACCTCATCATATAGGAGTAAGATGATGATCTGGATAGCAAAATACAGGATGGAGAGAGCATAGAATATAACGGACATGTACAGTTTCATGATAGATCGCAGGTGTTTCATTATGATGTAAACAAGCAGCAGAGAGAAGATTACCATGAGAATAATACAAGGAATCATGACAACTCTGGTCAGGTAAAACTTATTATATTTGAACCCGGAATCTTCAGTTTGGTTACTTTTTGTTGATTCGTTGTATGGCTGTGTAGTGAGGTCTTTAAAGGGGTTTACGAACGATTCCCAGGTTCCGGTTGGGTTCCTCTCAGGGATCTGCGGCTGAGAAACTGGTAATTTGTCTGCCATGGCTGATGTGTAGTCTATCAGGTGTGTTAGCAAGCTTTGAATGTCTCCAAAGTATGAAGGTTAACCGAGGACTATCTACATGGCTTTTGTATGTCTAGATCAAAGATAAAAAAGCGGCAACATGGCGAAAGAAACATGATGAGCTTACAATATCTAATGAACCACGTCTTACTGGCGTGTGGCCATCATGGTTTGTGGTAGTTTAAGTTCTGTGCATCATGTTATAACGTGCTGGTCAGTGGACATGTTGTAAGTAAGTTACACACATATCTTTGTTTAGATATGAGTTATATTACGAGCCAAAGCTATCATGAGTTTTTTGAGCTAATAAGATCAGAGTTCAGGGATTAGATCTGCCAAATTTGATACTCCTCTGCAGGGACGATATATGTACTATCTAGATTATAGATGGACGCACCATCAGCTTTTCTATCAAATCGAAAACCGTCTTCTTGTATAATAGGGGTAGCTTGCTCTTTGGAGCGTGTTAACATATCCCGATGAAATATTCGTGACTGGCATAAAATTAGTTTGGCCGAAAATGTCGTGTGTGGTCTATGTTTGTGACAGACTGGGACTTTAATCGAAATCTATAAACCACTGCTTTTTCATTGGATCCCTAGGTGACAGTTTCAAGAGATTGTCAAGTTATTTCTGACATTCTCCGAATTTGTGGTTAAGTGTGGAGACTTTGAGGTTATGGAATCGGATGGTTACGTTTCTATGAAGTTTGATTCTTTCCAAACAACCCAGCGGTAGTTGATATTAACCGTGGAAGGCTGTCGGCTGAGTTTAAAAGAATATTTCCAGGTTGTGGGTGCAGAAGCATGACCCATGTTATTTATGTTAAAGGCTAGCTCAAGCTGGTTGAATGGAATTGGTTGTTTTAGATATCAAAGGGAGTGGACTTAACGGAGAGGTCTGTTGTAAAAGATATTATCCTGTATATATACCACCTGCAAATACGTGCACATTCCATTTTTACATACCACATTACCAAGATCGTTCACATATCAGCCAAAATTCTGATTACATGATATTTGAACGGGTTGCCATTAGGTAAAAAGTTAATGAGTAGAAAAATGTATGACTTTGGAGTAGTCAAATTAAGTTAGTTTCAGTGATAGGTGACACGCTCCTTTTTACCATATTCTTTTTATTTCCCGATTAATTCATCACAGGAACAGGCAACATAGTAGCACTGACTCGAAATGAAAAGATTTTATCCTAATAAAAATAATATTAATACCATCGATAATATATAAGTATATAATAAGCAGAGATTTATAATATAAGGCAGATATTTATTGATGTATCCAAAGAAAATAACTCCGAACTTCCAACCTCAGATAATTCGTCTAGGAAGCTGCCGACCCATTTTCTTCTCCTGGAAGTTCCAGTCTGTTCTCGGAGTGGCGGGTCTCCTCACTTCTGGGTCGTGGGCTAACATTCTCAACCTGGGTTTCCTGCTATTCTTCGTCGTGTCGAGGAAAAATGTCCACCCAGCCGTCAAGGCGCTTCTTCTCTTGCAGATTTACGGTAAGAGATCTTACATTTACAATTAATTAATTAATCACCCCTTGATCGGTTTAAGTTTGCTACACTATACTCTTTACTGGTTAAACACAGACTTCTTTATTCTTTGATTTTAATAACATGAATCCCGCTCTTTACTGCAAAAGTAACGCATATCGCCCATTAATTTTATATACAATTCTATATTGCTGCGCTTAAATAACGAGCTCTGAGATTCTTCTGTAGTATTTAACTATTTAACTTACATCTTCAGCATTTAACCCTCAACGTCAAACTTCTAGTACCTGATCTGAGATTAATCCTTTAAGTTTAATCTAAATTTCGCCTGTCCATAGGCACTGCGGTTAGGCACTCATAAATCGCTCGATCAACTTTAGTTTTGACATATTATAATAACCCCCACTCAAGTGCCCCCGGCCCCCCCCCCCCCTCTCTCTCTCTCTCTCTCTCTCTCTCTCTCTCTCTCTCTCTCTCTCTCTCTCTCCCCCCACATCATGATGTGACTGATCTCTTTAAGTTTAACTAATTCCACCACACAGGTACTGGTCTTCAACTCCCTGTCACTCTATCCTGGCTCAAGAACCTCTCTCTCCGCCTCTATTGGCTGGAGGGAGACGTTGCCTCACGCGTTACTCTACCACTCTCTGTCATCGGCTGCTGCCTTTCAACGACGCTGTGTACTGCTGATGCCACCACCCGCGATATCTCTGCTCTGAGTGTTGGCAAGGTGGTGCTAGTGTTAAACTTGTTGAGGTTTTTGACTGTTACGGTGGTTTTGACGAGGGCGTTTTTGGTTGTGCCCGTGCTTTACACGGCTATTCTTTCTTTAGCCGGGTTTTTTATTTCAGCTCCCGTTAAAAGCAAAGTCTCGTGACGGTACTCCGGTATAAATGTGTAATGATTTTAACGCTTTATTCGACTAACTAGTCCAGCGTTACATATATCTATATTATATTTTGACGAAATCCCCCCGACAACGGGGACATAGGAAAAAAACACTGAAAATTGACCAAAAACCGACCCTTCGTTCTGACTTCGCGATTTTTAGCAAGATTGTAGAAAAAGGAAATGCACCCGTTATAGCATTCTTAGAATCCTGATTTAGGCTTTAGATTTTTTATAATTAATGTCGGAAGTGAGGTAAAATAAACGTTACAATAATGGCGATATTTTAGGTTATTTTAGGATATTTTAAGGTTAACTGCGTCGTTGCGTAGCAACAACAAGAGATTGCACGTGCGCGAGCAAGCACAGGTTACTGTTAGCAACTAGTGTTGCCATGCTTTAAGTTTAAGTTTATGATACGTCATATTCATAACTAGTTCGCATTTGCGCTCACTCTATGATTATTCATAACTTTGGTTGTTATTGATATTTTTCGATGCGGTAAAAAGTATCGATTAGGAAATCAGAATACTTACAACGTTGTCGTCATAGTCAAATGAAATTCATACTTTCTACAGTACAGAGCTAAATGCTTAAATGGTGAAGATAAATTAAAACAACGCTGATTTCTTAAATTTCCTCAAACAAAGCTTTATATATATATTAGAATGGATAGTAGCATTAGCAATGTTCTGAGTTTGTTTATGCTGTTTAGTATTCGGAGTACTTATTGTTTATTATTTTATACTTATTATAGCTGTTGTTCATGTATCGCTGATATTATTGTTATTGATTTCATTTCTACATCCTAACTTATCAATAATATCTTGTTCCTCTTTATACTCACTGCGGATTGCATACAATTAGATTTCAGTTGAATCGATGAAAAATTACTCTTAGTTATGAGGCTCACACATCATAACATTACATAAGATTAAGCGGGCAGAATTGACACTTTCATTAGCATTTACAGTTAGAAATAACAAATGTATATTCCAAATCTGACTAGAAATATATATTTTACAAATGGTAATTCCCATAATTTTTTACTTTGAATCAAAATTCAACCCTCATTTAATTAATTAACACTGTTGGAGGGTACATTATTTTAAATTAAAATCTGTCATTTTACGTGAAATTCAGACTTTCAATCCGTGTCGAGTATTTGTTCTCTTTCAACGCGAATGAATCTCTACGCTTATATGGTTATATCTCAATGAAGGTACAACTACATAGTGACGATAAATGTCACGTGATAACATCAAGTTATCGTATCAATGCATATCAATGTGACAATGTCAATATCCTTATTTCGTGGCAAAAAATCTTGACGTTATATTTATTGGAAACAGTTAAACTTAAATTGTAAATGTCGTTGCCTTACCCGATTTCCCCTCAGTATTTAGTTGGCCGAGCCGATATCAATATTTTCCTAAAAGAACACGCGGCATGATAATACGTGTCCTTTCTTTAATATTTTAATGAGTGTTCGCGCTTTTCCACGTGTCATTTCAATTAATCATATCCGATCCACGAGGAGTGTTTTTTATTCATCTGCATCTGCAACATATTTAATCTCATTACGTCCCGGCACAGAGAAGGCTCCGGATACCTGGATGGCGATGGTTTTATTACTATTAGTATTAGTTTTTTGTGAACCGTTAACGGTTAATGGTTAACAATATGCATATCACCATGAACGATTTTTTTCCTTTTTTTGTAAGCAGAAAGGGCCCTGGATTTCATTAATAACTGTGCCTAGCTCCCAATTTTTTTGATGATAGTCCCCGGCCCAATGCAATTTTGTACTGGTAGAAAAACTCTAAGAAGAATGCACACTTGACACCATCGGCCGCGGACTTGTAGTCTGAAAAGCATCATAAATTGGGGTGCATTCTTGAATAGAAATTTCTGCGATGAATCATCTAATTTTGAGGTATTAAAAACTTACTGACAGTACTGTAGTATTGCCAGACGCTGCCTAGCCTGACATGCGCGCGGCGCGTGTCCACTCCACTCCTGGGCCGCCACGAAGCAGCCCGGCCTCTATTTGAAAAATAATTGATGATTGAGGTCCCGGTCGCAACGTGAGACAACTGTAGCACTAGATAGCATTACTATTAGTACACCATGAATCATGATTCACGTTTTTCATCAACATAACAATACTTAATGCTAATTAAGCTCAAGAGTCAAGCGTTATCAGTTATCAACCTTATAAAATATTTTACTTTAAATTATTCTTTTCCTTTTAATAAAGATATCCCTTAAACGTATGACTACGATATTAATATGACTATGAGTTTGACAGGTTCATTCGATCATGCCTGCAATACGACTTGTAGTTGTATCACATCGTGACCCCCATTTTCGTCGCGTTTCACTGTTCACTAAGAGTAAGCCGAAGCGGCGAAAGCCACGATACAGCCACGCACGAGTGTGCGGCAGGTCTACAACGTATGACAATTATACAAGTACAACCAACAACTACTTTTTTCGTTACTTCGTTACTTTGTTGAGTTCATCCGGAAGGGTCATCAGATATCTGACCACCTGGATGGCGAGTAGTCAACCAGTGAGTTTAACCAACTGCAGCTGTGCCTGTAGCCGGCGACCGGAGGGTTGTCCGGTATCAAAGCAAGAAAGTTCGACAAACTACACTTAAACATGTCAAATGATGTATCAGCCTTCACTGTGACGTGAGGCACTATGTTCCACAGCTTCGGTCCTTGGACTGCAAAAGACCTGTCGTACAGCTTGAGTGGTAACTTGACTTGAACAATTTGAGGGTATCATGACAGCTGCTACATCACTGCTACAAGTACAAGTGCACGTGTTACCCTTCGACCGAAAATCAATTTGTCACATTTTGCATTTCCTTATTTCCTAGCCCTAGAAGTTATATATATATTATATACGTTACCTTTTGCGAGAGCTATTTCTTTGGTTGTGACTGTGTCGCGTCGCGCGGAATTATAGTTTTATTTACGTTATAACCACTCTTTCACAGTTAATTGTCAATGTTAACTTCAAGTTTTCAAGCAGTAGTTGCTACACCTATACCTGCTTAAAATCGATTTAACACCGCAATTCCAGTCGCAAGCCTGGGACCACTACTAGCATTGTCACAACATCTACAAAGCTGCCATATTGATATAGCCTGACTGACAATTTTCTCGACTAGTCTAGTTATACATATCTTTATCATATTTTATTGATCTGAGGTGTAGTATTGCCAGACCCCAGTTCAATTTGTAACGGAGTTTTACACTAACAAGTCCCCATACATCATAGTCCGGTAGTTTCACTGCGTCATGATACTCATAATACTTCTTACACCATCCTCCACCATTCACTCTGATTTCACCGGCAACGGGGCAATCTTCCCCAGGGTTGCCACACCCCAGAGGTAGGCAGAGCATCTCAATGCTATCCTCTCGTGGGCTATTTTGGCCCAGCCTCTCTAAAAAAAATACTCATAATATAGACAGCTTTAATAGTCTGAATTCTCCAGAATTCTCGTCGACTGAATGTTTATTGTCTAAGATTTGGAGCACAACTTTGCTCTCTAGATTTAAGATCTTTGCTGAATGGAATTAGACGTTACATGACCCTTCATCCAATCAATGGCGATTGGCGATGGATGGGGTGCATGACGCATGTGAAGCCATATTACTCGATTGGCGATACAATCCTTTCCAGCTCGTAGCTCTGCTCCGGGTACAGCCAATACTAGTACTACGGCCACTACACGGTACCTTTACTTCATGTTCGCACTGTTTACAAAGCGAAGCAACTATTTACAGGCGCGCCAATCCCTATGAGCATGAGCGGCTCTCTTTTCGAGCTTCTTGCTCAATGCTCGCTTCCCTTCAACATGAAGCTCATCCTGTCATTCCGTTGCATCTTCAATCTGTTTATAAACAGAAAAGCAATTTTGAGAACAGTCTGTCAGTGTCATGTAATGTGTAATAAAACGATGTCCACGAACAATAGTTTAAGCTGCGAAGGTAATATTATATCAACCCCACGGTACTCTCACTCATGTAAGGATTTCCAGCTAGCTTCCCAGCAGCCCAGCTCTCTCCTACACAAAGGCTGACGCAGTAAATAATGGTTGGAGTGGCCGCTTTAATACCAAGACTGCAATACCATTATATTTCTCCCATCGGGAACTACAACATGCGCACAATAGATGTTCATGTATTGTTTCACAGATCATCCTCAAATTGGAGAAATACAATGGATGTTATAATAACTATTATAGAACGTTGAGTAGGTTTGGCTGGGATCGCTTCTCGCCAGAACATGACAATATCGAGATCGTCATTCAATCACTCCGCTGTGGTCTTTTTGTAAGCACCATCTCGAGGGAATTTTTTATTACTATTAATGTACGCAGTATATCTTATAGGGTTCGCCTCTAGAAAATGTTATAGATTGGTCTAAGACGATCATTTATTATAAGTTCAAATTTTGGTAGATTCTGTCTCGTGTCAATGACAAATAAATTCAATCGAACTTAAAGTATTTTTATCCTATGAAAAGAAGGGTCAAGATATCACTTGATCACGTGTTCATTATTTTATTTGGCACCGGTGATTGGGATTGTTATTTTTAGCTTCTAGCTTATCAGTCGAGTACTATTTGCTAATTAAAATTACCATCTCTCATTCTTTTAGTTTTTGATCATCAGTGCCTATTTAATGATAGCAACATATATTTAGTAACGACAAGATGACTGAGGAAGGGCATGTTGATATATCAACGTGCCCTTCCTCAGTTATCTTACTACCACATTCAGCATCTTTATAGATTGCAGCTAATACAGATAATATCTCCTTGTCAATTTATCTCCATAATCGTGGACAACATGTCCACGTCGTGCAGTGTGAAGGTGTGCATTTAAAAAATTAAACTAATAATTTTTCACTGCAAAATAACCTTCGAACATCAAGTGATCACTCATCATCCGACTAACCTCGGTGTGATTAACTCAGTGGAATGTTCCAGTTCCACCACATGACGGTACCTCTCAGTTATTGGTCAAATTCGATCAGTTTTAGTTAACAATCTGAACCATCGGCGCGGAAGTGACATGCGATATGACTTCAAGCCGTGGATCGAATATTGCATTATCCAAATATTTATATTTAGTGTTATTCCTAGCATGACTCTGTAAAATAATAGTTCTGTTCCCCTTTTATCGGTATTACCCTAAATGACATTTAGCCAACAGAGCACAGAGAATGCAGCACTATAGAGTATATTTGAATATTTATATATTAAATATATTATACTTTTTTTAACCCCTCCCTCTCCGTAAGCAGTTTTACACATAGCTATTGTGTCAAAATTATACTAGCGTAATCATTTGGAAACACCCCCCCCCCCCCAGCTGATTACGTAATATGTGAACGACCCCTTAAGAATTAAAAATGTAGACTTTTTCAGCCACATAGTTATTGTGCAGAAATGTAAAGATTTCTCCCACCTCTTACCAGCCCTTTGGCTGGTTCATGTGTAAAGTGAACGATACATTAGTTGAACGAGAAACCCTTTGAAGTTACGTAGACAAATATTGCAACGGAGAAGCTCCAATCATATCTTTTCCTAATATGGTAAAGACGTACATGTTTCCTGTGGATGACGTTGGTCCCGTCAAATTCTTTAAAATGCTTTTGAAGGACTCAGTTTTTATATAATTTAAAGGAAATTTATAATTTACATTTTACAGGCACAGAATCAACTTAGTATGTAAATGTTCGATAGAGTTTAACGCAGATATCACGATTTGTACTAATTATATTATTGGTTTATAAATTAATTCTAATGGGAAAGTGAAGCTAAATATAAACGAAATACGCTTGACTATTGACTACAGGGAGTAAGAATCTTTTACTTTATTTTATGTTATTGCATATCACACAGTTGATTCACAAATCACACATAAATGTTAAAATTAGTGTGCAATACATTGTTAGTTTTATAAATTTAAGGCACTTGCTAGATTATGTAGAAAGTCATGTCCCCACATTCCACAACTCTCATTTATGACTCAGTCAATTTTGATAAATGATATGTGCTGCTAGCTCTTAAGTGCTATTAGTATTAAGATTCGCTGTTAACACTAGC